GCCCCCTTGATAAACGACCAATGGCATTCACTTCATTCACTCGTGTAAAGTCAGGCACCACTTGGAAGAATTCAGAAATGTAACGGTTGGAACAGCTGCTTCCCTACAAGCTTACAGTTAATGAGTTGATAATGTTGGTTTATATTTTATATTTTTTTAGTGCAAAACACATAAAGGGAAAGATCAGAGCAAAACAAGGATTTGCATGACAAATTAAGGTGTGAAAAAAAAAATTGCTGCTAATTATCAATTTCAACATTTATAACGGCAGCATATAGTCACGTTGCCGGCCTGGTTTATGAAAAGGTGAGATATGAGGTTAGGGATATCTTTAGAGAAACAATTCTTGCTGCTCATCTGAAGTAGAGACCATTTCCAAACAATCTAAAATCTTCTGTGAGATTTTCCTAGTGTATTGTATACTTTGAAACAGTGGACGTCTTGGCAATTTGCTACAGTATACTTTCACATTCCTCTGGCCACAGTTAGCACAATTGACAGAACAGTTTGAAGAAAGACTAAAGCATTTTCTTTGGAACAGATGTCATGTCAAAAGAAAATCTTTCCCCCAGCATTTATGTTTAGCTTTGTACAGCTAAATCTAAGCATTGTAAACTGATTACAGTCTTGAATAATGTTCTTTGTACATATTTTGGCAATTTAGAGATGTTTGGGTGTAAAAAAGAAGCTTCAACCAATGTTAGCACCTCATACCAACTATCAGCTACTCGGATTGGGGCTACAGGACCTCGCACCTTGCAGTTATTCAACACGTATACCAGGGTCATTTGCAAGGTCATCTGTTCGGCAGCTCTAGCTTAACTGAGTCATTAAATAGAAATAAATAGTTTCAATATTTAAGTCAAAGTTTAGAATGTTATCCCACTATTATATTTTCTTAGGCTCTGCTTGGCAGTAATTAATTCCTGATAATGCCAAAGAAATGATGCAACAAAGATAACCAAAACTCCTACAACAACAAGCTGACTAATTACATTTTTACTGATGGTATGAAGTATAAAAATGACTACTGAAAGTTAAAGCTGATAAATATGTAGCGAACAATAAAGGGAAATGGTCGTAAATCAAATCAAGTTTTTTTGTTTTTTTTTCCTGGACTAGTTTAATTAACTTATCACAGGACAACAACTAGGTAATACAGAAAAGTCTTTCATAAGAGGCCTGGACATCTTTAACCTGATTTTCTGTTTATGGTTATTTCAGAGTTCAATGCTACGGGGGCGGTGACCCTGCACACTAGGGGCTGCATAGACTCGGACCTGTGTGGAGTTACCCTAACTGGATTCCTGTTTGGTGCTGCTTACACCAGCACCTTTACTTGTTGCACAACAGACCTGTGCAACAGCGCCTCTTCTGTCCAGCTGTCTCTGACTGTGGCCCTTTGTGCTGCCATCCTGTCATCACTGTGGGGCTTCTGGGAAATTTAGTCAGACATGATGTCCATCATTGCTCCAAGATGATTCTAACTAATGCTGAGCCTGTGCTATGATCATTTATCCATTAGATAAAGGTATCTATATATACAAATAGGTTTATTGCTGTAAAATCAATAAAAGCTTTGACATGAAACGCTTTGGATTTTTTCTCAAAAACGAAGAAGCATGAATTTAAACAGCCTAGCAGAATATTTGCCAACTGCATATTATATATTATATTATAATAAGATCTGATATTGTTACATTGCACATGTTTAACATAAATGTTATGGCATAAATGCTTAAAAATCGGGTCATGCCATTAACTCATTTTTGGAGGAAATTCTAGTAACAAAACAGATATAGAGAGGTGTTTGGATTCTGTTGAATTTATGAGATTTCCATATTTGAAAAAAACAAACAAAAAACACAGTTATCAGCCAACTGGACCTAAGTTTAAACAAAAACAATTAAACATATAAATAAGGTCATAATACAAAATTAAATTAATAATCTAAAATGTACAAGAATATTATACAAGATAGAAATTAGCTATTTTGCTCATCTACATATAATCAAATAATGATAAAATGGACTTTAGATTTTAAAAGGTCAAAATTTAACAATATTTTAAAAATCAATGATAAAAGCCTTATTAAACATTTTTTTTACCTTTATCATACGTTGCAGGCAAGTTTTTATTTAGTATGTATTAGATTATTTAATATTTTCTTATTATCACTATTGAGAGTTTGATGGAATAACAGCATATTATTATTATGTTTTTGTTATTATTATTATATTATACATATCTTAGTCACTACAAACTCCACCTAATATAATTTTAGTAATTTGATTATGTATTTATTTCTGAATCTAAACAACATTTTTCAGAAATCAGAAATAGGAAGCGTCAGACAGTGGGTAGAATAAAGTATTCTATGGTTAAAGGTGATATGACTTTTTTCGTTAATTGATCAATTGGTTTGATCAGCCACAGTTCAAAAATTTTAATATTTGATCCTGAATGCTACCATATGAAAAATTAAAAATACATAAAGATATTTGATTCAAACTCTTGCAGAGTTTCAAATAACCTTTTTGTGCATTTTAACAGTTTGAAAGATCTTTGACAAGCTTAATATTCTCCTTTACTATCAGAAAGATCACCAAAGGCATCAATAATTTAGTGTAAGAGGCCTAAAAGGTGCAGAAAACCAGAGAGTTTAGTTAAATTATCTAAATTTAAAGCATAAAAATATAAGCCAGTAATTTGCCCAGAATATATACTAGTATCATCATCTGTCCCAACTAGGTGAATTTATTACTGATGATCCAAGCTTTCAGTATGTTCTCCTCTTGACATAAATTAACAGTCTATTGTTTTCACCTTATCTTCTGATAAAACAGGTTGAACTGCTCTGGCTACAAGTTATTTTGAAACCAACGATGCCCTCTGGTGGATCAGAAGCACACTTATGTTGTGTTGCTCACTTCAACACTAAAGACAAACACAGTGTGCTCTTCCAATGTGTGAAAAAAGAAACATTTATTTTGGTATTCTTAAAAGGGCCTTTGGTTTAAATGATGGTAGAATACACAAAAAATGTATTAAACACCAAACATGAAACAATATTGAGACTCACATTCCATCTTATCCCTTGCTCAGGATAAACACATAACTAGCAAAAAGAAATCAAAAGCAGTTATAGATAAGGATAAGCATCTGCAGAGGACACCATTGGAAATAAAATAAGAAAAGCTTAAAATATAAAATACCCTGAGAAAATGATGATAAATTCTTAGACTAGTTGTGCTGTTTGGTGTCATATAGAATATATCCAACAAAGAATATATCCAAGAGTCCAGCTAACAACTCTCTGTTGAACCAATAGCTACAACAAACATCCTTATAAAGCAGCCTTTTTGTTTCAGCAACAGTTATCCATAAAGAGTAGAGTATGCATGTAACACAGTATACATCAAAAAGTAAAGTAAGAAATATTCCCATAAGCTTTCTAGATAATGAAAACCTGAGAGATTCAGTTGGGTTGAAAAATGTTTCATTGTGTACAAGAATGTCCAGAAAATACAGTTTCCTCTGACTGCTGAGCAGAATTATGTTAGTACCATTCCAATAAAGTAAAAAAAAAAAAAAATCCACTGGTCTTGGTTTCCAAGCCTTTTCAGTTCAAAATCTCAGGATTAGCATTGAGTTCAAAGCTTTATACAGAAGCCCAAAAACTTGTTTTTGCTTAGAAAACATGCAAATTGAACCAGAGAAGATGGTTCCTATAATCTGCAAGTTTCCTAAGCAATTACTCATACTTGTGCATTATTCCGAGGGTGTCTTTCCTAAAATGGAGTGCAATATGCTGTTGCAGATTCTCAGTCATCCAGGTCATAGTCAATTTTCTATACCAGCGCTCTGTTTAGTGTAATGTTATCATCATTAAAGTTGTTCCTTGAGAGGCTGTCCTTAACTCCTCCACAAGCAAATATGATGTATTTGAAGGAGATAAGTACAAGGTCAGAAAAGAAGGTCACAAAAACAGTAAACAAATTCTGTCCTGAGAACAAATATGCACTGTAAGAGTTCAAATTATTAATTAAATCAAACAGAGATGCCCATAAAGCGGAAAAGTTTTCTGCTATTCAAGAGAAACAGGGTGAATACATCTGCCCCTATGGATGGATGACACCCTGTCAAGGCTCTCTTTTCAGTATTAGTTAGTTATTATTGCTAGATACAGACTGTAATATTGAATCTGTGTATCTCTATCTTCCTGCCGCTTTTTGGAAAGAGACTTGCAGCAATCGCTGCAGGACCAGCAGCAGATTTTTCCCTGCTACTAGACTGTTGAACTCTTGAAAATTCTAATCTAGACTCTGTATGACACTTGAAAACATCATATTTGCACTGTATGGCTGTTTTTTTCATAATCCCCATAAATAGAACACAACTCAATGTCTGCTGCATTTTGCATCACATGTACTGTATTTATTTTGCACCCCACTGAACCTTCCCATATCAATTCCATTTTACACCATGACTTTAAACTGGTTTTCCTTTTCTCCAACACTGTTTACATTCTTGATCAAAGCTGCACTTTATAAATGGTAATGTTCATTTAACTGTTAAAAAGCTGTGTGCATCCAAATTTCGTTTTGTATACCCTGTGTATACAAAATGAGAATAAAGTTTGTCTAAGTCTAGTGCAAAGCAGAAGTCGTTCAATACTGGCATCAGAAGAATGTCAATTATCAAGACTGAAATTGAGATGAGGATGGAAAGCAGAAGACTTGTACAGAAATATTTTCTTTGATGAATCATCATAATTGTTCGGAGCATCTAGTAAAGATATACATTTCTATAAATCCAATATAATCCAAAAGGGACACATGCCTCTTAAACAAAGTTGGGTAGAATGCCCAAAGATGTTACACACTCTGAAGTCCTTTTTTAGTCTAAAGAATATATTCTAAAATTCCAACATAACATCAAAGCTGCACAGAATTATGTTGTTTGAATATAGGAATGTGTGAGACTTTCGGTTTCATTAAAGCAAGGTATTTTTGGGTGGGGTTGTTTTCTTTAATGAAAAGAAGGTAAAGAAGCAAAATGTGGTTGGTCTCTTCCTTATAAGTCACTATTTTATTGTTGCCCCATTTGGCGTGCCTTGTTTTACTTTAGCTAAGACATCCTAGAATCTGAACGTGTTATACATTTCCGCCTATATAGATTCCCCTTTTTATAAACCTGCCAAAAATGAATTCCATCCTGAAATCCGCAATTGGTCTCAGCATCCTGATTGTTGCAGGTAAGTTCAAACAAACATCTATTTCAATACACAGAATTTTTTTTCTGCTTTTAAGATTTTCTTATTCTTTTTTTAATTAATTATTTTAACTAAATACTACCTACTTTTGTTTTCTGTTGCCTTATTGTTTAAATAACGAGAAACATTCATGATTTTACCATTAAAAAATATTAACTTTTGGTCGAAATCAGTGAAAATGGCTCATTCTGTTTCCTCTACTCTAATGTTTTTTGAAGTCAAAATTTGCAAAAGAATTCAACTTTTCAAATTACTTTTGGTACATTTTCAGTAGAGGGATTATTTAAGAGGGATTAAAACAATAAGGTCTTTCCATTTTATATTCCCAAACTTCATACTAAGAGCTTGTGCTGACTTGTTCTCCATTTCGGAACAAATATTTTGCTAGAAATAATTATAGGTATGGACAAAAATGTGTAAGTCTAAATGGAAAATGAGAGGCCTCCATGAGATACACTTAATGTTTTGGAACTTTTTTTCCATTCAACAGCAAACTGCCTGGACTGCAAACAATGCAAGATTGGTGTACTTGGAAACTGCTTTTTTGGGAATGACATCTCATGTAGCAGTTCAACAGAGAGTTGTTATACTGGACAAGCACGTAAGAGAAATCAGTGTTCCTATCTGATGATGATATGTTTACTCGAGTGGGAGGAGAAATACAAAAGGTACCAGCAGCTTAGACCTGTTGATTAGAGCAGAAGTGGAGAAGTAGGTCAAGAGGATCTTATACCCCAAACTTCATACAGTTAATGAGTAGACGATGTTTGTTCTTAGATTATCTCTGTGCAAAACAAATAAAGGGAAAGATCGAAGCAAAAGAGAGTTTCCATGACTGCAAGTGAAGCTGTGGGAAAACCTACTTATGCTGCTAAATATTACCTACAATGAAATGCAAAACATGAGTATTGCAAGATGTTGTTGCAAAATGTGTTCTAAACCTTAAAAGTTAATGGATGTAAATCAAGCATAAAAGATACATTTGCAGAATAAAATGGTAGGGTTATGAATGCATAAATATTTTGTAAATAACATTTTAAATTATTTTGTTTAGTTTAAAGAATGTGTTTTCCTGAAGTAACTTTATAAAAGACTAATTCATCCTGAAATGTTTGTTTGATGTATTAGTATTAGCAGAAGTTCCTGTTTATGGTCATTTCAGAGTTCAATGCTTCTCAATCCCTGACCCTGATCAGTAAGGGCTGCATAGATTCGGACCTGTGTGGATCGGCCCTAACTGGATCCATCCTCGGTGTTACTTTCACCAGCAGTATTACTTGCTGCAACACTGACCTGTGCAACGGAGCCTCCTCTGTCCAGCTGCCTCTGACTGTGGCCCTTTGTGCTGCCATCCTGTCATCACTGTGGGGCTTCTTGGAGTTTTAGTCCAACATGATGTTCATTATTGCTGAAAGCTGATGTAACTATGCTGAGTCAATAAAAGCTTTGTAAAAAAAAAAAATTGTGGATTTTTCTCTTTCAAATACAGTGAAACAGGAGCATTTAAACAGCGTGTCAGGATATTTTCCAACTGCATTTTATTAGGACATATATTATTAGGTTGCAAATTTTTACCAGAGATTTTATGAAAAAAATACCTATAAATATAGAACAAAACAGTAAAATATAGAGATTTTTTTATTTTTTTGATGAAATTATATTTACATTTCCATATTTGTGCAAAAAATGAACTATTCTCAGCCTAATGGATCTAGGTTTAAACAAATACACGTGCATGATATTCTTTCAGGTTTGAGTTCTGAGTGGAGCATCTTATCTATTTGTCAATCACAGAAGGTAAAGAATCCATTAACTAAAAGGTTATTGGTTTCTAAGTAAGCTAATTATTTAATACAATATAATTTTATCAAAGAATGTTTTTAAACTCTATAGGATAAACGTTGGTTCTCAAACAGAAATCCATGCCAAACTGAGATATCAATGCATGGTTTTCAACAAAATATTTTTTTTTTCTTTGTGTACATAGTGGCTTAGTCTAGTTGGGTTTCATTAGTCTAGACAAGAGTTTTTTACTGAAAAAGTTTGAAATTGGATTTAAAGGAGTTTTGTTAATACATTATTATACTTTGAACACAGGGTATTTTGAATCTATTCATTATTTGTGTAGAATTCACTGTGTGTCCATAATTTAAGTTTCATTTACCCTTTCATTTGTTGTCCTAACACACAACCAATTTGTGTTCATAAACTTTCAAAGATATTCTTTCAAGTCAAAGTTAAAAACCCATTTGTTTAGAGCTGCTTCTGACAGAGTTAAACTGTTGACTCAGGTATCATTAGTTTACGTTTGTGATGTGAAAATATTTTGTTTTACTGACTGTTTTTATCTTTACCTGCTTTTATTCTTCCTTTTTAATTAATTTCACAGTTGAATTCACTTAAAGCATTTTAAACTGTCTTTGTAGTGAATTTTGCTAAAGAAATAAACTTGTCTTTACAGTAGGTATACATGTCATGAAAGGATAAAGAACTTCCAGCGACAATATCTACTTTTTACTTTATCGTCTACCTGATCTCAGAAAAAGCTCAAGTTAATCATGGCGGGTGGAGAAACCAGAAATATTTCTCCAGTAAAAGCAGCGATACTCTCACAAAAATTTTACTTACGTAAAAACGTAAAAACTGTTCAACTACTCCTAAAAGTTTGTTTTTTTTTATCAAAAAGTAAAGTAAATGTAACTAGTTACTTTTTCATATGGGAGCATTCTCCCCAAAGGTAGGAAGTATGTTAAACAGATAAAATTTTAGCATTAAAAATACTTTACTCTCTTCTAGGTGAGACAGAAGCTCTTCCTACTGATAGGTGGTGATAACAATCAACATAGTTTTCTAGTGCATTGTAGAAACAACACAAACACACACTATTTCATAAACACAAATGTCTTTTGAAGGATCATTTTCAAGATATAATACACAAATCTTTGGTTCAAGTTTGAAAGGAAAATGGAGTCATTGGGGAAAAACCAACAAATGCTAAAGGAAGAGAGTCAGAAAACAAGGACCTAGATTTTAACCAGTAGTTTTTAAATTCAGTGAATCAATGAAACTCAGTGAAAATAATCTATTGTACTGATACAGTATGCTAGGACGTGAATATTGAACTATGAAAAAATCGATTTCACAATTAGTCTTATTTGTGTCAAAACAACTTTTTGGGGTTAAAATTTGGGCAGGCAGTTTTTTTTCATTTTGTTTTATTTATTTTATTTTTTTTAATTCTCATACTCTGAGAGTTTAAAACCCTGCTTTCAAACAACCTGAACATTGTTATGAGGAGTTTAACAAAGACCTTTAAAGTTGAAGGGTGCCTTTGAGTAAAAAAGGAAGAGAGAAATAAAAAAAAAGACATTTTCCTAAAAAGCAAAGACGATTCTTCCTTTTCCTTTTTAAAACAAAGAAAAAGTGTATTTTTATTGTAATGAGCTGACTAGGTCCTACTTCAGCAAAATGTCCCAAAACTTCCAGTTTTATGCATTGAGGTAGATTTTACATTTTCTTAAACTTTTCTGCATTTGTTTTTTGTCAAACATCTCTGCTCTGCTGTCTAAATGATCCATTTATCAAATCATCTGCCCAAAACCAGATTTTCTGCAATATTCTGGGTCTTGTTCTAGGTTCCTTCTTGCCAACTATACTTTCTTTTGTCAGGTTGTGTGGTTTGAAGATGACCCAAATGCAGAGACAGCAGCTGAAGTGGTTTCTTGCAGATGTAATTGTCCAAAAGGTGGCAACTGAGGCAAAAATCAAAAAATAACAAAATACAGCAAAACCAAAAAGAAAAACATGGAAACATAAGGAAAAGCTCACAGGAGGAGAAAGAAACAGCCAGGAAACTTGGTTTTCAAACACCAAATCCATCTTAAACTGTATTATGCTTCCTCTTTGTACATAGTAGTTTAGTTTGGTTGAGTTTCACTAGTTTTAGTCAAGAGTTTTTAACTGAAATATGTTAGACTTGGAGCTGAATGACTTTTTAATAAACTATTATATTTTGAATGGAAGTTGTGGTGAACTTATTCCCTGTATGTGCAGAATTATCTGTTTGACCATGATTTGAGCTCGATTCACACTTCCATGTGTTGTTCTAACACACAGCCAGTAGGGCTGACAGTACGAATAATATCTGATTAAAAAAGATATTTTCCACCCCTCCCAGGGAGGGCAATAAACATCTTAAGGTATCCCAACATAATATGGCGTCCGAGCTGGCTGGGCATTGCAGTTATCACAACAATGGTCTGTTCGTGACCGATGTCACTTTAAAAAGGTAGTCCCTGTGAAGAACATGGTTTTGAAGCTTTTACTGCGCATTCAAACCAGCACTCACCACAGCAGACAAGAAAAAATGATAGAAAGAAGGAAACGAAGATTGACTGTATGATCTGGTGAACTGTAAAGTGCCTTGAGATGACGTGTTGTGATTTGGCGCTATATAAATAAGCTGAACTGAATTGAATTGAAGACTGAAAAAATGCTGTTTAATGCACTTTTGCCAACAAAATTGTGAAGCCAGTTTAACTCAACTTGAATCATATTAAACATCATTTTTAAACAATAAAAAAATGTGGCTAGTGAAAATGCTGAGTGGCTTTTAACCACTAGCCACAGGGGTCAGTGAGCAAAAAGTTAATGTCAAGCTCCAATTATCTTGTTTAAATATAGGAATGTGTGAGACTTTCTGTTTCATTTAAGGAAGGTATTTTTGGGTGGAGTTACATTTTTGCTTGATGAAAATAAGTTAAAGAAGCAAAGCCTGATTGGTCTCTTTCTAATCAAAATCACTTTCTTTTTGTCTCATTCTCAGATGTGGCTTGTTTCACTTTGGCTAAGACAGCTTCGAATTTGAACCTGTAAATCATTTATAAATCGTTTATATAGATTCCCTTTTTATAAGCCTGTCAAAAATGAATTCTTTCTGGAAATCAATAGTTGTTCTCAGCATCCTGATTGCTGCAGGTAAGTTCACTAAACAGCTACCGTAATTCAATACGCATTTCAATAAGACATTTTATTCTGTGTTTAAGATATATTAATGCTATTTTTCTTTAATTAGAACTTATTATGGAATATTTCTCACTAACCTATTTTTGTTTTTTTGCTTGCATATTGAAGTGGTACATACATTGCTTTACTGTAAAAAAATGTTAACGTTTCATGGGAATCTGTGAAAATATGACTCACTACTAGTGAAATATGTTTCACTATGTGTATATATATATATATATATATATATATATATATATATATATATATATATATATATATATATATATATATATATATATATATATATATATATATATATATATACATATGCACTTGTATAATATATAATTTTTCTTGGTATTTTTCCTTCAACAGCAAGCTGCTTGGACTGCAAACAATGCAAGATTGGTGTACTTGGAAACTGCTTTTTTGGGAATGACGTCTCATGTAGCAGTTTAACAGAGAGTTGTTACACTGGACAAGCACGTAAGAGTGAAATCTGTGTTACTATCAAGTACAGAGAAAAAATATATTCTACCCATCAGGGGAGTATAAGGTTATTTCCAAAATATTTCATAGTCATAAAATTCCCAGGAAGAAAGATTTTCCTTTTGTATAAAGACCTTCACACTGTAGCCAGTATTGGGAAATTCTGTGCTTTGAGAAACTGCAAATAGACTATATCTCTTATTCCTCAGGCCAAAAGTAAGCATAGTTGAGAACAGTATGGTATATAAAGTACAAAAAAAAAGAGTTAAAGCCTCTTTGGAAAAAAATGCAATGCCAGGAGAACACCTATGTAGCAGCATCACTTTTTGGTTTGTATAGCTACATCATAATAAACTGAATACAGTCTTGAACAGTACTTTACTTAGATAAGGCCAACTATTATAAATTATTATAATGATAAATTGTTTATGGTCATTTCAGAGTTCAATGCTTCTCAATCCCTGACCCTGATCAGTAAGGGCTGCATAGACTCGGACCTGTGTGGATCGGCCCTAACTGGATCCATCCTCGGTGTTGCTTCACCAGCAGCATTACTTGCTGCAACACTGACCTGTGCAACGGAGCCTCCTCTGTCCAGCTGCCTCTGACTGTGGCCCTTTGTGCTGCCATCCTGTCATCACTGTGGGGCTTCTTGGAGTTTTAGTCAGACATGATGTCAATCATTGCTCAAAGCTGATCTAATGAGTCAATAAAAGATTTGTAAAAAAATATGTTTTTTTTTCTTACAAATACACTGAAACAGGAGCACTTAAACAGCTTGTCAGGATATTTGGCAACTGCATTTTATTAGGTCATATGTTTTATTAGGCTTCTTAGAGTTTTAGTCAAACATCATACTAATATACTAACTAATACTGAGTCTGTACTATGATAATTTATCATTTAGATAAAGATGCAAATAAGTTTATTACTGTAAAAAAACAACAAAAGCTTTGAAATGAATCTTTTTGATTTTTTCTCTCTAAAGCACAGTGAAGCAGGGACTTTAAAAACTGCATTTTTGTATAAGATATAATATTTTTAGCTTGGATGTGTTTAACAGAAATTTTATTAAAGAAATATCTATAAATATAGTTAAGCTAATTATTTAGTTATATTGCACATTTGATTAAAAAAACAATTAAATAAACATGGAGAGATTTTTATATTCAACAAAAATTGGCAAATAATTTATTAATAAAAAATAAAAGATTCTCTACAATTAGGAAAGAATTATCCATATTTGGAAAAAAAAACTCTGCCAACTGGTTTAAACAAATATAAAATACCATTAAAAATAAAATATGATTGAAGTAATGTCCCACACAAGTTCTATGTTTTACATTTCAACATTCATAATTTAAAGACAATCTAAATAATCACATTTTTAGTTGTGAATTGTATTGTTTTCAATACCTGATGTAGTCGTAGAATTTATCAATTTATTTATAAGTCTTTTAGTACACATTTCTTAATTAAAGCATTAAAAATCTTTCAGAAGATATTTTACAGACTTCAATATTATCCTTTACTGTACTGTATATACTCCTATAATGTAGAACAGGAGGCCTAAAAGGTCCAGAAAACTAGAAAGAGTTGAATAAAATTTATGTTGGTGCGTAATGAAATATTACACAAATTAGAAATATAAAGCAGAAATTACTTCCTAACCCAGAAGGTACCACAGTACCAAGAATAACTTTTTTTCTTTTTGTAGACAGTAAATCTTTGTACCCCAACTGGGCGAGGCTTGTTCCGTCTGCATGATACAAGCTTGTGGGATGTTTCCGCATAATTGCTCTGCAGTTTGTCTATTGTTTGCATCAGATCATCTGATAAATCAGGTTGAACCGCTCTGACTACAAGTCATTTCGAAACCAACAACTCCCTCTGGGGGATCACAAGCACATTAAAGTTGCAATTACAGCAGAATATAGTCTTTATGTTGACAATGAATTATTATTTTTTTTTATCCACAAAAAAAAAAAAAAAAAAAAAAAAAAATCAGTATTCCTTAAACACCACATTTGTTTTGATTACACTTGCTCATTCAAAAATATAATATCAAACTTCAGCCTCTAGCTTGGATTTCATTGGATCCCAGTTTAGATCCCACACAGTACACAAACGCAGTACTATTTATATAACCTCATCATATAGAGTACAGTTTACCAACCTTCTTTCATTAGTTAAATAATGTGCTTGTTAAAAAGTTTAGACCGATACTAGATATCTAATGTCTCCCTCTAGTGGTTAGATCGAAAAATGCATCGAAAAATATCAAGAATCAAGAATTTAAAAAAAAACTTAATAAAAAAAGAAGCATCTGCAATGACTTATCACACAAAATAAAATGTTTTGCATCCTTGCAAACATTATGTATATGTGTTTTTGTGGTTACAACTCAGATGGATTATTTTGCAAATTGATTAGATGCATATTTCCTTAAAAGGTTAAACATTTCCAAACACAAAACAATTCTTCTTTAGTTTAACTATAAAATATAAAATTATTTGATTTAAGTAAAGTGTGACAATATGCAAAGGTAAAGTTGTTGAAAAGTAAAAATAAATAAATAAATAAAATCTGTCGTGAAAAACAAGTACCTTTTTTTGGGTAGTAATAGTTATCTCAAAGCACAAGTTTTCCAGATTACTAAGATCTTCTTGGTGAGAATTTCAAAATGTTGTTCAAGACTATCCAGAAAGTTCCAAGAATTTTCTCTTCCCTTTAAAAGCAGAGCAGGAAACTCCTACCACCAGTGCTGAGCAGAGCTTGCTTAACCATGGCAGCAGATACATGTGAATTTGAGCAAAGGATGATTCAACAGCTGGTTTGTGTCAGGAAAACCAGTAAAAGATGTGAAGCTGGGCCTCATCCTCAACTGGTTATGCACATTTGAGTTTGTCTTTTGTTTTTGCATTACATAACTTAAACTCACACATACAAATCACTTTCAAGCATTCACTCTACACCGCTGAAACCAAAACTTTCAATCCATTATAGTCTTTAATAGATGTGATTTTGTGCACCCATACTTGTGGCATGATCTCCCATTTTTGTTATGATACTGAGCCACTCATAACACAATTTTACCTTCCGTCTAGGTAGAAATATTTATTTAAACAGATTGCATTCTTGACACATATATTGCTTAGATGCAGCAAACTGTGTGGCTGCAGTGACAGGAGGTACACCTTGAGATTCCAATTCCAAGTTCTTTAACTTCCCTTTAAATTAAAAGCTCCATATTTTAAACTTTGACACCACTGGATATCCCTACCAGACAATTTATCCTAAACAATAAATCTAAACAGGTTCTGGAACAGGAAAAGTGAGCTAACTTTGAGCCTCTGGGAAGGCCACCACCTTTAACTCTTTTAAACTGCTAAGCCAGGCTCTGACACATGACTAATCCAGATATTTAAGCCTCATGCATACATAGGTTTCTAATACACCAACGTAACCTGGATACATGGACGCCTGTTCAAACCTTGGTTATTAAAGTCACTCACAGAGACAGGATTTCATCTTTAGATATCCCTTCAGATAAATTATTCTTTGATACATATCCCAATGAGACCCAAGAAGAAGAAGAAAGAAAGGCCATCAGAGCCTGGAAATCAAATAAATAAATAAAAAACACAGTTTTTGCCCATATGAGAGGGAAAATATCCAGTCAGATTCATGTTAACAGCTAACTAATGGCTGCTAACCATTTGCATATCAGAAATATTAGGGCTCTAATCAGCCCTACTCAGACTGATTTAAGATATTTAAATCAACTATGAGCCATAAATCAATGTAACATATCCATATGTGAAGTAAAACCTCTCACCGGAAGTGTAGAACCCCCGACTACCACAAGGAGGAGCTAACACCCCCCTAACTTCTGAATAGAAGTATGCATTAGTATAAACTGGGCTTTATAGAGAGATACTGTACACACATAGTAACAACTTTATTTGTAGTGTCAACAAAAACTAAAGTGATGTTTTTTTTTTATTAAAATATTAATATAGGTCACTATTTTTAGTCCTTTCTTTTGGCAAGTAAAAACTTTATTTAAAGGTTGTTAAATTTCGAAATATAATTCGAAAATGAAATTATATATATATATATATAAAGAAAAGAAAAAAAAAGAAACTGAAAATGCTTTGGTATTAATAAGCAGAAACACTAAAAACATCCGCGACAGGAAGTTACAAATTGTCTTATTTGTTTCTGTATGACATAATCCCCAAGGACTTCCTGAAGATCTTCATCGGAAACATCTCAATAAAAACTAAAAACTTCCTTATAAATATGTACAGTTTCTGTTTTCAAATCGATGAATTAACCCCTTTTATTATCTTTTCTCTCCCCTCCAGTATGGAGGACCAACTCTGCCATATTTAAAAATAAATAAATAAATGCTCAATAAATAAATAAGAATACAATTAATTGCCCCAAATATATAATAAACAAATAAATGTAGGTAGAAATTAAATTATACACTGAGACATAAATGTATATATCTCTTTTAATTAGCTTTTTTATTTATTTGCCTTTGTAATAATTACCCTCTAGAAAAGGCATCCCCAAAGTCGGTCCTCGAGGGTCGCTGTCCTGCAGGTTTTAGAGATTTCCTTGCTCCAGCACAGCTGATTTTAATTGAAAGCTCATTAACAGGCTTTTGCTCAACTGCAATCATCATAATCAGCTGTGCTAAAGCAGGGAAACCTCTAAAACCTGCAGGACTTTGGGGAATGCCTGCTCTAGAAGTTGACCCCCTCCTCATTTAAAAAGTGAGGGAGAAATGCATACAGAATGGTAAAAACGACAGGCAGAAATAAATAGCATTGAAGAAAGAGTCAAAATATATAAAGGAAGAATAAAACAGACAAAAATATTATGTCATGCACATAAATAAATACTTAAAAAATAACTTTTATTACAACTTTATCAAATAAATAAAATTGAAGAATATAATGGACAATAAATAAATAAGGTAATTATCACAAAAGCGAATAAATAAAGAAGCTAATTAAAAGAGATATATACATTTATATGTCACTGTTTGATTTAATTTTTATCTACATTTATTTGTTTATTGTATTTTTGTGGGTGATTAATTGAATGCTTATTTATTTATTGAGCATTTTTTTATTTATGTATTTATTTTTAAATCTGGCAGTGTGGGTCCTCCATACCTCCAGAACCGCCTTAGTTTTTCATGCAACTTTCTGCAAGGGCTGTGCACCAGGAAATGGAGGCGCTGCTCTCATGATGATGATGATGATGATAATTGTGTAGCTGCAGCAGCAGAGTGCAGCAGACCCTGAACTGGGAGGAGGAAATCAGCGGCAGCGCAGACAGAAAACTTTCAGCAATTTTTGGGTAAATGAATCCTGGTTTAACTGTAATTATCCTCTGAGGGCGGGGATCGCTTTATGAGGCGTTTCCTCTGCTTATGTGGCAGCTTCAGCCTAACTTGTTACTTTGTATCAGGGATTTGCTCTAGCGGAAGATGTGGGCTGAGCCGCGCGCATTTCTGTCTCCAAACTAAAACTGTCCAGATCTTCCTCACTCATCTTTCTCCTTTTTTCCCCCCATCTAAAGGTTGTATTTAGGGTTGAAGATGAGCGAAGCAGAGCAGCCCAGACTTGAGCTTTTCGTAAAGGTAAGCAGCAGAAATGAAAGCCATCACACCCAAAAAGTGACGCGCAGTTGGTGGAAAGATCTACCTAAACTCCTGATAATTACGCACCGCTGTTTATCACAGATTAAAGTGAAGTTTAAACTGGATCCTCTGTTTGTTTTCATGTCAGTCATGACCACCGCTGACTCACCGAGGTCTATAAACCCCTGTAATCTAATTAAACGCACATTAAGACAACATGCGGCGGGTTTTTTGTCTATATTTAGTGTGTTGGTCAGGAAGCGTAGCCGCGTTTTTCTGCGCTATAATAATAAACTCTATTCCTCTTCCTCTCGCACAATGACTGCTCTGTGTCTACATGTGCGCCACCCTCCACTTTTTGCACTAAAGGCGTGAATGATGCTGTTGTAACTTCCCTAAATCCTAGTTTCATGAGACTTTACTTTCACACGGTTTCATGTCAAAGTCTATATTTATAGAATACACTCCAATTTTATTAATCTTCAAATATTTAAGGTATTTTTGCATTATGCGTTTTAGTTGAAAAGTTACTCATTTATAACTAGTTATTTCTGTAATTCCCCGTTTTTTTTATTGACTTTACACTCTCACAAGTACAGAGCAAGGAAATGAACTCTGCATATAATCCATTCCTTAGGGGAGCAGTGGGCTGCCATTGTGGGGCAACCGGGGAGCAGAGTGGGCAGAGGCATAGCCAGATAATTTTTATTTAGGTGGCCAGGCACAAACCAATGTGAGGGGGGCTGAAAATTAACGAGCAAAACATCCAGCGATTCTAAATAAAGACAAACTATACTTTCCTACAGCCTTTGCTAACAAATAGACGAATATATTCATATATCCGTAATTTCTAGATAAAAGGTATAGTTTATAAAACTTTCAGTTTTGATTTCTGGGGCGTATATCTTTACCAACTTGTATCAATAAACATTCAGTATGAAATTTATATTTACAAGCACTAATATCTACATAAATTGATTATTTATGTTATTTATTATTTTAGTTTTTATTAAAGTTGTTGTCAATCTATGATTTCACTGAAGACTCCTAGATGAGATGCATAATTTTCTCTTTACCCCATATAACAAAATCTAGTTCTGAAAAGAGCATGAATTTGTGCATACCATCTTTAATGTTTGTATATTGATGTGTAGAATTAACCAAAAAAAATTTAAATGTTTTGAATATTTCATTTGAGAGTATTACTGCTGCCACCATCTATATTAGAGTGGGAAAAAAATGGTAGGGGTGGCCAATGATTGCCTAAGGGTGGTCATGGCCACCCCTGGCCCCCCATCTAGCTCCGCCCCTGAGTTTGGGGTTAAGGGTCTTGCTCAGGGAGCCAGTGTGTCAGTCTGTAGGAGTGAAGCTCGAACTCAGAACCTCTGGATTTAAAGCTCTATGCCCTAACCACTATACCACCACTCCCCTTCGATTTTAATATGCTTTATTAGACTGTATGATCTGGTTGAATTATCACTGTAAAGTGCCTTGAGATGACATGTGTTGTGAATTGGCACTAACCAAAGGAGACCGACTGATGTGGGTCTCCTTTGGTTACCAAAACAGCCCCCAACAACTAAACCAACATAGAGAAGCTGTTAAGTTTCATGGGAAATCTTGGACCTAGTCCAGGTAGTATGATTGTTCACTTACAGAAATAAGTTTGTATGGTCTCCGCATGCATGCGTAGGCTTTCTCTTAGTGTTCTGACTTCCTCCCACTGTAAGTTGTTTTTCTTGTGGGTTTCTGTGTTGTCATCATGATGGAACAATCTGCCAGTGTGTACCTTGCCTCTTGCCCATAGACTAATGGAAATGGGCATCAGCGCCCATGTGACCTGGCAAGGACAAGCGGTTACAAATAATTGATATAAAACACCTAATCTAAGCTAAACCATTAAAAATAAAGCCTTGTAGCCCTGATTCATAATATCTAATTGTTTTATTTTACTTCAGTTAGGAAGTATTATTATTTGTTAAAGGTCAGAATAATGAGCTGGATTTTTTTTTCTATGAAATTAGACACATACTGATGAGCCAGATAACTTTTTAGATAAATATTTACATAATTACTTTCTTCAGATTCAGCTATTTACATCCATGTCTGTATTATTTGGTAGAAGTAGCTTTTAAACTGTATGACGTGGTTTAAATATTTTGGGAATCTTTCCACAAACTTCTCACAACAGATAGCTTGGATTTTGGCCATTTTTTTGAGACAAAACCAGTGTAACTAGGTCAGGATGTTGACCAACTTGCTCTCACACATGACTGCAGCTTCACTAATTCGTTTTCTACGTGCATAAGCCAAGGCTAGAAAACTGCAAAATATGAATATAATCCTGAGCTCATTTTGTCACTAAATATTGAATTTTATCTCCGTTTTTTTTCTCATTCTGTATTGAAAAGAGCCCCACTCCTTCCTGCATTCAAACATCCACTCGGCATGATGCTGCCACCTCCGTACTCCACAGTGTGTGTGGTGTTATCAAGTTTTACCATCCTCTACAACTTACGGTATCTATCATGGTTTGGGGACTCTACAACCAACTGGAAAAGGCAGGGTACACCCTTAACAGGTGACCTAAAGGACAACCACCACCTAAGGGCACTTTGGAGACACCAATCAGCCTCACCTGACAGATAACCAGCACATAACTGCTCCCTTCACTTGTTCTGCTTACGTGTAGAAAAACCCTAAAAGCCCTGATTTGAGCCAAGGACCTTTTCGCTGTAAAGCAACAGTGCTACAAAATGCACCACAGAACAGGAACAAGCATCACCCTTTTTCTTTTTGAAACCTTAGTATTTGTTTCATCAGATCAAGAGACCGAACAATTCAGGGTCTCTGTGCCCCGAGTGCATTTACTGACTGTAACATGTTTATTTCCTCACTAAGAGCCTCATAGTAACCGGGAATGTTTTACAGTTCAGTGTTTTTTTTTTTTATGCCAAACACAAAAAATAAACTAATAAATCAAAAATCAATGGTCTTCCTCTGTTCTTGACTTATAGGCAGGAAGTGATGGTCAGAGTATCGGCAACTGTCCCTTCTCTCAGCGTCTATTCATGGTCCTGTGGCTGAAAGGAGTGACCTTCGACGTCACCACAGTGGATATGAAAAGGTGAAGACTCTCCTTCATCTCTGTTTGTTTTTGTTTGATCTTGTGTAACGCTGCAGGTTGCTGCAGGCATAACAGAGAAAATCCTCCCATTGTGTCAAAAGGTCCCTAACTGAAGTGTTCAGAAAGAAAACGGAGCATTATGTTTTGAATTTTCTGTGTAGTTTTTGTTCTTCTCTTTGTCTCCTTGTTTCTGACTCCTCTACTCCTCCTCACAGGAAACCAGACATCCTAAAGGATCTGGCTCCTGGAGCTCAGCCTCCTTTCCTCCTGTACGGCGGCGAGGTTAAAACTGACACCAACAAAATCGAGGAATTCATTGAGGAAACTCTCGCTCCTCCAAAGTAACTGCTCCCTTCACTTGTTCTGCTTAGCTATCTTTATTCTGCCTGGTTATGCTAAAATGATCTGAAAATGTATGACATATGTAATTTTTTAAACATTCAAAGATTTTAAATCCTCCATTATATCTAATTAGATTTAAACTCTATGGATAAATCAAGGCAAATATCTTAGTTTTTTTTCTTATAGAATTTATTTTATAAGTAAATGGGGTTTTTTTTGGGGGGGGGGGTTTCTGAAGCCTCTTAGTGGTCTAATCTTGACTTTGGCTGCCTCTTTATTGATCGTTAGTGCCATATATAATAATTTTTCTGTCTGGAGAATACATTATTTTTAGGATTAATGGATAATTCATGAGATCCAAGTCTATTTACCTTGTTCCAAATGTTCATATCCTATAAATAGGATTTAATTATTCATTTTATTTAGATGTTAAAACATTCCTACTGCTAAAGTAATAGGCTATATTGATTATAAGAGCCATGATAAAGTTATCTAATACTTTGTTTTGTATTTCAAAACCTAAAATAGAGAAACATGGATGTGTGTTATTTCTTTTCTCCAGAACATAATTTAGAACATTTTGAAAACATGAGTATAAAACATTTATTGGAATATATTAAGAGCAGAAATCCTCTTCTATGTATAATCTGTTGTAAGGATCTTTAGTGTAAGTGGAGAAATAGTGTTTTAGCCTTTCATCCAGCTAATCAGCAGTGTGCAGGAACAGGTGGGGAAAGAGCAGAGCTTCATTACTTTATACCTTATCCAGCCAGAGATAATTTAAGTCAATTAATCTTGTATCTCAATAAAAGGACCTTAAATAGTAGGAAGACTCAATGAAAGAGGGTTTCTGAAACAGGATAATATCCTGAAGAACTGTTGTCCAAGGCTTAAAACATGAGAAAGTCTGAGAAATTAGGGCTTGTTTACAGCAGTTATTTGTATATTAAATTATATTTTATATATATTATTTAAAGAAGACTTATACAAAAGTTAGCTGCAGTTTCTTTTTTATGCACTCTCAATAATTTTTTGTTGTTGTTTTTGTAATTGACCATCTGTCCGTCTCTTAGATATCCCCGTCTGGCTGCTCGTAATCCGGAGTCCAACACAGCAGGAGTGGACGTCTTCTCCAAGTTCTCTGCTTACGTCAAGAACTCAAACCCTCAGACTAACGACAGTAAGCATTTGTCTGCTTAAAGATATAATGTCTTCACAGGAAAGCAAAATGGTCCATATGTTAATCTCAGACTTAAAATAAACTGTAAGGTGTGTCTGTGCATATAACATTACACTTAGCTGATCCGCATTCGTCAGTATTGCACACTCTTCACTGTTCTTAATCAGTTTATCTTTTGTTGAAAGATATTCTGTAGCTTTAGGTGTCTGTGTTTGCACTCAGATCTAGAGAAAGGTCTTCTGAAGGCTCTGAAGAAGCTGGACGACTACCTCGGCTCCCCACTTCCTGACGAGATCGACGAGAATAGCGCTGATGAGGTCACTTCCTCAACACGCCCTTTCCTGGATGGCCAAGACCTAACTCTGGCAGACTGCAACCTGCTGCCAAAGCTGCACATTCTGAAGGTAATCTTCTCAGTGTGTGGGGTTTATCCTCACCGTGGTTTTCCTGATGCACGCCACTCAAACGGCTCCTTTTTTTAATCCCCCTCCTGTTGCAGGTGGTGTGTTTGAAGTACAGAAAGTTTACCATTCCCGAGTCTCTGACAAACGTCTGGAGGTACCTGAACTCTGCATATGCCAGGGAGGAATTTAGCTCAACCTGTCCAATCGACGAGGAGATCCACATGGCTTACTCATCTGTAGCTAAAGCTCTCAAGTAGGAAGAGGATGCACAATGTGAAAGTAAAAAGAATAATCCACACAGACGACAGTTAAGCAAATATTCACTCTGTAAACCACCCAGATCTGTTTCCCTGACGATGGGTGTTCCCTTAAATCCATGTTTACCTTTTAATACCATTGGAAGTCAGAGAGCACACCCACCCACAGGTGTATCTTTGTACTTTAGACAGGATCCGTTTACATCAGCAGGGAGGTGAGGGCAGGTGTAGACAATCCAGGAAAAACTCTTCCGATTATATTTTTAAAAACATTTAGCAAAACATATTTTTACAAAAATTTTTTTTTATTGTTTTACCTTTATTTATGTACTTCATCAAGTCAATTCAGAGGTAGATAAAGGTTTTATGAGGTTCTAAAATACAATATGGGTCCATTTATTCTCACCTTAAAAGAGGTATCTGCCACTAACATAGCAAAATAGTGCTTTATTTAAATCTTAGTATGGCATGAGATTCTACCTGAATGATAACCTTGAGATCAAAAAAAAAGTTTAAGGTAAGATCAGAATACAAAATAGTGTTACACAATAATTTCTACTCCTGCTGAATTTCAACAGTTGAAGTGACACTAGCTGCTCTGTCCCGGATGTACAATCCGTACCATCTCAAAAGCTCAGAAATACTAAGCATACTAAAATATAATGTGTTAAAGAATAAAAATAATTTCCTGAAAAAATAAATGCCTTAAAATCTTTTCTGTTTTATCAATCGTCTGTGCCCAACATGCACCAAAAATTACATCCTACGCTACTTCTGGGGGGTAACCTTTTTAGCTTTGGATTTAAACATAAATCTAAGTCTTTTTGAGTTTAATATTTTCCTTTCGTGTTAACATTATGGTAAATAGTGCATAATCTAAAGAAAAAAGCAAGTAAAATGCAGATAAACATGGTTTAATCATATTTTGCGGGACATCAAAATTGCCTCAGAAAAGTCACAAAACAATATCAGCTTTTAGATTCAGCAGGGGGAAAAAATTCAACAAATTGGGTTCCTTTTTTAAAAGAAAACTGTAAGTAACAAGCTTGCTTCAACTTTCTAGATTTCAAGTCTCCAACAGAAAATTGTTCTTCAGCCATTTTCATTTCTGTTACTTCAGCACTAGAAGAAAAAAATAATGTTTTTCTAGTTTTGATCACATCTTCAGCATATACACATCAATGTTTTGCCCTTCTCCACTTTTATATATTCTCGAGGATTATTATTTGAACAGACACAAAGCTGTCTTCCTGATTAAACTTTCCTTTCATTTAGAATTACCTTTTTCAATGTTCAATTAGAGAAGGGATATTTTCACACCAGCAAAGGTTTACCTGCCAAGGAGTCATTTTGAGGTTTAATCACAGCTGCTTCCTGCAGATTTTATTATGGACAAAACAAAGCTCTTTACTGTTATACATTATGCATTTTAAACAAAGTTCATACTGTATTCATCATGGTGCATGCCAGAGAGGAAAGCCGCACAGACTGAGGCAGCACCGAAAACAGTTAAACAGGAAACCGTTTCAATAGACGCGGGTTTCCCCTTCCTACGCTCCTGAAGCAAGCGTGAGGGATTATTTAAGATTAGTGAGCGTGTTTGTGATCCGCTTTGAAGGCCTCTTATTAATAATCACATCAATAGAAGGGAGGCTGTGAGTATAAAGACTTCTGTAAACTAAAAAAGGAGAAGGTTTAATAAAAATACATTTTAAAAATGAAAGCAACTCGGTAGCTTTTTTGCTTTCACTATTATTAAAACTTTATAACTGCACCTGTATGAGGCGCAATAAAGGACATATCAAGGAATGGTGGAATTAGGCCTGGACAAGTTTTAAACTGTAGCTCCAAGGGACAGTGCTGAGATTTTTACACTCATCATAACAAATGGAGGATTAGATAGCTATCATATGCTTTTCTGGCTGTAAAAAAGAAAAATAAACATTTTGGCATTGGTGGCATTTTTTCTCAAGGTTATCAGGATGTCAGAATTGCATACTGGATAGTCTAAATAAACTTTTGTTTCCTTCCTTGTAAAGCTAAGACATAACCTGTTTTGTTTTTGCCAGAATAATCTCAGTAACAGAGGATAATTAATAGAAAAAAAATGTATAAAAATAATGGTTGCAATGTAATTATTCTGGGGAGCCCCCTTAAAAAAGCCAAATATAGCAGCATTGTTTGCTTATGCTTTCAACTAGACCTCACCTTGTTGCTGTCAATGAACAGGATATTGAGTAGAAATAAACCAATAAAAAAACCAAGTAAAAATTTTGTCCCACTAAAATTGTACAGGAATCTATCCTGTACACCCCTTTTTGCTGAATATACATTGTATTTTTTTTTTGTTGCATTTTTTTGTAGTGAAGTTCAACATTTGTAATAGGTAGGCTTTATGTTTCGGTTAAATCAAATTAAGTAAGTTTAACAAGTATATGTCTTTGTTACATCTAAAATACAAGGTAGTCTAGTTTTCTTTTGTATGTTAGAACTTTTTATTGAGTTCTAAAACATGTCATTTATATGCCACTGCCAGCCTTATTCTCATCCAAGGGGATGTAAGATTCACAAATCTCACTTGTAAAACAATCTTGAACTAAATAGAAATGGAGGGATCCAGAGCTATTAACACATCTTGCTCGGATGAGTAATAGAGAGTTAAGGTTGACCTCAAGGCACCATATAAGTTCACATTTCAAGAGGCTGTATGGATGTGAAGCTCTTTTAATGTGTTGAAAATAATACCGAAGTGCAATTAGAAAATCCTGTATGCATAGTTTGTTTATATTGAATTAGTCATTAGTTAATTAACTCAAATAAAACAATTTTTTAAAAAAGGTTGGATTACAGATTTGTATTTTTAAGTTGACTGAACTGCTGTGGATTTGATCTGTTTTTTGATATGGTCTAATTTTAAAGGGATCGAGTCTGAATAATTTCACTGTTTATTATTTCAAGTGTTTTTCTCCAGGTATTGAGGAAATTCTCACTTTTTAATATATATTTAAAGCAAATGTAGGGACATAAAATGTTTTTGGATTTCTTCTTTTTAGTTTCTGTTTCACATGTGGACATTGTGCTTTTCCCCATTGTTGTCTTAATGCTTTGGCATCATGAAGTTAAAAAGCATCTGCACTTGAAAGTCCAACGGATTAAAACAACCACATGGGCACCAAACCAGTGAAGACAATCAAACTCACTGTTGAAAAATGTTTTTTACTTTTATTAATGTTACAATTTAAAAAAAATCTTCATAATAAAACATATGAAATCTTTTTTGTTTAGAGGATTGCTTCATTGAAATGTTCACACACACGTGGACACACACACACAAAAATTGTGAAGTAGTAATGCAAACTCAAACATAAGCTGTTAAAAGATATTCTGTGCTTCTAATTTGTGGTAACAGCCTGGTTCTGTTGTAGGTTTCTTGCTAGTAAAAGGGAGTTTTTCTCTCCACTGTTGCAACATGTATGCTCTGTGTGAGGGATTGCTGAACAGTCAATTGCCCAATCCCAAACCAGCCCCTAAGCACTAACCCCCCCGTTTGCACATTCCTGCAGAAGGTCTGCCACATTAAGTGCCATCCCAAACCACGTAGTGGGTAGGCTGAATGGAATAGCTATTCTGCATAAGGGCAGGCCTCCTGGAATTTGGTGTAACAGCAGCTTGACTGTCGAGGAAACGTGCATTTAAATGTAAGTTCCATCGGTTTGCTGCATGTTCATCACACTGACAAAAAATATCAAATTGGGTATAAGAAAGAGACATAATTAATTCCAAAAGGAAAGGTCCTCTTTGAAATAGTTTTTTCTGACCGCATGCATTTGTTTTAAGAAAGGGGAAAATGTTGTATTTTATATCACCCCGCACCAGAGAGCTAAAGCCTCACACATGTGTTGACCACTGCAGTGAAGTCACCAGCCGCCATATTGGTACTCCCTAGTTAGACTGGCCGGAGTGTAGACAATACGTGCGCTACAGCATCTAACAATGATAATGTTCTCATTTTCAGGGGGGCTTAAGACTTAAAGATAAAGCCACCACTTTGACACACACTTGCTGTTTCAGCATAGGTAGGTTTATGTAATTTATGGTAAAAAAAAATTGGCACATCACGTTGCCTATTCAGTATGAAGTCTATAAATCATGTAATATAATATATTCAAAGCCATCACAACAAAATTAGTGTGTTAATGGTGCATAATAATACTGTAGTCAGATATTAAGAATATTACACACGCACACAAATATGCTCTTATGATGTGTCAAAAGTGCTAGATTAATGATGTACATGTAATATACATGTGTCGATTAATTTTTGGTAATTCGATAATGGTAATAACATTACATTACAAGCATTTTTATGGCGCGCCTCCATTAGAGTGGGGAGTACCAAAATGGCTGCAGGTGACTTTTTTCGGCCTATCAGGAATCCATTGAATAAATAGAGATACGTGGTGTTGCCTTAGCAACCACTACTCTCTTTTCCGTTGAAGGGAAGAGGCTGTCCCAATCTTGCTTATATCCTCCACACCTTTAATCAAGGCGCATTTCAACAGCTGTGAATGTGACTTTATTGCAAGTGAGAGCAGCTTAGGATTCAACCAATGAGTTGGTGCAATCTGTTGGTTTTCCTGAGATAGAAAAACAGCTGAACCAATCTGACTGTATGATCTGGTTGAATTGTCTCTGTAAGGTGCCATAAGATGACATGTGTTTTGAATTGGTGCTTTAAAAATAAACTGAACTGATTGAGGAATCTTTATGTAGGAGGTTTTCTTATATTTGTTGAGTTTGTTTGCTTATTTCTTTTAGGAGATTTTTGAACAAGCTTTGACAGCTGATGAGCAAAAACATATGACCTGCAGGACGTTGCTGATTGTCTTTGCTTTAAAAAGTTTTAATAATTGTGAAAAATAAAGTTAGATTTAAATATTACTATATTTTCTTATATTAGTTATATTCAGTAATTCAAAGATTTATAAGTTGTGTTAATTGTACAATAGATGCTTGTATGAGCAAAAATTGTAGAAGAATAAAAAAAAAAAAGCAGTGGAGCTAAAAAGGAGGATTAAGGAACCATCCTTACATTATGTTAATAACGTTGACTGTGCTGTTACTCTCACAAGGATGGGTGACACTGCAAAAATATCGTTTTTTTTTTTTTCTTTTATACTGAACTTTATCTTTTTAAAAACAAAAATTTCCTCTTTTTTCATGTCCTCTGGAGGACCTTAAAAAAACATTTTGGCCATAATTGCATATGTTGTGATGAACTATAACCAATTTTTCCTTTAAAATCTTTGAAAGTCAACTCCAAAGTAATAAAAAAATGTAGAGGATCTGTGGTAAGCTCAGCTCCTCAGGCCAGCAGCAGGGTGACAGTAGACAGCAGGCAGAGCGCCGCTCCCCTCCAGCTGAGGACGGCAATGGACTCGGCTCTGTTGCAAAGGTCCGTGTCGCAGCAGTCATTGGTATAGTTAAAGTAAACCCCTGAGGTGTACTTCTGGCCGGACAGGCCACACTGTGACTGTACGGCACAGCTCTTCTCATATATGGTTAGCTGAACAGCACCTGTTGAGGCAAACAGGACAGATACCAAGGAATTAGCTGAGAAGGTGCTGAAAATGGTTAATAAGGTTAATAATTAATCTTTAGCTGTACAGATTCATTACCAAGTAGCAAGGATTTTCTGTACTCTTTTTCCATGAACTTGATCAATACCATACCAGAATTTCTAAATTTTTTCACTTTATATTGTATGATGTGTGCTTAACATGAATATAAGTGGACTAATAAAAGGCAAAGGAACAGATGTATAGAGTTTTTAGCTCAGCTTTCCTCCTCTGTCTGAAGATAGGCATTCCCAGAGCATAATGCCACTCCCACATATCCTTACTGGATGGTTGTTTGTGGTTAAATGCAGTTTTAAAGTTTTTTAGTTGGCAGTAATGGCGTAACTTTCTGAAGGACTGGTGTGGACATGTCCCCACCAACTTTGGGCACGGAGAGGACAGTCCCCACCAATAAATTTCTGCTTTTTTCCTCCTTTCCACTGATTTACTTCAGCCAACAGTAACTGGGTTTGGGTGCAGCTGTCTGTGTTCAGAGCATTTTCAGTCCGGGTTTTTTTCCTGTGCCAACAACCCAGAGACAGCCAGACTCACAGGACACAGACTGAAAATTAAAGTATAAGAAACCTACAAGAATTAAAGCACCAATAATAAAAATCTGTGTATAAATGATTTTTGAAATATAAGGTTCAATATATAGACTTTGGCTGTTAATGACATATGGGACACATTTCTAAATTAAATTTTGCTGCTTGTGAAGGAGGATCATCACTGATGCAGGTTAAAGGGAAGCCATGCATGGATGGATGGATGGAATTGAAGTTGTGTTCATTCTAGGGATGCATGATAAATTGATGTTGGCATCGGTATCGGCTGTTATTCGTCATTTTTTATACATTAATGTTTTTATACCCCTTTATAAAATAATGCACTAAGGGCAGGCATCTGTCTGTAACTATAAATATCAGTTTGCTGTGGTTCTCTTGTGTTCTCAACAATAGGAAAGCATTCAATAAATATATGTTTGAGCTCATTTTTGGAAAATATAAACCTTATTGAAAGCGTTCAGGTTGACTAGCTGTAGGTCCATCAGCCACTATCCTTAAAGCATCCCCACCAACTTTTATCCCACATTACACCCTTGGTAAGCAGACAGTAATTTTAGATGTTGGTCAATAAATTAATTTTAAAAGACTTTGCTGTTTCTGATTACACTTTCCCACAAGAGCCGTGGATCCCCTTGGCTCCTCCAGTTCATGAACCTCCTGGCTGCTTGTCTGATTAATGTTCCCCTCGTTTTGACTGCCATTTTAAATGGGCTGCCATATCTTTGTAGATCTGTGGTTGTCCCATATTAATTCATTTTTCATATGGATTGAGCAGAGCTCTGTAAGATGTTCAGGGCATGGTATACGGATTGAAGCTTCTCCCAAACATTCTCCCTGACCCAACTTTTCTCCTCTGTCTTTGTGATTTTTTTTATTTTTTTTTACTAATTTTTTCCAGAAACCTTTGCAGACCAGCTGAATTTATACTTGTAGATTACATTAAGATTAGGAAACTTTTATTTAGATGTAGTTGAGTGAGGGGACCTTAACTAGTGTCATATATATTTAGATGTAAATGGAATAAATGTTTTCCTGTGTTGTCATCCTTCTAGCTTGGTCTATCCTAAAGTCCTAATGAAGCATCTTTGATATATGACAAAATATGAAAAACTTCATAGTGCAAAAACCTAAACATTTCAGCTGAGGCAGGGAGGAGTCATCTTTCTGATTCAGAGAAAATGTTTTGCCTTTATGTGTGACATTAATCATCTACTAAAGTATACTTTAAAGTTTTAGGTATCTGGTATTTTACACTATCTATTTTCACAAGTTTAAATTTGTTATTTTAATCTCTTATTTAACCTGGTAATGTCTGGTGAAAGCACATTAAATCTCTTTCTTACTGTAGGTCTTTTTGCATCAAGCTAATACCTCATAAGGCACTAACTATGAACTATCGCATGAGAAAAATCTATTTAACGAAGTACTTCACATAAAATTTTATCTTTGAAAGTCTTTAACGAGGACAATTTATTAGGACCTGTGTGAGTCTGTTAGTATAAACTGCAAGCTTTGCTTGAGACCTTTTAGCTCTGATGAAGCAGAGCCAATATCTTGTCCACTCCCAGAGATCTCAGGCGGTTATTTTTAGATGATTTAATCACATTAAATCTCTCAGTGAGCTGTCAGCCGGCCTGATGAGAAACGGTGCTGAGTTCTAAAACGTTGAGTCACCCTTTTGTTTTGCGTAATCACAGACAGAACCAGAAATATTTGATTCTCACCACAGCAGGTAAAAGGACATGAGTTTAAATTAAAAATCACATGTAACCAATGAAGGACTGAAAGCTCTGATGCTGTCTTGTGCTTAAAGAGTGGTATGATTCTTGGACCCATTTCAACAAAATAAATAGTCCTTTTTTTTAACCTGTTCCAATAAATTGCCCTGAACAGCAAGACTTTTATTTTGATAGGTTTTGAATCTTAGCATTTGGATAATTAACTATGCAGATGCAGAAAGAGAAACATCTGGATCTGACCTCGCCTTCCTGTTGCCACACTGGAGAGGCAGCGCTGCCCTGCAGGACATTCCAGAGGAAACTTCAAGCAGTCCAAGGGGGATATGGCAGGAAACACACAGGTGTAACACTTCAAACAGCCTGGGAACAAATAAAGTGCAGCCTAACATTAGATATCTATTTCATTTCTGCAACCGAACTATCTGATTATGTGCCTTTAACATTGATTTAGATTTATTCAAATTCATTTGTGCTGTATTTGATCAAAACAGACAATTTTGAAAACAAACAGAAACGAGAACCATTAAAAAATATATAAACCACAAAAATATCATATTCTTGCATCCTACATTATACACATTTCCCAAATTGTTGTTGCAGGCTTTTAACTTTTTACAGATACATTTAACTTACTGATTTACAAACAATTGGTCTGGTTAATTGCTCCCCCTAGTGGACAGGATGTTATGTTTAAACAATGTCGGTTTACTTTTTTGTTTAAAAAATGTGTCAAAGAAAAAAAGGTTAAAAAATGTATTTTTTATAAGAACATTTTAATTGTTTTTGTTCTCTGGTGTATTGTAATTTAAAGGGTAAGGATATACAACACTGAAAATAATGTATTAGCAAAAGTAAAAAATTTAGAGATTAAAAGATTATGAAAAAATGTACTTTACAATACATCAGCTGAACTCTATAGTTCCTTTAAAGTTTCTCAAAGTTTTTCTCCATTTGTTTTATTTCTTATTTATTTTATTCACATGCCATGCCCTTCCTTCTCTCACTTCATAACTCTACTCTTAGGTCATATTTTTTCTGTTTAAGTCATTTATTTATGTACAAACTGTGGAAATAATCATAAAATGCTGAAATAACAAATAATAATAATAATAATTTTTGCTGCATATTTTGCACCTGCAGACTTTGTACAGCAGATTTGTGCCACATGTCTTTAAAAACATGGAGAAAATTATAAAGGTGAAAAATATGTGAAGACTGAAATGTAGAACTAGGATATTTAAGGAAATTCAGAAGAGATGTTAGTGTCAACTATTTTAAATTATTAAACCACATTAAAATGGATGCAGATGTAAAGCTAAAGTTTGGATATCTACAAAAACAGGTGTGGCTACACCGGTACATTACAAACTGGGCTCCTGGCAACAACTAGAAAGACCAGTGGAAAGGTTTAGCTGAAGCCTGTGACCATAAACCTGGTGCTGTTGGCTTGTCGTGGTATAAAAGCAATCATAAAAGCCTCAAAACTGTGAAATATTTACATTTAAGTCAATGAGGGTGCAGCACATGGCCCAGCGTTACTGGCAGGACTTAAATACGGAGGCCTCAGTCCTTTATGCTTCCCCCTCTCTCTGTGTCTTATTCCATGTTTGTTAACCCTGCAAATAAAGGTCTCTAGTTCAATAAAAGGATAAAATAATAAGCCATTTGAAGGTTAATTCAGTAGGGGGTGGAGAGGGGGGGATTTCAGAGGTGCTCAGAGATTTTCTAAAATGTATTTTTCATGTAGTTTATTTGATTTTTTAACCATGTTAATTTAGAATCAGTCTACAGTTATAACTGCCAACTGCGAATGCAAGAAATCGATGTTTCAATCGACACACATTTCTATCATGCAAATGTGTAATTTCATTTTAATCTCCTAAGTGTCTAGATTGGAATGTTTACCAGTTGGTTTAGTGACAGATAATGTGAAAACTCCCTTGTGAGCAAATCTGAGCCACTGTACTAAAAGACCCAAATTCAGTCCTTCTGGTTACTGTTAAATCAGTTCATAAACTAAATGTAAACTAAAAGCAGAGTAACAATTACAGACTATTGATTTTCTCTGTGCATGATTGTTTTCCACTACGAATCTAAAAGATATATTGTTTTTAGATTTCCATTTCTTAGGAAGAGGCTGAGTTCCAGTGACACCCGCTGCTGGATCTCCTAAACACTTCAAGATGCTGAAGGGGAAATTCCTACCTGCCAAATGAAGACAACTAAGGAGTCCAATAAGAATCTGTAAACGAGCCATGGTCCTTCCTTAAAATCCCTCTGCTCAGTTTTCCAACAGGAGCAGCACTATGGAAGCCTTTCTCTGTATCCTAAATTTCTGGAGCAGCTTGATCTGAAACGTCCTCTTGCTCATTCCCTAATTACATTCCCCATCTACTTCTGCAGACTTCTTTTTATATTCCTATTAGGTTGATAAAAGATGATTCCTCCAGTGATTCTGTCTTCAGATCACCTGAGCGTCTCCTCACTCTTGTCCTCTTTTTCTTCTTAGGACAGTGATGGGGAGCGTCTCCTCCAAGGAGTTTCTAATTTGATTTAGAGAGATAACTACTAACAGCTGACATCCTGAAAAACACGTGTAAAGAATTAGATTTATATCCCGGCCGTATGGATAGTTTTCATGAAGCTTAGCAGGCTGTAACAGTTACAGCCTTATCAGAATGACTACATGATTTTACAATAAGATAAAAGAGGAAGGACTAATAAACAAGATCAGCAGGCCTGACAAAAACAGAGAAAGAAAACATTTCTGTGACTAAAGATAAAAAGTAGAAAGGCTGTGGTCAGATATTTGGATTTTAAATACCGGTAATTAGATCCTTACCAACTTTATTTCCGTGAGCTGCTCCCAAAGCCACAATTAAAATATTAAAGTTAAAAGGAAGTGACCCTACTAATATCAAATGGTATTTTAGGACCATACAGCAGAGGATCAGCTAAAGGTGATTCATATGACAGGATAATTTCTGGTTGTTAAAGTTTGTCTTAAAATATTTGAATAGTGTTGAAAAAATATTTAATTTATTTTATGTTTCACTACCACAGTCTATATAGGTCCTGGAATAAGGGAATTTTACTACTGAAACCTATCTCCAGTGTTTTCACTGTATTTTGATATAATAGAAAGATAAATCTCTGATTTTTTACATTGATGTTTAATGAAAAACACATCTATTTCTGGTAAACCCAGTATTCTGCAGCCTCTAATGGGTTTTATAAATTATTTTTTTATGAAATCTGAAATTTGTTACAGTGTTCTTTTTTTTTTTGTAATGGCCAGTTTCACATGCTTTCTTTTCTCTTTACAGAACAGATGGATTTATACTGATTACAGTTACTCACAGCTGCTCTTTGTTAATTTTGTTCTTTTCTGTATCGCCATGTTTATAGTTGCTCAGGATTTATTTACAGGCGCTTAAGAAAAGGAAGCTAAAGACGAATCTCCAACCCATTTTTAAAAAACTATAAAAATGTAGATACAATGCATATTTTTTTCTTTGTGGTTTTTCCCTTTTTTAAATAATTGAAATGTATTGATCTCAAAATGGAGAAATTAACTTCTGCATCTTAACCCATCCCTTTGGGGAGCAGCGGGCTGCCACTGTGCGGCGCCTAGAGAGCAATCAAGGGTTAATGGTGTGGGGAACGAACCAGGTACTTTCAACCTTTTTAGAGCACAAGTGCACGGCTGTAACCACTAGGCTAACACTCCCCTTACTTAACAAAATGTAAAAGGTTTAAAGGTAAAATATACCTATATAAGGCAACATAATATCTATCCATATCAGATTAGTAATTGTTTTAATATCTGTTCAGAATTGCACCCATTTTTACACATGAAAAATTTGTAAAAATTGTCTAAAAATTGTTATTAAACATAAACCTCACGTATTCTCAACTTCTTTTTAAAAATTAAGCAAGAAAAATGCCTCAGTGCAATTAAGGAAGAAATAAAGAAAGAAAAAAAAAGATGCAGGAATCTAATGAAAGGGAGCCTGCAAACTTTTGGGCAAATGTACATTTAACTCCTAGAGGAAGTGGATCAATGTGTGGATCAATGATGTTTTATTTTAAATGGCGGAAAGTTTATTAATAACCTCGCCCATTGATAGCCTCGCCCATATCACAGTTTCAGTTCATTAGTTTTTGTCAAGACTGAGGTAAAAACAAACAATGAAAAGCATCACTGCGCTTATATGCAAAGAGGGAAGTAGGAGCAGTAAAGTCAGCAGGGAGTGTCAGCAGATAATGAGAGAAAGTCAGCATGTTGTGAATAGACAGAGGCCCAGTGAGCCGCTGTAACTGAATCATCCTTCAGGCCATAATGGGAGACGTGAGGCCAGCAGGCAGGATGGTCTGCTGACCGAAGTCTTGTGATGGAGACAGTCGAACAAAAGCTTGGACTCAACAAGCTGTTTTCCAGTCGGTTAATTGCACAGAAATCCAGAAAACAGACTTATTTTAAGGTTTCTGTTCATTTATTCTAGTAAAAATATATTCTTTCGAGAATAAAGACAGTGCCAATCCTAAATGGTTTGAAGCCCTTAGCAGAAAACTTTTTTAAGGGACCACTTCCAATTAAACCCACCAGCCTAACACATAATCACGTATATCTAAAAGATCTCAAAATCCACCTGTATGTTATTTAATCTCAGTATTCATTTGGCTCTTAAGGCCTCGCAGGGTTGTTTGAGAGGATTAGTATGCAAACAGCATAATAAAGACCAAGAAACAAACTAGATAGAGGAAGTTGTGGAGAAATTTGGAGCATGGTTGGGTTGTAAAATGATATTCACCACTGTTTGATCATGCAAACCTACATGGCTGTCCACCTAAACAAACAGGATGGACACAATGCCTTATTTAGAGAAGCAGGCCAAAGGTCCATGGTTGCTATGGAGGAGCTATAGAGAGAGTTGAGGGGATAAATAAAACACAAATCTAATGTTTATAGGTCAGGGTGGAGGTTTGCCCTCCATCAGGACAGCAGCCAAAAAGACACAGCCAGAGGTATAAAGGTAATAATTACATGGATTACATAAAAAGGAAGCTAAGCAGCAGCTTAGTTCACTTATGCCTTGGGCTGGGTTTGGCTCCAACAACAACTAATCAGCTTGTTCTGATACTGTTGAGAATTTGTTGCGGGTTTGTATGGTTTCATTGTTGTAATTAAAACTTATTTATCATATTTTCCAACTCATAAGTCTTTTTAAAAATGAGAACGAAAAAAAATTAAAGAAAATCCTTCTACAAGCAATAAATACATTGAACCTACTATTCATAATTTTGAGTTTTTTTTTAGAGCGAAACAAAGTTCTTGAATGATTTAAATGATGATACTATATCTTATTTTAATTAATTAAACAGATTTTGCGTATGATTTGCATCCTTTCTGAAGCATCAGGATAGATGGAATCCTTTAATCCTGTCTGTGGCCTGAGCGTCCCATCCTGTTTGTCGTTCTGTTAAGTCCACATCACATTTTCTGTGTGCTTTCCAAATCTGCCTCAAAGCATTTGTCCCATGTTGCAGTAACTCAGCCCCGACACAAAAAGAGAATATTGTGCATCCCTCTATTATATCCAGTAAATCACTGCCCGGGTTAAATCTACAAAAATGACTGGATAAGTTCAAATATGGTCAGTATTTCTCTGGTTGCAGATTAGGTGACCTCATTATCTCTCTATTGCTGCATCATTTGACCCTAATTCTAGAAAATGATTGTTTATATTTTGGCAGGGCATAAACAATACCATTGATACAGGCTTAAGAATTTAAACTAACGTAAATGAATTTAAATGTAAAATTATCTGATTTATTGCAAACCATTTCTTTTTATAATGAATTAAAAATATATACAGACAGCTCATGGGCTTATAGAGGCAGTCATTTAGGATTACAGAGGGAGGGGACGTTAAGAGGCGTCCTTAATCTTTGAAAACACAAATCAGTTGTCTGAAAAAAGGAGGGAAACCCAGTTTGGCTGCAGCAGGGATTAATAAAGAGGAGTCCAAAATGCTAAACTCTTGTTTAGCTTGTATTTTGAAAAGAGACCATGCTTTTAAGAAATAACAGCCTTAACACAAATCAAAGAATAATAGTCTGAAATTTATATTGCTTTTTTTTTATCTAATGGTTTAGAACTTCTTATGCAATAAAGTTGCTGCATGAGTTCTGTTGATTTTTCTCTTTTCTTTGTCACATTTTAATTAGCAAATCAGTTGATTTTTTATTTCTAGAGTGATATTATTATGTCTCTTGTCTCATTTTGTAAGGTTTGTCTTGTACTTACTTAAAACAAAATAATTTCTTGTGTTTTTTCCTGCTTATTTAGAATATTATTAATTCAAGACTACGTTTTGTTTTATTTCCATATTTGAAACACAGATCCTCCTTAATGTTTTATTTTAGACTATTTCTGGAAAGTCTGTGTTTTAATCTGAAATGAGTCCAGTCATTTTGACCAAGCTTTTAATAATTTTCCATTACAAAATGGAAGGACGTCTTAAGTCTTTGTTTTATAAATCCATGACATCTCCATTAGTCATTTTTTCTACACGTTAACTTTAAACTCACTAAAATCGTTTTTATTTTGTTTGTATAATGTAGTTTTAAAGTGATAAAATCTGTGTCTATAACATTTTTCATCACATTGTTTCTTTCTTTTTTAATTAAGATACATATTTTAAACATAAAGTAGGTTTAACTGAGTTAAACCTACCTCGGTTATTTGTGCTGGTTTAGCATAACAGTGTATTAAGTTATCATTTGTTAAATGTCACTTTAAGAAAAAAAATAACTATATGGGATCTATTACTGAGTAATTATGGAAGAGGATTAGGGCCACTGGAAAAAAAAAAGTTAACTGATTTTTTTATTTTATTTCAGTATAATATGATAAAAAAAAGTCTGAACTCTGAGATTAAAGTCAGAACTCTGAGATTAAAGTAAGAATTCTGACTTTTTTTCTCACAATTATGACTTTATTCTCACAATTCTGACTTTATTCTCACAATTCTGACTGAATTCTGACAGCTAACAAACATGTTAGCATCAAGTCGTTGCCATGTCTGTTTTAAAGACTAAACTAGCTGTCTTGTTTTAATCACCTTCTGCCCTTCCGTTAATTAAAGAGCATCACGTAAAAAGTTGCCTAATTCCGTAATTTTCCACCAATGATGTTACTGGCCCTCCCAAACAACTCCCATCTTCCTTCATGGTGCCAATCTACATTTAAAAAGTCAGAATTCTGAGATTAAAGTCAGAATTCTGAGAAAAAAAATCTGAATTCTGACTTTATTCTCATATTATACTGAAATAAAATTTAAAAATCAGTCCACCTTTTTTTTTTCAGTGGCCCTAATCCTCTTCCGTAGATTATGACAAATTAGGAAGAACCTGGATTTAAAACAACAGCGTCTGTGAAACATCTAATCAACGCTGATGGAGTCTGGGCAGGACGGTGGGGGATGGGGGGCACAGGGGTGTTAAGCAACTTTTAAATATACGACCAAACCGGAAGTCTTTTAACATGGCATTACAAAATAAAAGTAGAATGGCCATCTCGCTGTTCACTGCAATGTAAATATTTATGTTGTTTTATTTCCACTTCGAGTATATCGTGGACAAAGAAAGGATAACACAACCTATCAAGCTATAAGATCTTTATCAGTGCTCCTCCTCATCCAGTAATCTCTGTGTAGACCTATGTAATATACACAAAAAAAAAAAAAGTCCTCTTTCATTATCCTGCCCTTCAGCCCAATAAATGTGTTTGCTAATACTAACCAACCTGAAATCAGGACATTTGGTCTGACTTAATGTCAGAGAAACTTTGAGGCAGAGCAGAGGCTGATTATAGGCTACAAGTGGCTATGGCCCTCCATTTTAGATTCCCCATGGTGCAACTTTTCAAATTAAACTTCACAAATTAAAAACAGGTTTGAGAGTGTAAGGTTTTGACAACATCCCAACTTCTTGTTTTTTATACAGTCAAAAACATAATTTATGAAGAAACAATGAAGAAGTAATGGCGTATTACTTGTGGGGCTTGTCGATTTTCAGGGAAAACCACATAATTTCATCATAAAGGTGACAGGGCATAGTCTCTTTCCTGGCTTTAGATATAGGTATATATATCAAAAGCAAGGAAATATATATAATATATATATAATATTATATATATATATATATATATATATATATATATATATATATATATATATATATATATATATAATTTTTTTATTGAATTATTCGTCAACTAATTTAGTAACTTATTAATCATTAACTCGAGTATAGAGACTGTAACACATGCCTTTAGCTGACATAGCTACCCACTTAGATCAGTAATATGAGAATTGTAAAACAAATAAATAAAAAAAATTGCATTTTAGATAAACAAGATGTTTTGGTCTGTCAATGTGCTATCCAGTTTTAGTTACACCTGATTTAATTTAGTAAAAAATCTTCTTTAAGGAATCTTTGTCTATGCGATTATTAATGTATTAATCTAAAAAATTATCGACAGATTGATCGATATGCAAAATAATCGTTAGTTGCCTAATGCAATACAATATAACTTCAATCAAATCAAACTTCTGTGAAATCAAACTTTCTTTAAAACTAATTGACTATCAATTTGACAGTCTGTTGTGCAAATGTAATAGACAACAGGTGGAAATAATTTGCAATTAGCAAGACACACCGAATAAAGGAGTGTTTCTGCAGGTAACTCTGTATTGCTTTGCATTTGCCAGAATCCAACCCAGAATCCAAATACAGGCTTTTATCTGTTAATAAATCTGACTGATTTAAATTGTTTTGTTTTTTGTTTGAGTGATTTTGTTGTCAGCACATTCAACTTTATACAGAACAAAATTTTCAATGAGAATATTTCAGGCATTCAGATATATGATGTGTTATTCGTGTTTTCCCTTTATTTTGTATCAGTGTATGTATGCACAGTTACACAAATTACTAACACACTATCTTATTTTGAAAAACTTAACCGGAAACAAACACTTTAACAACTTCCGACTTGACTTTATGGTTCCTCGGGGAAGAGAGAGAGAGAGAGAAAAAAAGAAAAAATATCCAGAGAGTAACGGGAGCAGAACAGGCGTGGAAATAAAATTTAACTGGGAATAGAACACGGGTGGACGTATTAAAACACACTTTAAAGAGGTAAGCAGGCGTGGGGTTTTCGGTTTAGTTTATTGCCTGACTTAGTTGTGGTTTTCCTTTTTGTTTTGGAAAGATGTGGAAAAGCATCAGAAGTGTTTGGAAGGCTGTTGAACAGTTGGGGCGGTTCAGGTTTGTACTGATTACTGCAGCAGGATACACACAGAGAAAAAGGGGATTATAATCCTAATAAAAAAGGAAAAAATGCTAAAGATTAAGTCACTTTTATGAATGCAAGTGTGGTCAAAAGTGTTAATTCAAATAATGATAAATTAATGTAAAAGCACGCCTGAGATGTTGCTCTGACCTTAAACATTCTTGTGCATAATAGATTTCCAGACTTGTTACTTTGGTTTTAAAGGAAACATCCTGTTTGGAGGGGAACCAGACCCCCCTCTGCAGGCTCTCTGTGGGGGGGCTGCTCTGACCTACAGGAAAGATGATAAAAGGCCAATTGTCCCACATCTGAGAAAAGCTGCAGTATATTCTTGTCTTATCAGATATTCCCCTCCAGTGCATCACTAAACAATGACAGCTTGTTTGCCCCTTTGTTTAAACTCTTCAAATCTTTAGCAACACATGCATTTTTTATGTTTCCTGAACTCGGTTTAAATTGTATCCTCTTCTTTTCTTAGATAATCAAAGACGAAGCAAACCAGGATGAAGATCCCTGCTTAAAGCATCCCCGCTGCTGCTTTCTTGGGTCTGGACGGAAAGAACCAACAAAAAACACTTTCCTTTCCCTACAGAGCACAAATAATCCCTGCAGTCATGGCGAACATGTGCCCTTATGGCCGTTTCACCCACGCTGTGGTCAGGGGCATCCCAGAGACCTTTGGGAAAACAGCTGGAGACAGCCATGAGAACGGGGAGGTCACGGTGGACCAGGCCAAAGCCCAGCGTCAGTTTGGCTGCCTGACCGGAGCGCTGAGGCAGAAGGTGGGCCTGCAGCTGATCGAGATCCCCCCTGACCCCGAGCTGCCGGAGAGCTGGAGGATAGAGGATGTGGCGGTGATCCAGGGAGACACGGCGCTCATCACCAGACCGTTCAAACAGCAGAGACGCAGCGAGGTAACCCAGCAGACTAAAAAAAAAATCCTCCAGTGATGCTCTTAATCTCCTGTTTATCCAGATTGCGATGGAAAACCAAGCCTTCAATATTTATCAAAACATGGATGGCAGAAAAAACTCAACCCCCTGACATGTTTTTCTCTTTATTTATAGGTTAATCAATCAAAGCAGAGTTATTGGTATTATGCAGGCAAACTTCCTGTTTAAAAGCTCTATCCATCAATTAGCTATCTGCCCATGCATAATTTTTTATCCATCAGTCTATTTAACCGCTTCTCTGTCTGTTTCTTTTCATCTTAATTGATCCACCCATCTTTTTTAATAACCAGGTTAAGTGTTTGAAGCCTGAAAACTGTAACTGTTTATCATAGAGTTCAATAAATTTGCATTAATCCTATAGCGGGGCTGAAAACCACTGATGTCTTTAGAAGGTTAATTTAATAAAAAGTATTTCTGTTTATTTTAATTTACATTTCTTAATATTAAACACACTAGTAATATTTAAATTAGATTTACTCGGTATGGTTTAAGGAATAGGGTCTCAAAGAAAAACAAACAAAATCCTTTTTGACTTTAAAGGACCAATGTGTAGTATTTAGTGCCATCTAGTGTTGATCATAAGAACTGCAACACCTTTGAAGTTTTAACAGCTATGTGTTTTCTGGATCTGTTATCCTCCTCCTAAGGTGGATGCAGTCAGGAGAGTGATGTCAGAGCTCAACCTGACCATAGTGGAGATGGGGGATGAACTAGGGGACTCTGGAGGGGCCACGCTGGAGGGCAGCGACGTCCTCTTCACAGGGAGAGAGTTCTTCGTCGGGATTTCCTCCCACACTAACCGGAGAGGAGCCGAGGTGCTGGCAGACACGTTCAGGGTAAGGAGAGAAGAGAGACGTGTTAAAGAGGGATTTGGTAAAAGCAGATGACTGTAAATCATGGATGAAACAGGATTTGACCAACAAGTGAGTTCTTAAAGAGCAGCTGGCTCAAACTTGGAGCAAAGTAGAGGATCAACTATAGAATGATGTGCTCAGGGTTCTAACATGGTATGTAGAAATCTTTAAAAAGTCTAAATGTGAAGGATTTTCAGGTCTGAATACTTAGACAAAATGTTTTAATCTCTACTGTTTACTCCTTTTTAAGACTTCCCTCTTTTTTACCCCCCTGACCAATCTGGAGTCATGCTCAGAAGCAGATTTCTCTGTAAATAAAGGATTAGCCTGAAACAGGGAAAGCTCCAGAATACAATGCATTGTTTCATACAGTTTCTAGAGTTTAAAGTACTTGCAGAGTTTTGCGGCCAGTGAGAAGTGTTCTGTTACCATATTTGTCCGGTGCAGTAAGGACCGGCCCAGTGCCAGGACTAGTTGTAAACAGAGAGTCTCTGCCAAATTGAGCAGGTGGTCATTTGCTTTATTACATTTTGGGGAATTCTTGTCTGCGAGCCATGATGAATGAGGTCGCCTCTTTCCTCGGATAATGAAGAACTGCACGCTACACTCCCTCAGGTCTGATGAGAACCACCCATTAGCATTGATTTTCCCCACTTGAGCAGAGTGCATCTCACTCCTTCGCTCACACACATGGCTTGATGGATGCTGTGTGGGTGGAAGGCGGTGGTGTTTGTGCACTTGGGGTGGAGGACTGAACAGGAAGCGTTTGTGTCATGCTCATATGGTTTTTGCTTCTGAGGAATTTGACTCACTTTCCCGAGTTCTGTAACTTATTTTGTTAAATGCTGCTAGAAATCTGGATAAAAATCTGAGGCCAAGGGTTACTTAGCATCTGATCGCTTTATCATCCAAAGTACTAAATAATAGCTCTGAAAACTGTTGTTGCCTTTTCCATAACAAGAAGCAAACACACAAAGGCTGTGTCCGAACGTCGGCCCTATCCCCTCACTTACTATATAGAGCAGGGACTATAGAGTGAACTTAGTTAACTGACCATTCGAATAGATAATCACTAATTTTCCCATCCTGTTAGTTAGTGACCCCGGCACCCCCACATGGTGCCTGCGCCATCTTTGTTCTCTTTCGACCCCGAAACAAATCCTGTGATGCTTTGCGAGGAGAGCTCTTGCAAAGCATTTTGGGATATATCTGCTCGTCTACTAACCATGGTTGCACACTACTTTTCAAGGTGCATTGTGGGAAATTTTGTGTCCACTACTTTTTCATCCACTAGAAACTTGGAAGGTCATATAAAATATGACCTTGTATAATATGGTGCTCTATACCAGGTTAGGGCAGACGTTCAGACACAGGCTATATTACCGCTTCTAATATCCATGTTTTACTATTAATCTATTTTTTTTTTATAAACTATTTTATTTTTCTCGCAACAAGAAATCCAGCTTTTATTGACTACCATAGAATTGAACATAAACAGACTCCAAACACATCCCCTATTTGGTTCCAGGTTTCCTACAGACTTTAGAAAAAATGAGAAAAGGTTGATTTGATTTTTAGTCATTCGGGGTCTACAAAGTGATCAAGTAGAAGGAACGTGGTTTCCTTACTCCCTTGTATTTGTTATCAATTCTTATACACTTTTTTTCCTCGTTTTTATATATATATCATTTTTCCATACCCAATCCTATCTTCTCCTTATTTATCCTTCTTTATTTATTTTTCTTTGTGTTCTTCTTTTCTGTCTGCTTCTTTACTTCATCCCTGTGTCCATCCCCATTTTTTTCTCATGTCTAATCCTTTAACCAAGTGATTTTTTTTAAATCTATTTTGAAATAAGGAACGACACCAATAAAGATGAGGAAAATGGGCAAAAGCAGGTATTTTAAACATGTCGGCTCCAGGCTCAGGAACAAAGTTTTCTTTAGTTAAGATACAACAGAAGTGTTTGTGATGGACCGGTTCCATTTATTGAAAAGAAAACATTTTGCTTGAATTGTGAAAGCACCCATACTTGTAGCTTTCATGTTGAATTAAAGTACCTGTAGTGGGATGACATGAGTTTACTTGACCCCTATCTGTCCAGGACTTTGCTGTGTCCACTGTCCCTGTCTGTGGGGGAGCCCGACTGAAGGATTTCTGCTCCATGGGCGGGCCGGACACCATCATCATCAGTAACAGTGACGGTGCCAAGAAGACCCTCAGAGTGAGTTTGTTCCCCTTAGGTACATACAGATGGGTTTATTCCAATATGGTGCATTTCTGTCACTTTGATTGTTCTGTGGGTTTAGTAACGTGTTGCTTTGTGAATGAAACAACATATTTGGTTTGAAAAGATGGCCAAATACATCAATCTGTTAATCTGCTTGTTCAGAGTCCAAATTATATTTTTGTCATTTAAATGACAAATATTTAATTTGATGTAAATGTGAGGTTATAATCTTGTAATGGGCTTAAATGTATTGTTTTATTAGGCGTGGGTTTTTTTTTCTCCTGTGTGCAACTCCTGCTGTTTTGATTTCAGATGATGGAACAGCTGACTGATCACCACTACGAAGTGCTCACCGTCCCAGAAGAATCTGCTGCTAACTGCATCTACATTAAAGGCCCATCTAAACGAGACTTCCTGCTGCACAGGCCTGCAGAGGAATGTCCCGACAGCATCTCTGTGAGTACTTTTTTTTTCTACAAAGAGAGGGAAAAACATTTGGATTTTGTTTTCCAGTACTAACAATAAATAAAGGCTAAACAATTCTGATTAAATTTTACAAATGTTTGTCCAAATATATCAGGGGAAACTACCATAAATCACAGAGATTAAATTATAAGGTACAAGTACTTAAATCCAAGAAGGGTGACTCTAATCATAGATATTAGAGTAACAATTGTTTCTTCAGTTAACTGTAACGTTCAGTTGAAGTGAAAAGGGTGATACATATTCACAAGCAACAGCGATAACTTCACTCTAGTGAGGATTGTGAAGCAAAGTCATGCTTAGAGTCTGGGGGAGATTCACAAGGAGGCTGGAATCAGAGCCTCAGGACTCACCACATTGAGCAGCTTTATCCCTCGTCTTATTCAGAGGGTTTTCTGACGCCCATAGTCAAAGCAGTAACATCTATCTGGACCTTCAATGGTACCAAGATCTGCTCTACAGGGTATCACCGCCACTCTGGGCTGATCTAAAACCTGCTAGAGAATCTTGATTATCTAAATGCCAGACAGCAAACCCAGCAATGCAGGTGGCTTGAAGCCAGCATGGCTGTCCATTACACCTTCAGTTAGTGCTGCAGTAGATCATGTAAACAGAGGTCAGACCAAGATTGAGTGCAGTGTGTGAAAATACTTCATAGAATGAACAGCGTAAGAATAAAAAAATCAAGTGGTTCTGTAGTGAAGTCAGATTGGGAGAGAAAAACAGAACTAAACACATTAAATAAATCACTATATGTTAGGGCTGAAGCAATTAATTGGATTAATCGATTAGTGGAATAATCGTCAACTGGAGTTTAGAGACTCTAAAACATGCCTTTAACTGATAGAGCAAACCACTTAGAGCAGTATCTATATCAAAATTGTAAAAAAAAATATAAACATTTTGCATTCAAGATTAAAAAAAATGTTTTTGTCTGTCGACATGCTCTATCTAGAACTCAAGTGGAAAAGTTTGGTTTCATCATAATTGTTAGTTGTAAAGAATGATATTTGAATTTAATTTTTTATGTTAACTGAACATTACGTCTAATTCCTTTACATGCCCTGGTAAATTAAAAACACCATTAAGACTGTTTTTACCAACTGTTATTAACAGTACCCTGGGTAACAGTAACATCTTTAACAAATGTGATGTGGCTGTGCACCAGTTAGCTGTAAAGTTAGCACTCGTCTCCATTACCTTATACACAAAAACTGTACATTTTTATATTACCATTTTAATGTGAATGGCTTACAGCTAATAAAATTATCAGGAATGATTGAAATGTCTCACAATCTCTACTTGTTGAACTTGAGCAAATTAAATGTACAGCATTGCCTTCCTAAATAAGTCAGATTACCTTTTTCATGTCTAATGAATTAACAGGGTTACTCATGCCCCAAAGACCATTTGAACAAAGTAAAGACAAGACTTAGCAGAGATTTAAAATACAAGTTTGACTTTTTTGGCAAATAAAGGTCCAGATGTTATAGTCAGGCCTAGTGATTCATCTCAACCGCTCTGCTTTCCAGGGGTTGAGGTAATTTTCTCCTCTTGTCTTTTAGCCAGTGATGGCTTAGTAAATTTCCTTTCGGCTCTCTGCAGGCCTTCCAGAAGCTGCCGGACTACACCCCCCTGCCCACAGCCTGCAGCGAAGCGTCCAAGCTAGGAGCATCTCTATCCTCGTTCTGCCTCCTTATCAACAGAAAGCACACATATTTCTGAAGATGCTCCTAAAAACCCAGAGCTTTTATTCCCATGGCTCATAAGTTGCCTTCTGACTGTGGTGCAGTTCTCCCTCTACAGGCTACTCTTTACAGTAAAAACATTTAAACTTTTGGTACATGTTTTAAGAAACTCTGTAAATTAATTTTCAAACTTTTGGTGTTAGATTCATAATCAGGCCTAAACCACTGGGGGGAAAAAAACTAACTGAAGCTTAAGTGCAACTAAATTAAGTTAACATTGATCATTTAAAGTTTAAACATTTTATTAGCCCTACATGAAAATGTTTAAGTTTGACTTTTTTGATTTCCTTCTATTTGTCCCGGTAAGAAACCCATTATAAACCTCAGCCATGTTAGTCTAAAGTTGTATTTTAAAAACATCTAGCTGCTGATTAAAAAGGATGTTTTAGCTTTCTAGAATTTAAATTTGTAGTTGTGAAAATAAAATTTAACTATCACTTTTAACCAGACTCCAAGTCTGTTTTGTATAGATGGGATTTCAATTCAGCGTGATTGACCAGAAGTCATCTGCTCTACAGTTTTTGAAACTTAACTGCATTTATCCCTCTTCCCCAACAAACCCAAGTTAATTTCCTCTGCAGGAGAAACTGGCTGCATAGTGGAGGTACTCAGACGTTTGATTCTGGGTGGAAGTGGAGACTACTAAAAGGTCCAGGACATAAGAACCGTGCTCTTAACCACAACATCTCATTTGTCTTCCGCTCCATTTGTTAAATTTAAAGTTACTTTTAACATAAGTCTTGCACATAAAGCATTGCCAACTTGAATGCTGGTTTTAGGCTTCACTCTGCTGCAGAAGAACAGAGCTCTTTAGGGTTTATGCTCCCACACACTAAGCTCAGCAGATGCAGTTTTCTTTGTAAGCTCCCCAAGTTTCTGCCTTCATATTGGTATAAGTGAACAAACAAACTTGTCTGAATTTCTCCAAATTTATTTGTTTTGTCAGAAAGCGAACATGTTTAACGGTTGGACTTGGCGACTCTCTCCAACTCGTCTTTCTTCTTGATGGCGTAAGAGTTAGAAGAACCCTGGGAGAGCAGTGAAAACAAAGTTCAGAATGATGCAAACCCGACTGAATAATCAAAATTCAGCTCTAATCTAAACTTGAATCATAACAGCGCTGAGTTACCTTAGCTGCATTGATCAGCTCATCAGCCAGACACTCTGCAATGGTCTTGATGTTCCTGAAAGCAGCTTCTCTTGCTCCTGTGCACAACAGCCAGATGGCCTGCAGGATAGAAGAACAATTAAGTTAGACTGCTGAGAGTCTGAGGTAATGTTTAGGTGTGGTATTAATGTCATGTATCTGAGTTGGTGATTGGCTGGACCACAAACAGATTGCAGCCAATGAATAAGCAAAGACATTTTCTCTACGAGTGCTCTAGCACACCAAGACAACAGGGTTATATCCAGGAGTGACTCTAGCCTCGCTTAGAATTACAGGATGTTTAACAGTTTTGACAGGCAGAATATTTTTTCTTTGGTGGTCATACCTGGTTGACTCTGCGGAGGGGTGACACATCTACAGCCTGCCTCCTGACGGTACCGGCACGTCCGATACGGGTGGAGTCCTCACGAGGTCCACTGTTGATGATGGCGTTGACCAACACCTGAAGAGGATTCTGGAGAAAAAAAGGCAGATTTTAAATGCAATAAATCTAAAGGAAAGTTTCCACGTCAAGCAAGCCTTCAGATACTCCTGACCATTGTTCTCTAACCGTTGTCCATATGACACACTGATAGAGGTAAATGAAGTTCAAAGTTTTTTCATCTGCTATCAATTGATATCCAGTGTGTGAAATTATATTATTTCCTCCCTCCCTATAGAGGTTAATTGTTTGGGGTCATAACCCATTAAACTGACTCATGTTAAACTTCAGTTAAAATGTTCAGAAAACTCCAGAGCATTAAAAAAATTTTTTTTTTTTTAAATGGCTCTTGGTTCCTACCAGTAACGCTCACAAGATTGCCCTCTACACGGAGAGTTTTGATCTCTCTCCTTGAAGGACATTGTTTAAAGCAGGACACAAACAGGCCAATTTGCTTTCATCATGTTAGTCTATCATGGTGCTGCTTTTTTATCTTTTTGGAGACTAGGAAACAATGATGCAACAACCGTAATAATGCAATGACCGCAAACTGCTAACGTTGCTAATTATATATTCAGACAAATGTGTCTGAACACACCTGTTAAATTCCTTGCAAAAAATAAAAAGGGGTATGAAAATAATGATTAGTCAAGACAACTTGAGGATTATATGTGTAAAATACCAGGTTATGGCTCCTTTTAAGAAATATTTATGGTTTTTTAAAAACTCATTTTTCAGATTTTAGCTGCTATTCAAGAATATTTTCCTTTTAAGAGTTTCATATACTTTCACGAGCCAGGCTTTGAATGCAGATAAACCCTTGGATAAATACTGATAATTGGTGGACACTAAAAGCAGACCTGGACTAAATCTCGCAAAAACTTGGAACTAATTAAAATATTGAATGTGTCGACTTTAAGTCATTAAAAGAGCTACATGCTGAACAATGTTGGCGCTACTAATCTAAACATTCATGACTCAAATCAAAACAGATTACATCCAAGAAAAGGATGAACGTAGGCAATTTCGAAAGTATCACTACTAACCTGCCTGAAACTAGAGAAACAAATCATTAGACCTCACTATCCAGCTTAAAAAAAGACAGTACCTCTCCAGTCAGCAGGTGGATGATCTCGAAGGCGTGCTTGACGATGCGCACAGTCATCAACTTCTTGCCGTTGTTGCGTCCATGCATCATCATGGAGTTGGTCAGACGCTCCACAATGGGACACTGGGCCTTCCTGAAACGCTTAGCAGCATAACGCCCTCCAGAGTGTGGCAGGTACTTAGCATACTTCTCTTTAACAGCAATGTAATCCTGAAGGAAAGAGATGCCTTTAGACACTACAAAAATCATAGAAACATGTGTTCAGCGGGTATGTAGTGTCTCTGAGCTGGTGATTGACTGGGCCACGTAAGACTACAGCCAATGAATAAGCAAAGAATTTCCTCTACGAGTGCTCTAGCACGCCAGGACAACAGGTAAAATACCCAGACGTGACTCTAGCCTCGCTTATAGGGACGTTGTCTGAAAAGTCATTTTTTGATCCCTACCTGCAGGGAGATGTCGTTAATCTGGACATCATCAGTGCTCCATTTGCCAAAGAGCTTGATCTCTGGGGTCTCAGCCACAGCGGGGGCAGTCTCCCACTCGGTCACTGAGGGGACAAGAAAAGATTTGCATTAAAGCCACAAAACTGTATTAAATTATTTATCTCAAACATATTTTAAAGTTGTAGGAAAAGAGCTGTTCCAACCGTTGCATTTCTGAATTCTCCCGAGTGGTGCCCGATTTTACACGAGTGAATAAACTTTAAGTGATCGGTCGGTTATCAAGGGGGCGGGATTGTTGTAGTGGAAGGTTCACAAGCATGTTTGATTGTGACCAATGACTCGAAAGCATCTTGCTAACCAGTTTGCAACTTAGTGCTAGTAGGTTCCCAATGGGAAATGGATGAGTCTCCTCCGTCATACATTTTTTTATTTAGAGGAGGAAAGCGGGGACGAAGATGTTGTGGAAGCCGTACATGTTTAAGCCCTTGTCTTGAAACGCTGCCAGTTCTGTTAGCTCTACATCTGCCAAAGACACAGACAGCCATCCGAAGTAAATGATTCAACAATCCAGAGTTCTCAATATAAATACCAGCCATCTATCATTTCAAAAATATTTCTCATTAGGTAGGGTTTAAACATGCGTATAAATAAAGCAGATGTTTAGGACAAAAGATAAAAAAAAAATTTCTTGGCATTTTTAAGACTTTTAAAGAATGTATGCACAAGTTGACATCAGTACATAAAAAGTCTAAAAAGTCTTCATATCACAACATTCTCTTGCACTAAAATAATTGTGAACCATTTCCCCAAGGCCTTGAATATAACTAGAGGGGCTTTTAAACAAAGATGGATCAGTGGTTTATGGATAATCTCAAAATAAAAAATATATGACCGATGACTAGTGGGTGTCAGCTTCGCACAAGATTACATTTCTATTGCTAAAAAACGCGTCAGTTCAATAGGACTGCAAAGTTTGAAAAACCCTTGATAAATTTTGCTGGAACGCGACCATGGACGGAAAAAACACTACTGATCTTTAGTTTTAGAAGACGGCTCGACATTGTAACGACTAGTCTGTTAGCTACAGACTGTTTAATAATATTTAATACATACATTAAACACGAGTACACAGAAAATGTCCATCTAACTGCTTAGAATCAAATAGATGGGGCAGCGTGTTTATTCGGACTTCCCAAAAGAAGAAGGCCGCATCAGACGCCCGTTAACATTCACAGCAAATAGGTTCGGCAATATCAGACGCGCTGCGATTCCCACCGTTTAACTTCCTTCCGTAGCTGCTAATCACACAGAAATAGCGTTTTAAAAAAACAACGTGTATTGGATTTTAGCATAAAATGTGCTAAATCTAACTTCCACTAGCTCTGCGGCTCAACGTGCCGTGGACACATGTGCTAACGGGTTAGCAACATGCTAACGAGGCAACGTTCTAAAAACATAAAACCCGTGTGTGGCAAAAATTTTCACTTTCTTCGTTAATGAACGAAACAGTGTAGTTAAAAATACAAACAAATGCTAACGCGGACGTGTTATTTCGACACATAAAGAAATAAATAAGCTGAATTCTTTACTCACTAGTTTCTGCCGTTCTGTACCACACTTCTCTGAGACGGAAAAGGGCCCGTGCGTGGCGCCGCCGACGGATATCCGTCGTGGTGCCGCGGCCGCAAAGCACTATGGGAAGTGGAGTTTCTTTGCATTTTACTCATTAACGTGCAAAAATATATTGTTTGGTTATAATTTATAGTTAACTTAATATATAACACATATATACACATTTAAATTTTTCTTTTAACTAAAATCCAGAAGGGAATTCAGTAGCGACCACTAGTGTCATCACACATCAACTTTGGATTTTGAAATCTGATAAAATTTTAAAACCTATCTCATTCCAGCCAAACTGATTGGCCAGCTTTTCACATTACAGATGGACAAGAATCCAAAACATCAATTCAAAAGCAACCCAAGAGTTTATTAAGGCAAGTAAGGGTAATGGCCAAGTCAATCACTTATTAACTATAAATATAGAATAGATTTCACATGTTAAAAACAAAACTTTAGACAGAAAGGAAAAAGAAATAAATAGCAACTGAAACCCAGAGCCGTAGCCAGAACATTTTTATAAGGGTGGCCAGGCAATAACCAATGTACACTAAGGGTTGTCCGAAAGCAGATAGGCCCCAAATCATCAGGGTGAATCTACACTGTTCTAACAGGAAAATTAACAAGAAAAACATCCATCCATATTTCCTAAATAAAAGGTATAGTGAATAAAATTCTTTCTGTTTTGAGATTTTGGGCGTAAATCTTTTTCATCGTCATTACTTAAATACTTGTATCAATAAACATGGATTATTTGAGAAGTTTTTATTAAAGTTGTTATTTATCTAGGATTTCACTAAAGACTCCCAGTGACTTGCAGAGACACATAATGTCCATAATCTCGTTGCCAAAAAAATGGTTTATAACAAAGTGTTAAAAATGAACACTTTATTTACATTTATTTGATTGGTCCAATTACCCTGAGCCCCTGAAATAAAGAGGGGAAATAAGTGTAGGTCGATGAGCATAGCAACCAATAATCGCTGTGCTCATCCCCCAGAAGGCAGATGTCAGTGTTATGTAGAAGTTGATTTAGGTCTCCTTTATCCAATAAAACTGATAGCTGGAATATCACATTGCTGCAGAATAGAGCTCCTCCGGTCAGGGGAGTGTTTGCCTCCTGTCTGAGCCCTCTTCCGTTGCTTTATGTTCTATTGTCTAGTTGCATTTTGAAATAAAGGTTTGTGAAAACTGGCTAGATAAAGACAAAATAAGCCAAACTTCATGTTTAAACAGGGATTTATTGAGAAAATTACAGCTTTTACTTATTTTTTTATCTTGGAAGGACACTGTAAAAACGTTCAAAATAGTAATTCTAGTTTTAAAAGGTTACTTATTTACAGTACCTGGTAGTAAAAGCAGAACTGAAACAAAAAGGACATCCCTTTAGTCATGAGTTTTATGTAGGAAACAATATTTCAAAATAATAGTAGCCATTCAGCAGCTTTGAACACATTTAAACCATCCTATGTTGATGAGTTCCCTTCTAGTTCCTTGTGCAATCAATATTTTCCTTCTCTAAACATCAAAAAACACATTTCTGTATCCCTTCTTTTGATAAATATAGATAGAATAGAACTTTGCAGAATTAGCAAACTAAACATGTAATCAGTTTTGGGGAAAAAAAGGATTCCCTTTTCTAATATATATAAAAAAAAATTAAATAAAAAAAAAATCACAGAAATGCCTGAGCCATCTAAATGTGATGGAGGGTAAAAACACAGCTTCTACAGTTCTGCTCAGACCTTTGAACAATCATCCCTCATCACAAACATTGGTGCAATAATCTTAAGGTTTTTAAAACTATGCAGGTTGACCAAATTTTATTTCTGGGTTGAATTATGTCAAAGATTCAATAGTTGTTTTAAACAAGATTCACAATGGTCAAAGTTTTAAATACAGCTTCAATTTTATACGTAAACCTCTGCTAATGGAATCAATACCCCCTCCCTTTAAGACCTTTCTTTATATCCAATTTCTCTCATTTTATGCTTCGCAATTTCTCTTTCAGAACCGTCAGCCTGCTTTATCCACTTAAAACCCTGTTCTGATTTGTTTGCAATCAGTGTCCTGTTAAAACAACCCATTATTTCTAAGAACCAACAATTTCCCCTGAAACTTATCAGTTAAAGGGAAATTGATCTTATTGTTCAGGAACCTTACGAGTCAAGGCTATCATGTACGGGAAGATTCAAGGGAAACAGTTTAACAGGGCAAATTTATCATCACTGTGGTCTGGGTAAAGTCGAAAATAGTCAAACTTAAGCCTTTATCCTAATTTGAAGCTACCAAAATGGATAAACTAAATTCTGACTAAAGAATAACCTTACGAATATGAGCACATACACAGTACAGTACAGCTACTTAGCCATAGTGACAAAAAGAATGCAAGGATGAGGGAGAATGAGGCTTTTAAACCAAAGCACCATTTATAAAAGGTTGTGACAATTAAATGATATGGGTTGGTTTGCTATAGGGCTGAAACAATCAGATTAATCGTAAATAATCGATTATTGAAATAATCGTCAACTAATTTAGTAATCAATTAATATTTAACTGGAGTATAGAGACTGTAAAACCTGCCTTTAGCTGACAGAACGACCCACTTAGAGCATTAATTATACCTAAAAAAAAAAAAAATAATAATAATAATAATAATGTAAATATTAAAAAAAATTGTCAACATGCTCTATCCAGAACTCCTCAAGCGGAAAATCTTTACTTTCACCTAGTTTATATTCATAAAAAATCTTCTTTAAGGAACCTTTTGCTATCAGATTATTAATCGAAAAAATCATTGCCCTAGTTTGCTACATATGCTACTGCACAACTAGATTCCCAAACACCCTCACCTCTTCACGTAATTTCAGCTGGAAATGATAAAAAAAACCCACTGGAACGACTGAAGCAGGCCAACATTCAGGTGAATACCTCCTGGAAATATTTTTACACTATTTAAGAACCAGGTTCATGCCTGGAAAGCAACCAGCTTAAATGAGAAATACAAAGAAGATTTGATAAATATGACTTGAGAAGCTTGTTGATGGTCACGAAAAGTAATTTGTTTCCTTTTTTACTTGCATTAACCCACCCACACATTTGTTTCTTCTTCTTTTTTTCCAATAAAGCTGCATGTGTTGTTTCCATTGCACCTTGGACAAACACTGGTTCCGATAAGATAAGGCATGATTAATAACATATGCCCATGAGGAATGTATCGTAGATGTCTGACCAGAACTGTAAGCTTTTAGTAGACCTGTAACACAGCACTGCCTGACCGGTTGCTTTGCATCTGCTCCCAGATTTTCTTAGATAAACTATGGGTGGGTTTTTTTTCTAGCACCGTCACTGGAGGCAGTGCGTCAGAGCACTTTGGACATGAAACACTGAGGCATGTAGGAAAAAACATTTAAGGCTTTATCTAAAGCGGAAGGAGAAGATTTCTAAAGTACTGCATGAAGCTGAGAAATAAACAAACAAACCTGATACTAATGATCAGATTGTTCATGCACAACAACAATAAAAGAATAAGAAAGGTCTAGATTTAGTTAAAGATGGTATAAATGGCTGCATCACAAGATGAGCAGGGCAGTAATCATCTGTACAGTACGACAGCAGGTCGCTTAGGCACGATTGGGTTTGCATGGTGTTGTTGAGATATGTCTAACAGACACGCTAAAACACGCAAATTACTGTCTACATAAATATAATAGCAATTCATGCTAACTAAAAGGTGCAAATATCAGCTATATGGGTAATAAATACTTGGGTTTGAATTCCATAAAGGCAGATCAAACATGGTTTATTTAAAAATAGCCATAACGTTGTTTTATTATCTTCTTGGTACTGGAGTGAATCTATCACTTCATCCAATAGTTCAGGTTTCTGTCTGTGCTACAAACTGCAAGCCAGCATCTGTTAGGAGGCTTTATCTGTCTCTCCACCCATGGGTCAAAATGCAGACGCGGCAGCTGACAGTTGTTTGTGCTTTATAACTGCTAAAATATCTGCTTTATAACTGCTAACATATCAACGTCTCTGTTATTTACATTTGTTAGCATGGTGTGAAAACAGCCACTCTCTTATATAACAGATCAATGACCAAATTTCTCTTTAAGGTCCAATTTAGTCCAATTGGCAGAACAAATTAAAGTATTTCCTAAAATTTCCAGCTGTGTTCTGAACTTATAGGATGAATCCTCTAGATCTAAAAGGAACAACCCATTCCATAACTACCATAACATAATTTCATAATCCAAATTATATCTATGCATAAACTTAAATGTTATTGTCTAATTTTATCCTGGATTTCAAGGGGAAGAACGTTAAGGTGTCAAACCACCTTAAGAGATTACATTAAAATAAAGCCGTTTAGCACATAAACGGATGGATTTTGTTTAACTGTAAAAATACAGTTAGCTCTGAAAGGAGAAGTGTAATATTATAGGAATATGTTACTGAGATTAAGTTCACTCCTGGAGGTCTGGAGATTACAGGTGCTGGTCATAAAATTAGAATATCATGAAAAAGTAGATTGATTTCAGTAATTCCATTTAAAAAGTGAAACTTGTATATTATATTCATACATTACATACAAACTCATATATTTCAGATGTTTATTTTGTTTAATTTTGATGATTACAAATGACAACAAATGAAAATCTCAAATTCATCATATCAGAAAATTAGAATATTACTGAAGACCAATAAAAACAAAGGATTTATAGAAATGTTGGCCAACTGAAAAGTATGAACATGAAAAGTATGAGCATGTACAGCACTCAGTATTTAGTTGGGCCTCCTTTGGCCTGTATTACTGCAGCAATGCGGCGTGGCATGGAGTCGATCAGTCTGTGGCACTGCTCAGGTGTTATGATAGCCCAGGTTGCTCTAATAGTGGCTTTTAGCTCTTCTGAATTGTTGGGTCTGGTGTATTGCATCTTCTTCTTCACAATACCCCATAGATTTTCTATGGGGTTAAGGTCAGGAGAGTTTGCTGGCCAATTAAGAACAGGGATACCATGGTCCTTCAACCAGGTACTGGTAGCTTTGGCACTGTGTGCAGGTGCCAAGTCCTGTTGGAAAATGAAATCTGCATCTCCAAAAAGTTGGTCAGCTGCAGGAAGCATGAAGTGCTCTAAAACTTCCTGGTATGTGGCTGCGTTGACCCTGGACCTCAGAAAACACAATGGACCAACACCAGCAGATGACATGGCACCCCAAACCATCACTGACTGTGGAAACTTTACACTGGACTTCAAGCAACGTGGATGAAGTGCCTCTCTTCTTTTCCTCCAGACTCTGGGACCTTGATTTCCAAAGGAAATGCAAAATTTACTTTCATCAGAGAACATGACTTTGGACCACTCACCAGCAGTCCAGTCCTGTTTCTCTTTAGACGCTTCTGACGCTGTCTGTGGTTCAAGAGTGGCTTGACACAAGGAATGCGACAGCAGAAACCCATGTCTTTCATACGTCTGTGTGTGGTGGTTCTTGAAGCACTCACTCCAGCTGCAGTCCACTCTTTGTGAATCTCCCCCACATTTTTGAATGGGTTTTGTTTCACAATCCTCTCCAGGGTGCGGTTATCTCTCTTGCTTGTACACTTTTTTCGACCACATCTTTTCCTTCCCTTCGCCTCTCTATTAATGTGCTTGGACACTGAGGTCTGTGAACAGCCAGCCTCTTTAGCGATGACCTTTTGTGTCTTGCCCTCCTTGTGCAAGGTGTCGATGGTCGTCTTTTGGACAACTGTCAAGTCAGCAGTCTTCCCCATGATTGTGTAGCCTATAGAACTAGACTGAAAGACCATTTAAAGGCTTTTGCAGGTGGTTTGAGTTAATTAGCTGATTAGAGTGTGGCACCAGGGGCCATCAATTTTGAACCTTTTCACAATATTCTAATTTTCTGATATGATGAATTTGAGATTTTCATTTGTTGTCATTTGTAATCATCAAAATTAAACAAAATAAACATCTGAAATATATGAGTTTGTATGTAATGTATGAATATAATATACAAGTTTCACTTTTTAAATGGAATTACTGAAATCAATCTACTTTTTCATGATATTCTAATTTTATGACCAGCACCTGTAAACTTGCAGCTGGTTGGATTCACATCTAGACACATGTGGCTGTCTGTGTCATAATGTTAATAGCAAAAGAGTACCTAGAGATTTAACAAACTATTTTTGTCTTTGATTTATATTTTTTAGTACATGTTTGACCCATGGATAATCCAATTTGTCTTTAAAAATTATAGAACAGCCCAATATAAAGGCATCAAAATATTTATTTCTAGCCTCTAAACTGAGCGGCCGTTATTACGTATTCAATACCTGAAATGATTGGAGTAGACAGCTTAAATTATCTTTCATATATTAGTGGTTATGCAGCTAGGATAACTAAACCTACGGTTAACCTTCCTGTTATCTGCTGTCTGTCTTGTTCTCTCAAAAATGAACTAAATACATGCCTTGACATTTGTAAATGTTTACTTTTAAATACTTTCTAGCATCGCTGACTTCATGTTTAACACTTTACTGATACTGGAAGATCCTTCTGAACTCTGTAACAGGGTTCACATCGGAGAGTTTCTGTGCCTCTCAGCTTTGAAGACTAAATATAAACATATTTTATGTTGTCTTAGAAGTTTGGCAGAGCAACTTCCTCTCTAAAAATCTCATATTTTAGACATTTCTGGTGTAAAATATTAAGGTTTTGTTGAACATTGTTTCAGAGGGAGGTAAACCATTAACTGTAGCTTTATATCGACTGTGCAAATTTTAAAACAAGGCTCCCTTCTACTCTTTGCAGTCTTAGTTGAAGAATAAATACATTAACAACTCATTTAAAACATAAGCACATAAATAATTTTTTTTTTTTTGTGCAAAAGCAAAAATCTATCAAGAGACAGCACAAAATGAGATTCCTCCCTTAGTTTGAAACAACTGGGATTGTGGAGATTGCTGTATTTTTGTGAGGAGAAAGTCAACTATAGAGAATCTGTCTGTGTGAGCGTCTTTACACCAGCCACTTCTCTATGCAGGTGTGGAACACCGTCTCATTCGAATGCCACCAGACGTGTTGGACTCCCGGAACGGAGCAGAAGATCAGATCTCCACGGGCTGCTAGTGTCTTCAGGCCAAAGACATCTTTCAGATACAGCTGCAGGGGAAAACACGATGAATTAATTTGAGCTTTGACCGCAGGGGTTCAAACATCGCCTGACTTTTCTCAACAAGAGAGCTCAGGATGGAAGAACAAAACTCTGCATTCAGACTTTTTTAACCTCCCTATTTCACTAATATTCGTTTTAAAGCTTGATTAATAAAATAGAGAACAGAACTCACTAGAATATAGCAGATTATGAGCTTTCAAAGTCACAATAAAAAAGACTCATAAATGTAAAGCTTTAAATTCAAAGATTGCACCTAGAATAAATTTAATCCAGTCTTTAAAATTAAAGTTATTCAAAAAATAGTTCCTCCACATCTTTAAATCACTGGTGACCAGTGGAAAACGTGTTTCTTTGTTCTAAAGTCTACTCACATCCTGGTGCTGTATCTCAATGACGGTCTCATTGTCGTCATAAAACCCAAACTGACTGGAAAACATGAGAGAGAGAGTCTGAGCGTCACATGAATGTCAGCAGGTTATAAGCAGTCAAACAAAATCCCCTTCATAAAAAAAGAAACACAGTTAAACATCTGAGCAGAGTATAAACTATTATAGCCCTGAAAAAATAAGTGATATTAAATTATAAAACCTTCAGCTGATGGTTTAGGGCAGCCTTTACCAACCTTTTTTGACATGTGTACCCCTTTGGTCATTTTTTCTTTCCATGAGTTCCCCTCTTGGTCAAAAGTATTGATGGGTGCCCAAAAGTGGATTGCACAATAATTGATTATAAAATAAAAACAATTTTACTTAAACTTGTAATTTGAGCATTTAATTCTTAGGCATGTTATGCTTTCTATCTAAAAAACAAAACAAAAAAAAAAACAATATAAACACTGTATGTGTCCTGGAAGTTAGTAAGGAATGTTAATAAAATGAAAAATCTAAAAACTAAAAAAACCTACTATAACCCTTTATTTATAAGTAGTTTGATGAGTAATTCCCTTATAATCATGTTTAAACTTGAAGAATCGGAACAAAATACAGAACAAATGTTATAGTCAGGCTGACTTAGTTAGTTTTACTTTGTTTTCATCAAGACACCTGAGCTGCTTTGATGAGCTCCGATAGCTCAGTAAGGGAAAAAAACTGATCCCAGGCTGTTCTCTCCATCCAGTCTGTTTCTCCGTTTGGTTTCAATGTGTGTCAAAGCTGAAAGTTGAATTCAAACATAGGAAAAAAAAAATCTTTTCGGATGATAAAAGCTTGTTTAAACTTTAAATTTGGTCCTCAGAAAACAAAACACCTCCCAGCCCAGAAGATGCATAAAGCAATTTATCTCCTCTCTCTTCAGTTTAAACTACTAAAGTAAATCTTATTCCTTTCTGATGTAAGCTCACCTCGACTGCCAGGGTGTGATGACGCCATCGTCTGGTCCACCAATCAGCACCAGCTTCTGGATTTTCAGGAAGTTCTCCTTCCATTCTAAAGGTGGAAGTATGAACTCATTTAAAAATCAATTCTGTGAAAGCAGGGTCTGTAATGTTTGCAGTTTAACACTACCAACTGGGTTCCTTGTTTTCACTTCCTATGGAGTAAAAACTTTTAATAAATATTAAAAATTACATGAAAAACCTTCTAGAACAAGTAACAATACATTAGTCTAAGAAACCATAACCTAAGTTTGAACAAAAACAATGTCTTGCAGACGTATTGACATCTCTTAAACCTTTTTTTTATGTTACGTCTGCAAACTTCCACGTGTTTCATTGAGATTTTATGAGCTCGCCCAACGTAAAGTAGTGCATAAACATGAAATGAAAGGACGAGAGACAAACTATTAAAAAGTTGACATTAAACTCTATTAATTCTTATAACAAGCTAGATAATCAACATTCCCCATCTGAGTAGGATTTATTTTTTTTGTTTTTTGGATCTGCATCTGGCCTCAGATGTTTGTTAGAGCACAAAAACAAACAAACAGACCAAGGAGTAAAGCAGACAGGTCAGAGAGAAAAAAACTACAAGGCACTGCCGTCAATCACAGTGGTCAGCAAAGGCAAAGAGTGCACTGATCAGAGAGCAGGAGCTAAGAGGCACACAATGACTCTGGAGAAGTTCACAGTAGGGGTGGGGATAAGGCATTTATTGTGATAGTGATAAAAAATGATAATAGAATATTATTTACTCTTGTTTAAACCTTTTTTTAAGACAACCATATGTGGCTGTGACTATATGCAACTTCAGTTACAGCCCAAAAAGGAAACACTACTCTTAAAATCATTTTCCATTTTTCTCTTTATAAGGAAATCTGACCTCTGCATTGAACCCATCCTTGAACTTGGGCCAAGGGCCTTGCTCTCAGACCCTCAAAGAAAACAAGCACTATAAATACTGTTTAAATTGATACTCTGAATGTTGTCTGACCTGTTGAATTTGGGTTCGGCCTCTCACTATTAATCAAAGCCAAGTAGTCACTGCTGTTCACATACAGGTCTCTGTGGTGGGGGTCTGAAGGCAGAAGAGAAGAAACACGGTTCATTAATGGTATTTTTCCATCTTTAAGAGTGATCAGAACTCTTCAGAACATCCGGAGCCTCACCGTTCCAGTAGTTGCAGATAGAAATCCTCTGACCGATAGCGGTGTAACAAAGATGGTAAAGGTTTGACTTTACAAACTGAGGGAAAAGGTACTTTAGGTAGTCTGTGTCTGAGAGGGGGTAAGAAAAAGAGAAGATAAAACAGAATGAAACAGAAACAGACCCCAATAAACCTTTCCATCTGTTATCGTTTCTATAAGACCAGACCCACCTCCATACTGGCCAGCCTGAGGTGAAGACAGAGAGATGAACGAGTGGACGTTATGGTCAGGCAGAGTGGAGAGCATGCCTCTACAAACGAGTCCACCTGCAAATACAAAGAAAAAAACATTTGTTATCTTTCAGAGACTCTGATCAAAACATTTATTAGTCAAACAATTTATTTTTTTCCCCCATTATTTGAATCATCTCTTACAATTCTGAGGAAAAAAAATGATTAGTGATAAAATTGAAAGGCGGCATCTTGAAATTGGATGTTTAGTTAAATTTAAAGTTGTCATTTGAATAGGATTTATAGAGTTCTGTCATGTTATTTAGTTTAAAAACTCAAGTTCATATTCTACACATTCATTACACTCTAAGATATAAGATATCTTTGAGTGATATAACCAGATAGAGCTGTTTTAAACTACATATATTTTTGTTTTACACTTGTGTGAACAAAGTGACAAATAAATCTGTCTAAGTCTGAGTCTCTAAGTCTAAGATATAAGCAGTTATTTCTGATACCCTATTGGTTCATATTTCATGAAAATTCAAAAATTCTTATTATTTTAAATTTTCTTTTTAGGGGTTGACACAGCGAGCAGAAAAAACAAACAAAAAACAAACAATACCTGAACACTTTTAACTGAAAACACAAACATTATATCAGAGGATTATAAAAGGGTTATAAATACAGAATGTCCCTCTTCTACACAGTGAATCAGTATACTGCACAGTTAATGCACCAAATACTGGGTGGCTTCTCCCTTTGCATGAAACACTGTATTGGCTCAGCATAGCATAGAGGAGGTAGTTAGAACCCTCCTAATGAAGTTCAGTCATGGCAACGGGTTTAACATTATCGACCTCCTGTAATATTCTTTACCAGAAAATCAAAATTTTAATTATTTTATCAACCGATATTGCGATTATGATTTTCTTTTGATTTTCTCAAACATCTTCATGTTTCACTGCAGGTTTTTATCGTTCCATGACCTTGAAAGCTTGTTTATTCTGAGGCCATCTTCACAGAAATTTACTGTTACGTGCAAAAGTGCTTACTTTGGATCTATGCTCTAGTTGCACCTCTATCTTCCCTTGTGTGAGGTGGCAAACCCAGTTTAAGTGTATTACTGTCACCTAAAGGGCTGGAGGGAGAAAGTCAGTGCCATACTCATGTGCAATGTAATACGACCGAAACCGAGAGCCTCTACGATTTAAAAGTTGTATTTTCTTCAATTCAGATTATATTAGATATTACATTACTAAATGGGGCAATAATTGCCCTACCCTTGCTTTAATTAAAAATAATTCATCATTATCCTACCTAAAAGGAGGAAACACTTAAGATATATTTCTCATCAATCTATATAAAATACAAGTTTCACACATTCGCATTGAGATACCAACATACAGAAACTACAGATTAAATTCTAATCTGTTAAGAAATTCCAATTAAGAGGAGAGAAAATCCAGAAGCTCTATAAGAAAAATGCATGTATGAGTCTAAATAATTTAGGCACTTTTAGAGGGAATGAAAAATGTAATTTTCTTCTGAAAAAATGAACAAAACTGGCCTGATAAGAAAATTTGCAAAAGGTCTTAAGGACTAATCTGCTTCTAAATTTCTACTGCTGTGGTTTTAACTGAAAACAGAAAGTTGGGTGTTTCCAGCTGATGGACCGGAGCAGAAATCCCAAACATCATAAGAAATACATTCAGCAATAAAATAAAAAAAAATACCTGTTAAACCTTGTAGCTTGGAGACCCATTCTCAACTGAGATTCAACTGTTTACATTAGATCAAATCTGCAGTTCATGGTACATTCCAACATAAATACCACCTTTTTATCTGCATTTTTTGCACTTCAGGACTGCAGTCACTCACCTTGAGAGTAGCAGATAAAATGAACTCCTTCTGCGGCGTTTTGCATTATCGGGTAAATAGCTGCTTTGAAGCCCTCCACCTGTTTCCACATGGGCTCCAAGCTGGCACTGCGGTCGAACAAGTCGATGACCGTCACATTGGTCCCAGGATGAGACTGCAGGACAGACAAAAAGAAAAAAAGACGTGGTACATCAACAAAGCATCGGTTCAGGTTGGAAGGCACTGGAGCAAAGGTTTAAGTTATGTGAAAGAGATAAAAGAAAAAAGAGGAACTGAGATCTGTTAGGTTTCCTGATGGTTTAAGTAAAAACCAGAAAGGGTTTTTGTTTTATTTTTTTTAAAACATTTCCAATTCACCCTAAAGGGGTTTTAAAATGCATGCATAAATGTTTGGAGAACTGAAGACAAGCAGGATGGGGCACATTTCATTGCCTTTACAGTGTATGTTAATGTCTGAATGCATTACATACTGATCCAACTGGTCTCTATAGTTATTGCTCTAGACAATTAATTTGCATTGAAGTTACCTTTTATTCAATTGTATTTGATGTATTTATTATTATACGTTAATAATACTTTATTCACTGTAATAAACTTTGTGGAAAAAATGGTTTTGTTAATCAGACAGTATTTTTCCTAGAAGTTAGGAAAGTTAATAGAAACTATATAGAGAGGAAAGATGAAAGGAAAATTTGCTCAAAATAAATAAAGAATGGGGGGAAGTAAATAGACAAAAAAAGGAAAGGGAACATGATAAGAAAGTAAACAGAATATAGCAAATGAATCTATCCATTTGATAGAATCTAATGATGTGTTATCCATTATCCGATGGTGAGATAGTAAAGAAATAGAAAACATTTGCACTTAAAAAAAAAAAATAATATATCTGTTTATAAAGTAACTTCTAAGAGTATATATACACCTTCTAAACTTATAAGGTTGCAGTGGTTTGGCCGCATATGATGAATTTAAACTCCAAGGCCTGCAGAACATGTTGTATTTAACTTTCTAGAAATTAAAGCTCCCCTCCAGCACTTCCTCATCGTTTTGAATTCTTACCTCGTTGATGAATCGCTGTAAGTTCTTAAAATTCTCCGAACTGTCGAACAAGCCGTGCACGATGATCACCGGCTTGTACCCGACCACCGCAGCCCAGAGACACGCGCCGAGCAGCGGCCACAGCACCCCTCCAGCCCCGCTCTTTCTCCGACCAAACACTGACCTCTCCATGGCAGGTCGGATGAATTAAAAACCTCTAAAATATACCCCTATACATAAAATTAGCTTTTGGGTTCAAATAAAACTATAGTTTAGCTAATGATGAGGAATCATCTTTAAGTATGTCTGCTGCTCTCCAGATAAGCACAATTAGCTTCCTTTTATATATATTTATAATTCCTGTTTAAACACACACTTCCTCCCTGAAGTCACATAAAAACACCCGCTAAAAAAAAACTCGTTAACCGATCGACTTTTTCTCTGCCTTGTTTGTTCCGGTTTTAAATTAAAGGTGAGACGGACGCTGCTGACGGAACTTCCGGTTTCCACTCGACCAATCAGCTCGAAGGGAAACGACGACTCCTCCTTTATGGAAAGCCATTTGGTGGACATTAGATACACACATTTAATTATACGCTTACATATAGACACCAGCGTTCACTAAATTAGTATCTTACAATCAGCGTTTATGATTTCAGAGGGAAATTTCAGTCATAAAAACGCAGAGGGAAGGAACAGGTGTATTATGGAAGGATGTTTTATCATTTAATCCTGCTGACCAAGTAAATGATTAACAGGGTTGGATTTCTCATTTCAGAACTCAACTGTTCTCCAGTATACAAACTGATAGCTATGTTGACTGCTACAAACGGTGTGAAAATTACTTTTGCATTTCAAATATAGACAATATAAAAAAATGAGGTGATTGTGGATGTGTGATCAGGAATATGTCACATGCTGATTTCTTTTTTTATTTTATTTTTATTTATTTTTTTCACATGCTGATTTCTGAGTTAAAAAAACACACACAGTCCTGTGAAATCATCATATCTAATTTGCTTTTAGGTTAAAAAGACATATTCCTACATTGCATTTTACTGGTAGGTGTAGAAAAGTAATAGGAAACCAATTTAGCCAACTGTTAAAAGTATAACAATGAAATACTTTTAATGAATAAAAAATAAATAAATTTGTGGTCAAAATTTCTTCAAGGTAATTATGTGAAAGCAAAAAAAGCTGCAACCAAACCCACACCTCCAAATGCAACCAAACCAATCTTGCTATTGACTGGACCTCCCATTTTTTTTAAGTCATCTTATTGTTTTCTTTTTAATATACACTCTGTGTATACAACATGACAATAAAAGTTGTCTAAGTTTCTGTGAACAACCACTTTAAGATTAAAGCATTTTATTTTGTTTATGGTTTATGTAATTTCTTTGTAACATTCTATGTAACATTCTAAATGAAATTAAGGCTCAATCTATTTAAAATGTTGGAAAACCTGAAAAGATAGCATAGCAAAGTATGTTAATGATTTAAATAAACTATCAGTAAAAGCATCTTAAGACCCATCGTGAACCAGTTTTATAAACTGAACTGAATTGGTTGCTTAAAATATATTAGAAAGACAAAGAATTAAACCTCACCTCCAATGGATCAAAAATATACAGTAAGTAGTAACAGGTAAGTTAAAACAGGTCACTTACATGTGAATACCTCTATAATAAGAAGAGGCCAATGTGTAATTATCCGCTTTCAGAGTGAATTCACTTGGACGGCCAGACTTGGACATGTTGCAACCCATTTTAGACATGCCTCCACTGGCAGATCATTTTCTGCTAATTGCATCTTTTATTTTTTTTATTAATTTCCAGACTTTTAAATAGTCAGAATCTGTAAACCTGCCCATGGTGTTCATGCTGACTTCATGTCAGTAACTGACCTGGTTTAATGAGGTTTAAATATGGAGAGCAATGGAGTCTAAAAGTAATTATAAGCTGAACAAGTGAAAATAAAAGTAGCTGTCCTAATTTTTTAATCACTAGAAACCAAAATGGAGTTTTTGCTGTTTACTTACATTATTCGAAATGTTCAAATCTTTAAAACTGATATCAAATACTAATATGTCCAAACATTACAAATAAAGAGGCTGCTGAATAAGGCTAATATTTTTCACACTGGCCTGCAACATTTTTTTATTCCTCACAGCAAAGAAAAGGAGATCAAATAATCACACCCTTTATTATGGATAAGACAGTTCGCCAGATTTAAATGAACATCTACAAAACCATTGGAGTGGGCAAGCATCATCCTCTCAAATATAACCAGAAGATAAGAAGCTGCTGCTACAAAGCAGGCTCAATATAGCCAGATTAAACCAACCTCATCCAAACAATGATCATCACCCTTATTCGCATTTTGATTCTACTTTTCAATGGTGAACAAGTCCAAGAATTCCTATTATATACATGTAACAGAAGAATTTCTGTATCTTCTTCTTTCGCTGATCCAGAGCGTTTGAGAACCTTTAATAAGTAATACTGGACTTGGTTTTACTTTGGTAGAGGTGATGCAGGAGATCCTTGTTTACTCTTTTTACAAGATGGGGAAAGACAAAAGAACGTGACTTCAAGCAACGCAAAATCAGAAAAAAAGCTACAAGAAAATAGCTGCTCACCTAAACTTGCCATACGTACAATCATGAGCAATGATTTAAAAAAATCTAAAATAGAAAGTGTGACCAGAAGTGATGAAGACACAAGGTTTGACTGGTTCAAAGTCAGCTTTCACATCTAATAACGAGATTTTGCACAGTTGTTGGCATCCATCCCCAGAAAAGATGGATATCCTGCTTTGCAGAAAAGGCTTTGTGGATTTTAAGCTCAGAACAAAGAAACACCTTCATCTCTTATCAATATTAACCTCCTTTGGTCCATTTTTAACAGTCGGTAACCTACAACAGACAGAGCAAATGGTGATCTCCTGTTGGAAATTACCAGGAAAGGCTGCTGGTCGTCTTCTGACTTGTAAAAAGAGGAGTGCAGAGATTTAATGCTTTGGCTAATGCTGGAGTGTCAGGTAGCTTTTTCTTTTGCTTTCACATTAACAGCCAGCTTTCAATCACTCAGAGAAAGAGTTTCATACTGAAAGAGAAAGACTGAAGGTAAAAATATATCAAAAGTACTGCAGAGCCACAGAGTTCAGCCTTCAGGCTCTGATGGAAGAGTAACAAGAAGCATAAATGAGATAGAAAACATTATGAAATCAGTTTTCTATCCTTCTTGAAAAGAGGGTTCCTCATGTTTGATGGAGCAGGAGCAGCTCTACACGGTAGGCTGCAGCAGCTCCTGCAGGTCGCACAAGGTTTCCTTTATAGTGCGAGCCATTGTCTCTGCGTTGGTGTCCTCGCAGCAGTTGAAGGCAGTGATGGAGAAGTGGACATGGTCCGCCTGAGGGTTGTAACACACGGCATAACCGTCCGGAACGAGGGGTCCGAAGCACATGACGCTGTCTGTGTTTGCGGGTACCTGCACACACAAAAACAAGAGACGATGAGGTTGGAGATGAGCTTTTGATAAAAATATCTATCTGAAAGCATTAAGAGGTTGTATGCCAGCTATGCATCAGCTTCGATAATTGGAAATTAGTATAAAACATATTTTTTAAGCTATACAATGCCATTAAAATCTGTATTTGTCCAATATTTAGGAATTTCAGAGACCAACATTTAAAGGCTATGTAGCGTTGATTAACTTGCACAATACTGGTACAACTCATTATTTACTGCCTTATTTTACAGAGCAATATATTTACAGGATTAATTTCTCTTAAGTTATAACTCTACATAATGCTAATCATTAAATCTTTATTAAAAACTAAAATGCAGGGTCGTCTTATAATCAGGGTCTAGCCAATTATACAGGCTGACAGTCGTCTTGGGTAGCTACACGAACGCAACAGCAGAGGGCGCCAGCTTTTTGTAAAGCCAGTGACCTCACTGTGGCTGAGGTTATTTTCTTTTTAAATCAATAAATGCTAAAAAAGGAGAGTCGCTTCCCAGAATGGAGTGGATTAAAAGTCAGACAAGTTTGCAGACATTTGAGGCGGAGTTTTGACACCACTTTTAAAATAATTGTGGTCAATACAGCGGAGGCATCAAACAACTGCCAGGCTGCAAAGACGTACGGCGTTACAGAGTGCAATGTCAGAAGATGGCACATTCAAAAAGAAAAGCTTAATGAAAAAGTGCAGAGATGCAGGGTGAGAGTAGGAGTGACAGTGAGCAGATAACGCCTGTGAATAAAAGCCTCATGCAGTTTTTGAGTTCAGATTGCAATCGAGTTGAAGTGTTGCAAAATTCAACTAAATGTGTCAATATTGTGTTTTCTTTTTTCTTTTTTATTGTTTAATTGCACAAATCTTTCAATACAATATTAATATAAATGAAAATGTTAGCACTTCAATATAAATACATTTATTAAAATAGACTTTTTATTTTTTTTTGGTCTTTTAGTTTTGTTCCTATAAACTGATCCTGGAAATAGGGGTTATTCTTATAATCAGGGTCGTTCTATATTCAGGTCAGTACAGTAGTTCAGGCTGCTCAATCCAAGTATCGTGTATAAATATTACAGAAAAAAATATAAATCTCCAACAATCTGACTCATTAAAAACAAAACACATCTTAAGCAGTGGATTTAAAAATGATTTAATAAACAAGAAGTAAAAGTACCACACCCATGCATGAGTTTAAAAACAAATTCTCAATAAAATAAATCAATAAATTCCTTTCTTAAAGTCTAATCATACAGCATGAAGTGAACAGACCTGTCCTGTCCGCAGCTTCCAGTGCGTCGCCAGGCCATAGGCGGTGTCCATGAAGATTTTGGGAATGCTGAGTCCTTCCTCAATGGCCTGCAGCTTGAGCCCCAGCAGGTGGTGGTCAATGCCATGCCCCTTAAGAGCCTGAGCAGCATCAGGCAGAAAAGATCATCATCCTTCAAAACAGAAGCTAATATATCAAGCTGGAAAAAAAGCACCATGTAGATGCGTTTACCTGTGTAGTCAGCTCAGCGTAAGCACTGACAGCTTCTCTGAGCAGCTCCAGCTTTGCTTCTCTCTGTGGAGAAAATATAACGATTTAAATCTACAGAATCACATCAGTAAGATACGGAAGAGCCAAAAAAAATAAAAAAACTGTTTCTCACCGATATGTTCGGATCATCGAAAGCCGTGATAAACTTCAATGCCTGATTGGTCGGTGAGCGGATGTACTCGGTTCTTCCTCCTCGAAACATCCTCTGTGAGGCGATATCGCAGGCAGGACACACCTCATTGTGAACTCTGCAGGCAAACATCAAAAAGCTCAGAGATTGCAAACATACAGTGACCTCCCTTTTAGGAATGTCTGTTGAATAAATGTTAGTGACATATTTATTACAATCCGAAAAAAAGATTCATGCAATGGTTCTGGACATCAGAACTTCTCTAAACTCAACAGCTTATTGCAGTGAGAGAAAAAAACTGGTTAAACCTAGATCGGAAAACAAGCAGAGCGCCCTCAAGTGGTTAAACACTTTATTTGCAGCAGGCACAGACAATAGGAACTAGTCTGTGTTTGCAGCTGTTGCAGAACATATAAAGACACATGGACATTATGGAGAAAATTGTTTTGCAACTATGGAGCAGTAATGATGGTGAACAATTTTTAATCAATGACGTTTCAGCTCATATTATTGCACATTTTATTGTACTTCTGCAATGAGATTGATCTCAAATAAGTCATTATATTTTAATATTTTTTTTTCATTCTAAGCAACTTTTTAGATGGTATATTTGTAAATAAGTATCCAGTAACAACAATTTACAATGTAATAGCCACATATGTTCATAGGTTCATAGTCCCGGCTATATTTTGTACACTTGTCATCTATCCCTCAGCTTTTAACATGCAAACCTACTATTTAATCTGCCCCCCCTCAATTAAGACATTTTTAGATTCGTTTAAATTACAGCAGCTATTCTTACAAGAAATGTTTGTCTGTGCAAAGTAAAACTTCAGCTGCATGAGTAATTAATGGGCATAGAAAGGTACAAAATTCATTCGGTGAACTATAGACTCCTACATGTTCTGCTATTCCCCTGTTTAACCCCAAACTTAAACACAGAGGCTTTATTCATCCTGCTACTACTGACCTGTAGTAGGAGAGCTGCACTGCGACCTGGATGAAGGAGTTTGGGCTCATGTTGTGTTCCTTAGGAAGCTCTTTGCCAAACTTTTTGAAGTTGAAGACGTGGACGTCGAGGTCATTGATCAATCTGAAGGTGAAATAAAACAGAAACAAGCCATCTTAATTTAACAACAACAAATCATTCAAGGTTCCTTCCGACTTTGATTATTAAGCATGAACCTATTCATCTTTTATTTGTATTGTTTGTTTAGATTTTACAACATTTGCTTTCTTGTCAGATTGGGACCCAGCTTTCTAGGAACCATCATCATAATGTGTCTCAATCTGTTAATTTGCAACCTTAAAGTAACCCTGATCCACCCAAATTATTGCATCAACTGAATTTCTTGCTGTGGCCATGTTTCTTGTAATTCTTCAAAATCCTGCAGCTCACTTAAAGCAGCACATTTGACTGCAGACTGTCGCAGACCTGGATTTGTAAAAGTTAAGATTTTAGAAACAGAAAATTATCTGAAATAATTGATAATTCACATAATAAAACAAAAATACTTTTAAGAGATTCACCAATCAATCAGCCAGAAAATAAAATGCATAAAAGGCAATAAATCCTGACATTTTCAAGTCTATAAAGGCATCAGTCATCAAGATTCATTTGGGATGTCTGTCTGGAGTTTACTAAAACCAAAAGCTTTTATTTTATGGGACTGAAACTATAAACTCTTTAAAAACTAGCATAAAATAAATTATCCATCAGAACTGGTCTATTAATCTGCCTTCCAGCATCAGCCAGAAACAGTTCATCTCCAGTTTTTTATATCTCTAATTTGACTGAATATCCCCTCAGTCCACAACAAAGTAAATATCAGATGAAAGAAAAGCTTCAGCTCTCGCTACAATTTCAGCAGATGGATGATTTACACAGCCCAGTATGGAGGCTCTGCGTTTGGTCTGTGCTCAGGAAACTATTGGCTGTAAAGAAAAAAATTACTTTCATAAACAAAGACAAATTTGCAAAAAACTTATGTGGTTGTTACTCCCCAGTTTTGCTAAATTTCAGAGAAAGAGCTGCAGGAGGACAGAGCTGAGGCTCGATCTCCTCCTTTTTAGTATAAAACACGCACAGAGCGAGGTAACAGACGGCTCACATGTCTAAGTTCTGCTTAGCCTGCTCTATGTCCCTCTTGATGTCTCGGTCTATGTGGAAGTAGAGCTTCTTGGGCATCGGGAGAGGAACAAGTGGAGCTCTCTTTGGGTCGGGTTTCTCACTGCAAACAAAAACAAAAATATATTCATAAGTAGAAAAAAGAACACACAAAATCTCCTGGTTTAATGTTTCTAATGATATTAACTACCATCCTCTTCCTTCACTGGAAGTAAAAAAGTTAATTGTGTAAATGTTTGGGCATCTGGCTGCAGCTTTAAGGTGCATTCAGACAGAGCGCGGCGTCTGCAGCGAGGGCGGCGGACTTAAATAGAATCCCTTTGCGTTGTGAAGGGTGCAGTTTGCGATGATGGTGCTCTGCTCCGCTCTCCCCTGCTACTCAATGGAACTGAGGTGTTGACAAACAGCGGCACCGCATGGAGAGAGAGGAACAGGTGATCGCTGAAGTTGAAAAATCTGAACTTTTCTATAATATCACGCAATTTCATAGGGATACTTGACCTCTGACTGACTTAAAAATCATCTCTAATATCTCTGATCTTTCACGAAAAGCACCACACTAGGTCTGAATGCACCTTTAGACAAAACCATAATGTTTTTTTTTTTTATTGAAGATATTAAGAAAAGATGGACGTTTAGATGGACTTGACTTTTAGTGACTGGAATAACTGAGTAGCAATTTATTATGGAAATACATTAAATTCTCCTGATTCTCTTTCTCCAAACTTAACTTTAGAACATTTAATTGTTTATGTTCAGCTCAGTTTTAAAGGGCATCTTTTACTTGAAATGCTTTTGCAGAGCTTCTTCTCCAAGGCTGCTTCCAATGAATGAATGAAAACAACGTGAAACTCAAAGAGAGAGTCACAAAGTAGTCCGGATTAATGTGATTTACTTCAGATTACCGCAGTGCATCTGAACTCAAGTCTACAGCAGAAAGATGTCCTTTATCTGGGTTTGTGTTTGGAGTTTCAATTTGGGAATCAATGCTAATAAACAAACATCCCCCAGTCTCTTCTGTAAAGATCCTGTGAGAGGATCAATGTGGCGTGAAGGTGATACAACCTTCCAGGAAACAGCCTGCGGAGGTTTAAACACATCCCGTTTGTGAGATGGCGTCGGTTACACACTTTCATTTATAAAATTAACACCAAAAAAAATTCAACAGATTCGAAATTTTCCCAAATTAATAAACAAAAAACAAAGCAAAGGAAGAACAGTTGTGTGTACAAAGATAAAGCAGGTACACCCCAACTGCTTCAATTGGACTCAATAGATTAATCATTTATGCAAACACTGCAAAAACAGCAGAACTTCTTGCAAAAATTATTTAGAGAAATAAATGTTGCTGCTAATTAATCTGGAACAACTGAATGTGTCATATTAATGCCATATGGGGGTAACAAGTTAAACAAGAAACAGATTACCGTAATACACTACGTTCAAGCATTAACATGTAAAATAGTTTGTTAAAAACTAAATTTCTGTGATATTATTACAGTTATAACGCTGGTAATGCTCCACAACCCAAAAAGTCAGTTTTGAATAAACAACCCACGACCCACAACCTAAATAAAGAGAACAAGACTTTTTTTAGAAGACTCATTTCATATTAAGAAAAGGAGGGTTTTAAAATAACAGAAGAAGACAGCAAGTGGCCTACAATAATCAGTTCGATGTTTTCCAAGTGGCTATACTTGAACTAATTGTAATATTAACGTTTACATTGAAATAGTATAAACTACTTTCAGGTTTTATTTCATGCAAATTTGACTTTTTTTTTTAACCTTATGAGGCTGCACTTAACTCAGGAGCTAATAAATGAGGCATAGAAAGAAAACTTTTTGTCACGCCCTGTAAAGTTTTTGTTGTGTACCATGTTATATTTTTGTGATCCTTTATTTGGTAAGGGCTTGTCCTAATTGTTTATTTGGGCAAAAGTTACTTACTTTACATTATGGTAATATCATAAATAAAGTATTACTTTTTAACAAAGGTACGGTGTAATATGACATTAGTATATTTTGATTGTAAATTGCCTAAAATTGGCCAAATTTAAATAGTTAGTAAAAAAAACTAAAAAAGATTACTAATCCTCCCAGAAGGGGGCGTCCTAGCAAAGCCTTCCAAATTCAGACCGAGACAAAGACTCAATAGACACCAGTTAGCAAGTTATATGCCAGGGCAGGAAAACATGATTCTTGATAGTGCAGGAAAAAAACGAAGGCATGTTCCTTTTAAAAGGAATATGGCTGCATGAATAACAGATTTGAAAAACCTGCTCATGAAAAAACAAACAAACAAAAAAACAGACAAATATCTAACAGATCCGGTCATCAGCATGTTAGTACAAACCATCTGCCATGCACAGTGGTGGAATAAGCCTGCTTTGCTACCTTTCGGTATTCACTATAGGCATGAAGACCAGAATACATTACAACATAGATGTTGGTTACATAAATGTTTAAAAAGCTGGGTAAAGAGAGCTGGAAAATGCTACCATGACTCTCCGGGTGAAATATAAATGACCAATACTTTTATATAAATCCAGCCCTTCACCCATTCAAGCTAACGGTGCCATGCTGCACTGTAGCCAGAGCAATCTGAACCACAGAGCCAACTGAACACCAATAGCATGGAAGGTGGGTAAAGTGGCCAACGTCATTGCAACTGAGAGAGACATAGCACGGCCTCAAACTGGCAACCCTCCGGTAAGAGGACCAACACCTACCCCCTGAGCCACAGACATATTTTTTTCTAAATTATAAAACTGGAATTATTGCCCTACGACACACTAACAGCTCTCAGCAATCTCAAAGAACCCTATATAGAGTCTTATGTGGGGCAATTAATGTGAGGTAATTAATTCTGTTGTTGCACTGGCTTAGTAGAGTCCAGACCTCTGGCTCATTTAAATGCTGTGACAGCCCTTTATGAGAGCCCTGCAGCAATCTTTATTAACAACACAGATAAAGGCAGACAGGAAATGGACACAGATGTATAGAAGAGTGTACTTCTTTTTCTAAATCACAGCTATTTTGATATTTAAAATAAAGCGTTTAATCATTTCAAACATTAGTTACTATATGACTCTGCTTGCTGTTTTTTCAGATATACCCTTTCAAATAAGTTGAACTATGTCCAACAATCCAAAAATTATCAATGCTTAACCATCATAGTAGTTGTGAGTGGGGATAGTAGCAGTAGGGCTAAGAGTTGTTTAAAGCATGTTGACATTAATCTCACCAGTACTCCAGTATATGGTGGAGAAGGTTTGTTATGGGCGGACCCTCGGCTGTGGCCTGTTCATACAGGAGGCCCCATGAGCCGTCCTCGCCTACCACAAACTGTTTAAACAAACACAGGTCAGAGTCAGCCTACTATCAACATTCAATCAGCTCCTTGTACGTTGTTCTACATGTGATCACACCCACCTGCAGTGTTTTGTCAAACCAACGGTTTCCACTGTTAGAGTACGTCCCGCCTCCATGCAGAATCTGAGCCGCTTTACGGCTGGCGTACCTGCAAGGTGAAAAACGTAAAAGCAAATTTCTTAAACATGATTCTTTCAGAATTCTGACACCACAGAGTCAGCGTTTCACAATCTGTAGTTTCAATTCAAATACAGGAAGAGACAATTGCTCATTCCAGCAAACGTCAACATACGACACAATCATATCTGCAGGGAAAAGCTTACGCAATAGATTTAGCAAACACAGAAACACCTGGAAATGTGCGCTTGTGCACATACTTCTCATCAGATATCCTCATGACTGGAGAATCCAAGCACAGGGAGAAAAGTCCTGTTTCTATCATCCGCACAGACTCCTGGTTGAGTTTGTCTGCGGAAGTAGAAACATAAAAATTAAATTAAAGAGAGCCTAAAGTTAATTTTAGACAATGATTTAAGACAATATTAAAAACATTTACATTTTTTCTATTTGTATGCCTAAAATGCATCAAGATATAGATTGAATGTTTATTGTGGGATTGAAATTTTCCTTTCTTATATTCTCACTCTATGAAATAAAGGAATGGAGAAAGTTTTAACACGTTATGACGGCATGTTTGCAACAGCAATGGTACACCAACTGCATAGCCCCACCTTTGCTCCTTTATTCACATACGTTTCCAAACCATTTGAACTTCCTGGCAAAACTACGAAAGCCTAAAAAAATTGGTAATGTCTAAATCAAATCTTAATCATAAACAAAAAACACAACTATGTCCTAAACGTACCTCCTAACATCAAAAGTCACTTCTCTAAATGAGGCTTATATTTATATTTCTAACAGCAAGCACTTGAAAATGAGCCAAAGAAAGAAGAAAGAAAAATAAACCCTTTGAATGACGATTTGGAGTTAAAAAATAACCTCGCCAAGACGTCACATTCAAACTGTATTCCAAGAAACACAAATTTGCATTAAATATATTCTCCTAGCTCTCCTAACAGTCGAGAAATAATAAGGTCTGGAGACTAATATTACCATGGTAATGTTTGATAGTCAATGGTAATTGGTCTATAGTGCTACTGAAGTCTCATTGACTCAGTCACAACACTGCTGGTGGTAAGCTACAATGCGGCCACAGATAACCTGGGGCGCACTGACTGGGGCTCCGTCGGGCCCTATGACCGCTCTCAGAAGAAAATGCGCGTTAAGTGTCTTGCCCAAGGACACAGTGACCAACACAGCCAGAGCTGGGGTTTGAACCATTGGACATCTAGTTGCAAGTTAAACTCCTGAATCCTACAGCCGTTTCCATACCATGCTAGCATTAACCTTTGCATGATAACGTTGGTTTTTGCACGTAAATGAATAAAAATTTCAGACTAAATTATCAACAAGTTCATTCATTTCATTAAACACAGTATTTGCCCTACCTTAATGTCTTAAATACATCAACAAAATATGCAAATACAATAGTTTATACCTTTAGCATATGTAGCCTATAGTTAATTGTTTGTTCTAACTTTTTAAAAATAGCTACAGCATAAAAAAGTACTTTAGGCCAAAGACAGTGTTCCATTAGTGCATAACTTGAAAGCGTAGGCCTAACAACAAAATAAGACATTCAAAAAAGAGAAGCTTCCGGAAACCACAATAGTAGCTAACATTAGCCTTAGCATCCAAACATTAGCATAAAGACAGTAGAATTACTATCAAAATACCAAGTAGTTTATAATCTAACAAGATATAACACTTAATATTTTGTTAGAAATTCTAAAATAGAAAGATCTAAATCTAACAGAGAGAAAATACAGTAAATACTTTACAGAAAAAGTAAATTACATTTTAAAATGAAAGAAGATACATGTTTTAGATGTGCAAAAGAAGTGTGTGTCTAACAAGAAAATTAAATCTAAGAAAAAGAAATCCCTAAAATACACTTTAACTACCAACCTTAGACTTGGCATATTGGCATTAGCATGCTAACACTTGCATTACTTAATTGGTATAAGGGTTTATTTAAATACTATTGAGGAATAATACACTGCACTCAATAAACTCCAGTCAAAAATCTAAAACACAAAAGGCTGTTAAAAAATAGAGACACTAAAGAAGACTGATGTTAAACCTCCCAATTCTAGTCAATCAACGCTATGCATCCATTGCCAAAAATGAAATTAATCTTTTGTTGAAAGGTGGGACGAATTAAAATATTTAGGATACTAGCTCTAAATGATTTAATTGGGAAAGTCTTTGTTTTAGTGCCGAGACCAAATGAATAAATGGTGTTGCATAATTAGTAGAAACTTTCTTAGTCAAAACATATTTATTCATTATTGTAAACGAAATATAATCAACATTCATTAACCAAATTAATAATTATACCGTTCTAATCCAAAGCTGTGGTCTAGCTTTATACCAGCTCTTGTAATGAACAGTTAACCCTTGACTGAGAATGAATTACCACTGAACTACTTGGCAAGCTTGTTTGAGATGATGAGTGATCAAACCTCTCAGTAGGCGGTTGTACGCTTCCCCCCATGTGTGCCGATGCTCGCTGGTCAGGATGCCCATGGGCTCCTTGTCGGTCTTCCAGGACTGAGATCTGATTCTGTGCAGCTGACTGTGAATCTGACTCTCAGTCATCCGTGAACCATCACTGTTGTAAACCTCGAGCTGGAAAAACTAGACCCCAGGGATGAATGGTGAGAAGAAATGAAAGGAGATTATTCCATTCCAAAACTGAGTCATTATCAGAAATGCTATAATTCCCTATGATCCTTCATTAGTTGATTTTTGAAGATCTGTGTTGGGATGAAAGGATTTTATCTTAAAACTGTAATGACTTATTGACAATGTATATTAATTCATAGTGGATCATCCCGGATTAACTACAATTTGCAACTTAACCACAAACCTTTCGGAGATAATAATCTTCAGCCTTAATACAAGCTAAATATCTATCCACCATATTTAGATCAACAGTTAAACCATGTTGATCTGGAGTGAAGTTGAAGAAATTCAAGCTATTCCTCACTATTTTACTCAAGCAAATGTGAGGATTCAATAACCTCAGAGAAATAGTCCCACAGAATGCTGCAGCCAGCACCATGCATGATTGCCGAGGTCACTGCTCTTTGCTTTAATAGCCTCATGGTGACTAGTTCAGGGCAAGCATTTCATTCAGTGAACCTGAAGTGCACACTGAAGCTATCAACTTTAGAGCAAGGTCCTTGGTGCTTCTTTTGTTCTAGTAGATTCCAAATGATGAAATGAGGAAATATGTGCGCTATAATGGTTGCTAAGTTGTTCTTGAGGATCTCGACAAACTTTACAGTGACGGTTTGGGAGAGGTTGTTGAAACTTGGGACATAAATGCGTGTTGAAATATTGAAATGGTCCCAATCACAAATCAGAACTGGTTTTGGATTAAAGAATGCAGACTGAGATTTCAAGAATAGCTCTGACCTCAGTCCGGTTCAAAATATACAAGCTATACTACAAAGCTGAATCCAAACTGATAGAAAAGTGGCCAAATCTTTTCTCCCTGAATTACGTCAGAGGTTGTGAGAACAAACTTGGCTCTGAAGTGCAACTTTTCCCTTGGATTAGATAAAGCAGACAAGGCTTTTATATTTATTTTTGGGAAGAAAAAGTGCTGAATAAGTTCAGAAAAACATTTTATTTTTTATTAACCACTATAGGAAGGTAAAATGAAAATAAACTTCTGATATTTATGAGGCCATTACCACCATCAACGTGGATGCAACTCAAAATCGGAGAGGTACCAGTTTTATTCCGTGAGACAAACACCCTTTCTACTTTTAAGAATTGGCTTAAAACTTTCCTTTTTAATAAAGCTTATAGTTAGAGTGGATCAGTTTGTCCTGAGCTATCTCTATAGTTATGCTGTTGTAGGCTTAGACTGTTGGAGGACATAGGGACCCCTTTTCATCATTCTGCTTCATTTTATCTTTATTCTCCCACTCTGCAGAATGATTTAGTTCAATCTCTAACGTTGTGCTCTCTCTGCTTTTTCTCTCGACAAAGTGGTCTGTTCCTCTTTGGCTTTGACACCATCCTGGAGAAATATCAGCTGTGCTGCTGCCATCGACACCTTTGTTTATAGATGTTGGATGTGCTCTCTTCATCTTCTGACATGGGAGCTGGCTCGGAGCTTGTCTACATGGCTGTGTGTTTCCTGTGGAGCTTGTTGACACCTGTCGTTTGTGTCTCTGCTTATTTCTGCATGTCTGCTTCTGTTTCCTTGAACCAACTCAGCCTCGGCAGATGGCCGCTCACACTCTGTCTGGTTCTGTTGAAGTTTTTCCTGATAAAAGGGGTTTTTTCCTCTCCACTGTCGCTATAAGCATGCTTGGAGTGGGGGATTCCTTTCGAGTGAATGAATCAATGCAATAAACTGATTTTCCTTAGATAGAAAACGTTGAATCAGTTTACCTGTATCATCTGGTTAAATTGTCTCTGTAAAGGGCCTTCCATGTGTTGTGAATTGGCGCTATATAAATAGACTGAATTTAATTAAACGGAATTACCTTCAATCCTGACCTTTCTGTTGTGTTTGACAGATGACTGTTGTCACTCCATGATCAACAAAAACTGTGTTAATTTGGCCTCTCTCCAGTCTGGCTGTATTTCATTTGAATAAAGCCAGACTGGTGAGGATTTATTGGACAGTGAAGCATGTTGTGTAAAGGCCAGCCAAAAGAATAGCTGCTCTGGCTGGATCCAAGTTTCTGCACGCTCTGGAAAATAATTTATGATGGGGACTTCAACCTAACCCTGGCCCAGTCCGAACTCATTTCAAACATAAAAAGAATCCCATGCTGTATTTAGCACATGAACCCTCTGTAGTCTCAGAGGTTGTCAAACTGCTGGTGAGACATTTCATCTCTGAAGGTTTTCCTTCCTCTTTTTCAAGGATTTTTTGGTGATTAAGACAGTTTCATTTTATCCATCTGCTTAAAATCTCAACACAAATCGGTGCCTGAATAACCCCAAATACTATGTATTCAGGAGGGAGGTATCAAGAAACCAAACAAGCACCAGTAAAAACAAAACACGAGCCAGCAGTCTGACTGAAAACCGATGCCGAGTTAAAGATAGCGAAACCACCCACCTGGTAGTTCCTAACTACTGTGATGTGTGTTGGAGGGCGCCGGGAATTTGCGTAGCGAAAGACAAAGTCGTGTTTAGGTCCGGGAATCCTGCAGGAGGAGAAGAGGAGCGGGTACAGCTCCATGCACAGAGGCTTCCCTCGCATGTACTCAACTGGCACCTGGCCACTGAGGAAGAAAGCAAAAACATACCAACATGTTATTCCCACTGCTGAAAACTGAAAGACCAGTTTGGGATAAAGATCTTGATATAGCAATTTACTTTAATATAGAGCTGCAAAGTATCAACGTTGGAAATATTGCTGGAATAAATTAACCTTGCATGCAATAGCAAAATTCAGGCTCTCTACAGAACAAAAAATATCTACCATTTTAAATGGACCTTCACAGCTTTCATTGGCCTTCATTATTGTATATTTTAGTGGCTTTGATGCTAAAGCATGTTAAAGGCTGATTTATACTTCAAAAATAGACTCTACGTAGGTGTCGCAGTGAACAAAAAGACGTCCCCGCCCCTCTTCAGACACTCTGCTGCACCTCTCCCAAATTGTAGGTCACTGCAGACAGTGCTGCAGACAGGAGGCCGGCTTGTTTTGTTTTTATGACTGCAACTGCGGAAAACAACTCGTCAAAACAGACCAGCTAGAAGAGCAAGGTGCGCGAGAACGCTGGGACCCTTTTTCCACCTGGATCCCTTTTTTGCCCTCATGTCCCTCCGTTGTCGGACAAACTCGCCCCCACTTCCTCGGCCGTATCTAGACCCACAACTGGTTCCTGATTCTCTTGAGCTTAAATCAAAAATGTCTGTGTCAAGTTCACTGCGACACACTGCTGCTGGGAGTATAACCAGCCTTAAGACTAGAAATCTAAAATAATATTTTTAAAAAGTCATGATAAAGTGCAGTGACATGACTTTTTAAATATTTGCCTTTTCTTCAGGTATAATATCAGTTTATCTAGTCCTGCAAACTGAGCACTTTGACTAATTTACACTTTTGTTCTACCATTCAAAGTTAAGTACACCAACTCAGCTCACTTGCTTAAAACCATATTTTACCTTATATAAGCAAGTAAACAAACTGCTTTTTCTTTAACCGTTAGCATGTGACCTTGTTGATTTATTTATAAACCTTTCCTATCTACAATATCCTCATAGGGGTTGTTTACTTAGGGGGGTTTCCTCTAACAGTTTAAAAATGGCCACATTCCAGACAGGTTAAACATTTTCCATGACAGCAGTGGATACAGGAACACAATTTAACTTTGAAATTATAGTTTTGTAACAATAGTGATAGTTAAATTTCTAAACCAAAACAAGACATGGATCTCAGGGTATTTCTGAAAAATAATTGCATTCAAAAAGTCAAAAGGAGAAGTTTAAAATAACCCAGAACTGATGACAGGCTGTCATAAGTCTGATGTAATTTAGGTCCCAGGGAAAATCTAGGAAAATTACAATTTATGGCTTACAAATAGGGCTGCAACTAACGATTATTTTAAAAATCGATGAATCGGCCGATTATTTTTTCGATTAATCGGAGAAAAAAAATTACTTATACTAACCTCTTTATTCCAAAATAAACATTTTAGACAAAACAAACAAGCACACAAGTACAGGTTGCTCATTAACTGTACTGGTGCAATATGAAAAATAAATGTTTGTGATAAAACTACGCAAACTTACATGAGAAATGTAGCTGTACATCCACAAAATATAGGCTACTTTGTTTCATAAAGCGCAAAAAAGACAGGCATTTTTGTTTTAAAAAGCCCCTAAGGGGCTCAAACAATAGGTCCCCCCATTTCATCAAATGAGTTTTATTTAGACTAGAAGAGTTCTGCCTTTTAAGACAGGAAAGTATAGCAGTTAAAGTTGCTACTTGAGAAAATAAAGCCCTCTGATTCAAATTATAAATTGTATTTGGAATAAAAATGAGATAACTAGGGGTGCTAAAAAAACGCATCCTCCAAAGACAGATATTTACATGGAAATGTGGCATATAATTAATTGACATATAACTGATCTTGCTGGATTTTATTCTGCTTTACTTCCATAAATTGCAGGATCTTCTTTACTTTATCTTTGCCAGAAGATTTAAACTTCAAAAGCCTTGCCCTCATAATTTTCAAGTTAATTTATTTATAAAGGCTATTTTAATTATTGTGATCAATTTGCGCCGTCAATCCCGGCGCATGCGCGCTTCATTTGCAGTCTGGACGCTGAAACATCCTGCGGCTCTGACTGCAGCGCTGAGAGGGATTCCTGCGGGAGTAGGAACGATACATGCTTTCACGTAAGAGTCTCCAAAAGCCGCCAGTAACACCGTAAAAAGTCGCCAGATTTGTCGCTAGTCGCTTTTTTAAAAAAAAATTGTCGCTGGAGGGGTCTGAAAAGTCGCTAAATATAGCGACAAAGTCGCTGAGTTGGCAACACTGCGCACCTATAGCGCTGGCTCGCTCTGCCGTATTTTTGTCTTTTCTTCCGCCGTTTCAGTCAAGTGGCAGTGATGACGGCGGCGGCGGATGACGCATTAATCGCGCGACACAACTAATCGACGATGAAATTCGTTGCCAACACTTTTAAAAGTCGATTTTTATTGATTTTATCGATTCGTTGTTGCAGCCCTACTTACAAATGTACATCACTGAATCTAAGACAAATGAGAAAACTTTTAATGCACCCCTTACAATATATATAAATGCATTTCATTGTATACGTTCCCTTTTTGATGGATTAGAAGGCCTAATCCATCAAAAACCTGATACTTTATGTAGTATTTCCTGTTTCCCACTAAGTTAAATATAATATGAAACAAAGAGCACTGTGGGAAAGACAACCCACATTTATCCAGGCATCACACACAGTTAAGAGGATTGTAGGTGTGAAGAGTGGTATCGCAAAAGCTCAGCTTAAGAGACCCTCAAAGAGTGACAATTAGGGGTCATCAAGTCTCACAACAAATAGATGGTACAGTCCAAACGGCTGGGATGCCATAAAATGTCTTCTTTATCCTACAATCACAGGCATAAAAAAACAGTTTGCTAAACCCTCAACTGGAGAAGCCCAGTGTAATCAGAGGACAGATATAACTTCTTATGTAGAAATAAATAATAGGAAAACAGGGTTGAATTTCCGAAATCATGACATTTTTACTTTTTTGTCACATGATGACATTTTAAATACAAAAACCAACCAGCAGAGTTTCCCAGAAAAAAACTCACCAACACAACAGAAAGATCTAATTTAAAACATCTTCATTCGCTGTATCAATTTATTAATATATAAATGTTTTGTTCGTAATACACAATTTCCCATATAAATCAGTCTGAACCCTAAAATGAAAAACTGCATGTTTCATTTGAGACATTTTAACGTTGCAACTCCTCTCACTCTATTTAGGACAGGCAAAAACTAGAGGTTGCAGGTCGTCTAAAAATGTCCCTCTGCTGCAACACTGAGTTTCTTAATCCTTAGAGCGGACTAAGACTTTTTCAACAGGGTTTTATGTAAAGTCTCATCTTGTCTTGCAAAACAGCTCTGATGTTTTTAAATAAGATTAATAATTGTAGAGCTCTGATGATTAAAATCGCCTCTTTATATTAGGCTAAAAGGCATCAGTTAAAAGTATTGTGAGAAAACATTATATCAAAAAATAAATAAGAGGACAAGCACTTAAATCGAAATACAAAAAACATGTTTTTTAATAAATGGCAACTATAACCAATACACATCAGAGGTAAACAGGATTTTTATATCCTATTATCTATTAGGGTTTCAGATCGGATCCCAGTACTGAGCTGCAGATACTTTCCAGTCAGTCCAAGTAAATTTAGCCACAGATTAACTTCATACAGAAGCCAAACACACAGCGATGCCAGCTGGATGAAACGTAAGACGACAGGCAACAACAAGAGTGCCAAATGATGCCTGCAGCACGTGAACTGGCGAAGAGGAATGACTTGTATGTGTTGGAGTTACAGAGTTATATTTAAGCGACAAAACTCACTTGTGCATTTTGGCTCTGAAGTCCAGAACTGCTGCTATCAATTTGGATGCAAACCTGTGAGGAGAAACAAACACGTTATCATCATGTCATATTTTTAGGGTGTTCAAATGTATTGTTCTTGAAAGAGTAAAACAAATTTAAAAATACACATGTATTTCTTTAGAGCAGTATTAATTTATTTGTTATAGGTGCAACACAAATGAGATGCTGCACTTTACTTAAACAGATTCGATCTGATTTCTAAAGGAAAAGGATACATAAAGCATGATAGATCAAAAGGGGTAATGCACATTTCACTTCATTCTTGGAAAAATTTCTTTAACCTTTGACTGTCATCATTCAGAATGCATCCTCTCCTGATAAGTGACGCATCTATTTTCTGACACCTTCTACAAAACAAAACAAGCCAAACGGCTTCAACAGAGATAAGGAACTCCACAAGTAAAGAGCTCATTTCAGGCGCTGATCAATGTGCCAAACTGTAAGTGTCATGATCCTTTTGTTGAGCCCCAGAACTCACAGCAGCTGGCTCCTCCAGTCGTTATAATCCCGGCGGGGCAGAGAGATGGCCGGGTTTGAGTGCACCGCTAGAGGCTGCCTGCTCTCCAGGTACGCCCACTGCACCCACCAGTCTGTGATCTGGATGGACAATTCAGATATCAGAGAGTGAATTTAAAGAAAATATTGTATCCTCCTCTATAAACACAGATCTAATGTCTATTGATGTTTTTATTAGTACCATTTCCATAATGTTTCCCTCTGAAATGCCAAATGAAAAAGAGAAAGGCATCCAATATTTATGCTTTTCTCATCTCTAACATTTATGTTTCTATATAATTTGTTCTATTTTTATCTAAAATGACACATTTATGCTTAAATCTAAAAATAAGAAGAGATTTTATTACCTCTGTTTAGATATATGAATGCACTGATATAACACACCTACATGTTCATACAGTATAATTACCACATATATATTTAGCCAACTTTTCTCTATACATTTAATTCATAACATATTTATGAATTAAATTATTTGGGAGCCCAAATTTAATATTTATACCCTAAATTAGAGATATGCAGACATATTCTCTAACACTAAATCCTATACCAATACATGGACTGAGCGTACTGGTCAATATCTGCCACTGATGGGTTGAATGAATTAACCATATGATTTACCATGCAAGTCAAGGAACAATGTTTAACATTAACATTGTTAAGAAAATTTAACAAATTAAGACTCTCGCTCCTGTGTGAGCTCTGCACGATGACACATTCAGTATTTATGTGATAAAACTGAAGCCACTAAATCTCTGCATTTGTTTTGCTGTGTCTGATCTCAGTGAATATAGAAATGACTGGATCATTGCAATTATTCAAAATCCGACCCAGATAATTCCTCAATATCGGTATCCAGTATCAAATCTGAGTATTGGATCAGTGCATCGCTGCCCTAAATTTGTTAGCAAAACATAAAATTGGTTTAATTTCTTAATAAAAAAAAATTAAAAAATAAATCAAACTGATAAAATCTCTAGATAAACAATTTTAATTTCTAATATTTGGTGTTTAAAAACAAGATTCAGATTCTAAGAAACTAGGCAAATATTTCAAACACGAGGGTCAATACAGTTTCTATCTTAGGCAGTTCAATAACATGCTGCTATCATTTTACACATCTCTGATGTTGCTGCTATTTTTAAATATCCATTACTGTAAAAATGTCCATAGCTGCATATTGGTTATTTATTCTCCATGTGCACAGTTGTATATTGTTAAAACACTTTACAGTACAGTATTTTATTGTTTATCTTTTAACTCTTCACTAGTATGTTATTCTTATAAATTTTTCTAAGGTCCACATTTGTGTGACCGTTTTCTTTTTCTATAATCCTTTTACTGCTGTAAACACCAGAATTTACACATTGTGGGACAATAAAGGGATTTTCTATTCTATTTTTCTATCCTAATATTGTGTTACCTACTGCTGTTGCTGACATGAACATTTTAGGCTCTATCTTTTTATTTTCAACCAATAGTACCAACACATTGTCCCATATCCAGCTTGTGTCTGTTTCACACACCCAGTTCTTGGTGTTCCTGGCTCTCCTCTCCAGCCCCTCCTGCAGCCGCGGTCCCAGCCCCCCGGGTCTCCCGAACTCCTGCACAGTCCTGCGGGTGTGGTTGAGCTCATCTGGGGGCAGCAGGGGCTCCAGAGCCCTCAGATAGCCCTGCAGCGTCTGGTTCAGCGGGGGCACGGGCTGGGGGGGGACGGTGGAGTAGAAACATGGCTCCTGCCTAGGGGAGACCTGCAGAAACCGGAGTGAAGCATGATTGCCTGTTTACTGGACACCTGGTTTGACTTACAGTGGAGTTTTACCAGAGTCAAGAGTAGCAGCAAAAATTGTAGGAGATTATAGAAGCATACAGAAGAGGGTTAGGGCCACTGAAAAAATTTTTTTTTAATTTTATTTCAGTTTAATATGGGAAAACTGACTTTAATCTTAGAATTCTGACCTTAATCTCAGAATTCTGACTTTAATCTGAAAATTCTGAATTTGAATCTGAGAATTCTGAATTTGAATCTGAGAATTCTGACTTTAATCTCAGGATTCTGACTTTAATCTCAGGATTCTGACTTTAATCTCAGGATTCTGACTTTAATCTTAGAATTCTGGCTTTAATCTCAGGATTCTGACTTTTTCCCATATTAAATTGAAATAAAATTTAAAAATTAGTAAACTTTTTTAGTTAACTGTTTAAGTTTTTCAGTGGCCCTAATCCTCTTACGTAGAAACAAAATGTGCTGCTATTTATTCAATTATCGGCTGTGTTGCTGTGAAAACTAGTCAATATCTGCTCGTTTGTTCGTCAGTCGAAAACAAGTCGACATAAACAAAAGCCTTACCAGAGACAGCCATGCTCTGCAGGTTCTCGGCTGAATATTCTTGAAAATCATATTTCCTCGGATCAGAAGCACACTCTGAGGAACATGTGTTTTACAAAAAAAATGCACTTTCTTCTTTATGTCCACAGACGTTAATAGCTCAGACCGCGCAGGGTCAAATCGCCAAAGCGAAGCTCCGACCTCCTCCTACTTCTCCGCCATGAAGCCACACGGCGGCCTTCATCGCTCGACACACAACTTTTTAGGAGAAGTTGTCTTTTCTGGACGGAAAACAACACGTCTCCCCCACCTCCTTTCTCCTGTTGTTGTTCTGTGGAGCATGCAGTGCCTCACGTAGTGCACAGAAACTCGAAGATGATTTACTGCTGCCTGCCCTGCTGCCGTCGATGCACACGTGCTGACGTAAAATGTTTCCGTAAACAGCAACGTGACTGACCCGCGAACTCGAGGTGCAGTACCATATCTGGGCAAAAGGTGTCGCTGTTGAGCCCCCAGGAGGAAAAGACAACCTCAGCCGCAAAATGGCCATAACATTTACTTTTTATTTTGTAAAGAATATTCATATGTGCTATCATTTAAATAAAGTATCGCATTGCATTAAATTAATACTTCCAAGTAAAGCTTTAAATTCTTTACTATTTACATTTTAAAATACACTGAAATATTAACAAATTACAGCCCACAAAAAAATATAATTTGAAATTAAAAATTTAGAAAAATGTATGTAATATTTCATTGGGTAAAGGTATCAAATAATTACCCCTCAGGATATGTCCTCCCACCCTGAAATAAAACTGGCCTCCTCACCCCATAGTTGTTGGCTGAAGGAGTTAAGCTGGCTTTAATAATGATATTGATGTAGGTAGGAACTAGGAATCTTACCTGAATCTAAATCGTCGGCAGTCCCATCCCCTATTTGCCTGGATTTGGTCAAAATCAGCCATATTGTGTCTTTGTTAATCTATTAAAAAGGTTTTGACAGGGTGTGTCAAGAGGAAAGCTGTATTGAATGAAGAACTTTAATGGCAGAGAAGTATGTTTCAGTGGTGGAAAACATATGAGAGCAATAAGATAGTACTAAGGTCTGCTTTATGTGTAATAAATTCAATCAAGGAAGAAGCGGGACTACATGAGGGCCTGAATCCCCTCTGGTTTGTTCTGGTGATGCACAGGACAAATGAGGTTATATAGAAATGTTCATGGGCTACAGTTTAGATAGGTGACATGGAAATATGTGGAAATATCAGGGAATAGGTGGAGGAAAATCTAGAGAGACTGAGATTTGGTCTGAGAAAGAGACCAGTATGATGTTGAGACTGGTACAAAAAAAAGATAGGAAGCAGATGGGGAACATAAATTAGATGAAGATGATGAAGTTTTCTTTGCAAGTGAAGGAAATGGATAGGACCATGAACTAATCCATGAATAGGACAGATCATAAATGTTTAAAAAATGAAGCCCAGAAAAGCAGGCCTGAGATGGTTTGCATAGAAAGAGGGTTTTGAGAGTATATCTGTGGATGGAGGCTGACTAAGGGCTGCTCAGTGGTGCAGTGGGTAGCACTGCTGCCTTGCAGCAAGAAGGTTCCGGGTCCGATTCCTGGCCCGGTGTCTTTCTGCAGTTTGCATTTTCTCCGTGAGCATGTGTGGGTTCTCTCTGGGTACTCCAGCTTCCTCCCACATTCCAAAAACATGGATGTCAGGTTAATTGGCTTCTCTAAATTCTAAAAATCATTTAAAAATGGTTGTTTGTCCTTTTTGTCTCTAGGTTTCCCTGCAATGGACTGGCGACCTGTCCAGGGTGTACCACGCCCCTTGGCTGTAGACAACTTGAGATAGGCACCAGCAGCCCTGCTTGGGATTAAGCGTGTTAGAAAATGGATGGATGGATGTTAAGGAAAACTGAGGCCAGGAAGACCGAAGAGGAGAGTTATTAATGGAGTTAATAAGGCATTGAAGGTAGCTGGTGTGAGAGAAATAAATACAAAAGACAGGTTGAGATGCAGACAGATGTGACTCCTAAAGGGCAAAGTGTTTAAAATTCAAAGAAATATTTTGTTAATAAAATAATTAGTCAGAATTCCAAATAACTGCATCTTAAAATATTCTTAAATCATTTTAGCACATATGTAATTATTTCACACTTCCCGTGTTAGTCTATTATGGCTTGGCAAATAGACACCTGATTTAAATATAAACAAACAAATATAACTTACATAGTTATATGGGTCATGACATAAAATTAAACTAACATATTTTCAAAATTTATTTATTAATTTCATACAGGTATTTCTAAAGTTATTAACATCACTGCATATAAGTAATTACTTCTTAATTTGATCACTAGAATAATTGTTAAAAAAGTAAAACAAAGTATTAATTGTAAATATCCTTTAATAATATTGATGTTCTGTTTTTGTTTGAAATTGTGGAGAATTTTTCACTCCTGACAAACTTAATATATGCCTCCATCCAAGTTTGAATATAATGAGCCAGACGTTTCCATTTAAACCAAAAATATATTTTAATATATCAAATAGTTTTACTTTCATAATTTCTTTTTATAATTGCAGCATTTCACAATAGTTACAGTGAAATGGGAACTGAAATCATTTGGAAAAATTCACTTTGAAACAGTAATTATGATCAAAACTAGAAAGCATTGGAAAAACATTTCTATTACCCCCACCTCTCACAATCCCACCAAAAAAACGGACATGAAATTGTTTCCAAAAAACTTTATTAGCTTTTTTTCCTCTTTTGAAGCCAGCTTCCTTCACCATTATGGCAAAACCATTTTATGCACATAATTTGCACAATTGTTTCCAATTCCAATTTTAAGGTTCTATAAAACACCATGAAAGTCCAAACTCAGCTGTAATATCTGGAAGTGCATCTGGTATCTGGGTTGTTAATAAAGCTTTCTCTCAGGGAAACCCATTCAGTCAACATATAGACAATAAAATAAACAAAAATAAATTCTTTACCTGAGTCCATATTCACAACCTAATGTTGTAAACAGAAATTACCTATAAAAGCTCAAATAAGACCAATCATGTCACACATTGCACCAAAACCCAGTGAGAGGAGGATTATTATCAGGCTTCAAACTAAAAATTCAATTAAATTAATTATGTCATCTGTATGGGCTAAACCAGCAGGCACATAAATCCAGATGACATAAAAATGCTTGAAATCTATTTTTCTGAGAAAACTAACACTGGAAAGACAAACATAAAAGAAATTATATATTACCCCAAAATAAAATACTTTCTTCTTGTTGCATAGACATTTAATCTTCATCACTCAGCAGTGCATACCTGAGTTTTATGGAAAATATGTACCATGCTTAACATTCAAAGCCGTCCCTCAGTTTCCCTTAAATTAAATGTCTCCCTTTAAGAAGTGCGTCAATTCAACTGAGCTGATTCTAGATTAAACATGTCAAAAAAAATATGATACGATAATAAATCAAAAGACAATAAAACTTTTTTAGATAAATGTCGATGATCTCATCTCATGGGCAATTTTGGTGAAGATGATTGGTTTCTATCGAGGGCAAGACTCATCTGGAAGACAGAGATAAAAGGAAATTTTAGTTACTGTTTATTTAGATGTTAAATTTTTAATACAATTAGGTCCAATTTATAATGGATTATCATTTATCAAAAATAACAAATGCGGTTTGAAAAGGATACAAGTTGCATATAAATGTACTCTTCTTCATTCTAATGAGCTTGCCCACATTGCTCACCTGTTATGTACACATAGGTAAAGTTTCTATGCTGCATACATAGAATATTAGATCTTATTGATCTTAATTTTCTCATTAAATATGTAATTCAAATCTCAGATGGATTAAAACCATGGTGAGAAAAAAACTTTGGGGAGGTAATGAAACAGATCGCTATGAAACTGAAATACTGTGAGGGGCTATTTTTTACCAATTAAAACCTTAAAGAAATAAAGTCAAGTATATACAGGTGTGCATTCGACAATAGGGTCAAAAAGATGCTGAGATCTCTGTGATTATATTGTTCCTCTGAAGATATAAGATATTTAAAAAATTGATATTCAAAATAAAAGGAGAAGTTAATTACAGCAGGGTTAATAAATTAAAATAAAGATTAAAATTAGCAGTGCTTCTGAAGAATCCCTCTTCTATTGGAGTGAAATTTAAAACAGACCAAGTTGTTAAAAACATCACTCAAACTCTTCAAGATCATTGCCTCAAAATAAACTTACTAACTGGGGAAACACTGTACAGCTTAACGCTGCAGGGAGAATAAGCATTGCAAATAAATAAAACACATGCTGAGATCTTTAATAGCCAAAACAACTTCCTTACTTAAAAAAAAAAAAAGCTATGCACAAGGAGGGCTGACAAATTAATGTTAGAAGTCGTTTTTCCACTTCAAATCCCCTGACTGAATATTTTTAACTTACTAAGCATATAGGGGGAATAAAAAGCCTCACACAGAAATTGACTTTTTTCTTTTTCTTGAGGCATTAGCAAACTAAGAGCTACAAATGCAAACAACTAGCACGCTAAATAAACCTAACTTGATAAAGATATAATACTCTTTCTAATTAAAATAAAGCTATACACAGATTTCAAGTTTTATTGGACAAATACTGTAAGCAGTATTAGAAAATAATGAAATTCTTTGAATCAGACCATATGTATCAAACACAAGGAGCACAGGCCAATACCCACCTGTTACAGCAATTTATTTGGTCCTCAAAAGGCAAAAAGGGCATTTCATGTCATACAATTAAAAACTATGTTCTTTGAAAATGTACAACAAGCCTGAAACTGCATAAAGAAATTTGAGTAAAGTTATATACTAGATTATTATCCATGTTATAATTAAATTATGTAATTCTAAGTTTTCTTTATACAGCTATGAAGAGCATTTTGAAAAATGAATAATGCTAAAGTGGCCATTGTTTTCTGCTTCTTATTACCTATAAAGGGGTAACTACTTATTAAGTATAGAAACATCCCTACACAAATCAAACAAACAACCAAAGTTTTTGGTTTTATCCATTTTTAAGTTACACTTTTATAAATCCATTAATATTAATTTCTTTGTTTAATTTCTGTAGTGGATCTCCAGACCCCATATGGGTTGATCAAAGGCCCCTAATGGGGTCATGACCCCAGCTTTGGAATTCAATGCAATACAAAACTAAATGTGACTCCCCTGATCCAGACAAATCTGTCAGCTATACCCATTAGCATTTTATAACTCACTAGTTTGATCAGCTTTTTACATTTCTTTTAATAGTCAACGAAATGACCTCATATCCAGATTAAAGCCAGTAGGAATAATAATTAAGTACATACTTGGAAATAAAGGTTTTCAAGTTCCAAGCTGAAAGAATCTGAAACACCATCCCACATAAAAACACCCACTACTAAATCTGGAGGTCTCCTTCCACCTGCTATTTGAAAGTGAAATATGCCACTAAAATAAAACCTCTGATGGATTGTATCTTATTCACACATACTGTAAAAAAGTGCCAGTTAGTGAACATTTTACCACAATGTTTAAACACCAGAAATTGACTTCCTACAATTCGTTAGGTCAAATGTAAAAGGTAGGAAGTCATCAACAGTTTTTATAGAATATAAATATGGGTGTGGTATTAAATTCAATATAAAAACTAGGTCATAAATTTTGTTTTAAAATTTTCAGATAAGCAGTATTGTTTATTGCTAAATAAAGAGTAAATGGACTGTATTTATATTGTGCCTCTATATTCTAAATAAATCCACTTGAAGCGATTCACACTTGAGTCACATTTCAACCCACCATTTTCACAACTATGTAGACACTTTTATGCACATCAGTAGGCAGGATGGGGTTAAGGTGCCACGTGGAGCAGCACTTCAGACTATGGCAGGAAAAAACTAAATCCAAACCCACAATGTTCAGAATAAGAATATTCAGTGTATTTATCAAAGGTCTACAGTACAAGTAAAAGAGGTAGTGTTAAGGCTATATACCTATACAGTATAACACATTTGTTTGCTGTCTTTAACCTTTTGATTTGTAATCTCTAGAACCATAATGAGCTTTACGAGTGAAAACATTTAATAGACTAAAGGCAAAACTTTTTTAATTGAATAACACCAAACACTTAGATAATTTCACAGGACAGTGGAGACATCATATATCAAAAAAATGTATTACACTTTATTTTTTCTCAGACGGGGGTGACACTGACCCACTCTTAGTCGAGGTCCTGCCGCAGTTCCTGTGCCCTTCATGTTCTTGAACACAGCTGCTCCTCCTTCACCTTCACCAGCGTCCTTATGCGCCTCCTCACTGTGCATCTTCTCTTTCTTTTCAAGGTCATAAGGGAGGGGGCTTAACGTCAGCATGAAGGTCTCTGAAGGGTACTCACACACCTGCTCAAGCTGGTCTTCATCAAAACACACCTTCCCCTGCAAAAGTTGAGACACACATATGTTGGTTTTCTTATATCATGCCGATAATAAATAACTTTATGTTGCTTTGTGTAAAAAGATAATCCGACTCTGTTTGTATAAATTGGATGCTTTAAATAACTTAATGCCACCATTGACAGCAAAAAATGCCATCAAGTCCTTCCATTTAGTGGTCATGGGTCTTCTATCAGCAGTAGGGGTTAGGTACATGGGTTGTAAGTGTATAGTTGACCAAGATGGCATTAGAAAGTGGACAAAAAAACGTATTATACTTGAAGACGGGGGCCCCTGAAGGCTATTTTATTTGTGCAGGACTGCACTACATCTTATCCTGAATCTTAAAGTATAGTGGAGGATTTTTGCGAATGTTTAAAAAGACCCGCCCTCTCCACTTAAAAACCAAAAATGCACATGCACAACCCTGTACCCACTCCAGATAGAGAACGTTAATTAAACGCATGCGAGAGGATGCAGGAACCCATTTCTCCTCATGCACACTCAGTTTAAAATTTGCAGTTCAAAAGAAGATTTGCAATTTTTCCACTATGTCAAACTCACCACCGGTAAGTGAAAATGGGGATGAGCACGTAGGACGGCCTTACGTAAACATATCACCAGAATGATGGAGGATGAAGGAGGACTCACTATGCATTTAATTGAGGTCGCTTTCTAAATTTTGATGTGATAGGGGTTGCAGAAGGAGGACTTCCCCTTCTTATCTTACTTTAGCACAGCTGTTTTGATTCAGGCACATTGGGATGGGTTCAAGCAGATTTAAATGACCACTTTTACTACCTTTATCTTTCAATGTATGGGGAAGTATCTAAATGCAGCTACATGACTGCCTGCTTGCTGTGAAATGATGCTGCAGCCATGCATTCTGTTCAGAAGCTGGCAGCTCACACCACACTGCAGGAGGTAAGTTATGTGAGTGTTAAGAGGGGGCTTATAATTACTTGGGTTTGCTAATGCAACTGCTAGTGCAGGATTCCTCGATTTTGGTCCTAATTAAGCCCTTTGATTTAGGTTTGGAAGCAGAAACACATCTAAAAGGTGAAGGACACCACACCTCAAGGGCCAGCATTGAGTCTAATATTAGATAGAATAGCAACTTAACAGCTATTGATCAATATTTGAATATGATCTATATAGGAAAGGTGCATTATGCCTTTGACTTGGTGTAGTTAACAGAAGGTAGAGTTAGCAAGCAAGCACACACCACAGATCAGTGATGGACCGAGGTTTTTGGAAATGTGTTGGAATCAGGCAAGTCAACTAATATTAGCGATGGTTAATGGAGACATTAAGAGATAAATGTGATTTTAATGCTGCATTCAGAATGCCAGCAGTGTTGGAAATAGCTGATCATTCATATAAGGTAAATATATCAGCCTACGCTGATGGCCAAACATGCCCCCGGACCATTGGTACGACGTCCTTCCTCTGAAATGCTTTGTGTTATTTTTACACCAAATTTAATATGAAGAACACCCTCCACTAAGTCTACAAATGTGAATAACTGTTGTGTGAAATGCTGTTAATGTGTCAGCAATACAGTCTATATGAACTCTTAGGGCCTTACTGCCATTACTGGATGTTTATCATCTTAAGGCTGAGATGTTAAAGCTAAAAGAGATTGGTAGGTGCATTCTTCAAAGGTTAAGAAAAACATTTGTAGGGAAAAAATGGTTTATTGTAATCAGTACTGTTATTATAATATTTGACAACACTTGCATATAATATAATATTCTGATACCATGGAGCTTTAGGAACAATACAGGTTCACTGAATTCCCTAAAACCTTAGAAATGCTGTTTAACCCTTTCAAAACTGAGGAACTTCTTTGTTTCCCACCTTTTTAATTTCTTCATTTTGCGGCATGTTGCATTGCCTACTTCATCAGACAGGTTTTATTCAAATCTTTTCTTAATTCAGCAGTATTTAGACCTACATAAAATTGGACTTACCTGTACAAAAGAACAGATAAAGATAATGATTAGAGTAAATTTACTATTATTAACTCAAGAGGTCCAATCATATTTTATATATAAATCTGATTGTAGAGATAAACATTTTCCCCCTTTTTAAATAAAGAATTTGAAAACTAAAAAGCAGAAAAAATCTGTAAAAAGGAAAACGTTTGCTCACAAAAATGTCTGTATCCAGCTCTGTATAAAAGAAATTCCTTCAAACGTGACCTGTTAAAAAAACATTCCTCTTACTGAAAGTAAACCGTTTCAAACACAGCCTATTTCCTCTTAGATATGCTAACTTCAACTTGCACAGACAGGGTGTGGGTGCTCGAAAGTGTGTTATTCTGTCTCTGAGAGGCGTTTGCACATGCTATGACTGTAAGGTTAACGGACGATGTGAGGCTTGAAACAGCAGAAATATTTTGAATACCTAATGTCTTCATTTAATAGTGATTAGTGCATTTAAGGATGCACAAGCAGAAGCTGAACCATAAGTTCTGTTTTTCTCAAAAAGGGAGAGTATACTGTAGCATGGTTGAAATTGTTTACTAAGCACGTAATGCGGTGTAAAGAGGCAGCCAGAGTCTAGGGGAGTGTGGTACATCAACAAACTTGTGATCACAGAAACTATGAGGCCTAGGTGAAGCAGGAGTGCAGACAAAGTGTGCATGGACCTGCTTAACCTTGACTGTCTTGGTCTTCTGGAGGGCAGAGAACAGCTCTGCTCATATGAGGTTGACACATCGGCGTCGCCAGACCCCATTTACTGGGGCACGTGCCCCAGTATAAATGAGCTGTGCCCCAGTATAAATCTCATGAATATTTGCAACAGTATTACATTTTTTTAATGCATCAATTTAGATAATTCCAACGGAAGGAGACGTATATTTCTACTCAAACTCAAGTGTGTTGGTAACTCCAAATTGAGGATGTATTAGCGCCCCCACGTCAGCGCATGTCACTGCATGAACTGCAGGTAAATTAACTCACTGCTCTCAACTGTTTTGGATGGGACACTGTGCGGCCACGACGCATTTTTAGTTCTGGTAACGCTTCTTACCTGTCAATTTTATTATTTTCCCAGTGAAACCACATGATTTATAGGCTACTGACTGAAAATTACTGCATTGGTTTGTAGATGGATATCAGGAAATTCCTCACACGAAGCAGAGACAGGGAAGCAGTAAAACAAGATGAGAGAAGGAGGTAAGGTGGTCCCGTAATGAATTAGTGATTTAAGCTTAGCAGTTACATTAGGGACGTTATAAGCAATATGATAGATATTTACATAATTATAAATTGACGTTTTTTTTTATGTTTGCTGTAGAGAATGAGAATGAAGGTGCTGGAGTAGGAAAGGGAGGAGGAGGTGAGACTGACAGGCAAGAGACAGGTGAAGGACAGGAGAGACAGGACCATGAAGGTGATGAGGGAGCAACAACCAGCGTCCACAAACAAGGGGACATTAGTGACTTAGGGGGAAAGCATGATGGTCCTAAACAAGTGAAGTTGTCCCACTATCCCCAGGACAAATTTGGAGTAAAAAAAACGTTCATTTAATTCAAAATGGTTTGAAAGCTTTTCCTGGTTAAAAAAGAAAGCCTTGTCATCAAGGATTGGCAGTGTGTTTTCAACTTGCTTGATAACATCATATTCCCAACACTAACGCAGGTCATCCAGATCTCCCTCACAATCCCAGTCAACAGCTGGAGTTGTGAAAGGTCATTCAGTGTGTTGAGAAGGATTCACACTTGGCTGAGGTGCACAATGGGACAAGACAGGCTCCATCATCTTGTTATTTTATCAGTTGAAAAGGAAGAACTTTCTAAGCTGAGTCACAGTCTAGTGATTGACCACTTTGCAAAAATGATAAATAGGAGGTACACTTTAATGCTCAAAAAATAAAAGGAAAACTTAGCTCGGGATGAGTTAAACTTCCCCCGAACTAAAACTCTGTAACCTAGGAATTAATGATTACTTCAGAATCTGTATAAGGAAACTTTTTATTTGTCAAAGTTGTTGATGTCTTATTTTTTATAGCTGCAATGTTGAAAATGTTCATGTTTGTTAAAACAAATATGCTCTTATACTCATTAATATCTCAACTGGTAATTTTGGTAGGAATGTATCAGGGTTGGGCAGTGTGCTTGTCTGTATTTATGTATGGAAGGAAGGGCATATGCACTAGGGGGCCAGTGCCCCAGTAAAGCTTTGTGCCTAGCAACGCCCCTGGGTTGACAGTTGCTTTTTGACCCTGTGATTTCTTTCAAGGGGGGTGGTTTGGTAACTCTTATTACTACAGAAGCAAACAAGGTTTATAAGCTGTGATTATTGCAATACTAGACAATATTTTAATATTTCCATAAAAAAAAAAAAAAAAAAAAAAAAAGTTCACTCATAGGTGTCGTGCAGCTCATCCTGCAAGAATTAAGATACATTACTCAAGATTTATTTTTGTTAAACAGCTTTGCCTTCATTGGCCAATAATGTGTGGAAACTCTAGAAATTGAATGCAGATTGGCATATTTTCAGAAAAAGAATTAAGCCATGTCTAAAAGAAGACCATTTCTGTAATCATTATTAAAACTAGTCGATGATGGTTTTACAATAGTCCTTTCATTTCACTGTTTTAAGGTCAGTTTAATAATGATTCTATATTTTATTGTAATATGCCCTTTATTGTCTTTTAAATTGTTTTATTTTTTCTAAACCCCTTCTGGCGACATGCATTGCAAATTAGCCAAGCTTATGAATAATATACTGTTCAATATTCTTAGATAATCAAGGCTTGTCCACATTTATATAAGCAACAAAGAGACAGAAAGAAATAAAGAATCAAACTGAAGGCACAGAGTGCTAATCCTGTAACCCTGACCCTGATTAACCCAGGCTAGCACTGCAGGAGACCAGAGCCAAAGAATTTAGCAAAGGGTAGAAAAAGCGACAAGACAGGTGGTGATGCACTTAAATTCAAAAGTTCACAAATTTAAAATTAAAACTAGACAGGGACAGCAGCTTTGAGGTCACCTCTATTACAAAAACAGGTGGGATTATTTGAAAGTAAAAATGACAAACAAGAGAAGGAACTGATCAATAAATATTACAGTGGGAAAAAAAAGTTACAAGGTTTTACATGAGCATACATTTTGCAATGTTACATCGTTTCTGAGCCTAAGGTACCATTTAATGTTACATATAAAGAAGGATTCAGTTGAGGCACAAGCAGTTAAACCGGTAATATGATGGTGGAAAGGGGGAGGGAAGGATGCCTGACGTCAAAAAGAAAGGCATCAACGTGAGAGCAACAGGTGGTCAGAAAATCACTCCGTGGTCATCTCTTCCTGCTGCTAAGAAAGTAAGTCCTTACAGTCACAATTAGATGACTAGGGCCTCATGAAGCACAGTTTAAGGTAGTGTGGTGAAAAAGGTACTTTTCCAAAACAGATTTCTTCTGTTTTCTTTTCTCTTCCTCTTTCAAATGTTTCACATTATATAAAAAATAGCATTTGAAAAAGATAACCTCAAAAAAAAAAAAAAAAAACATTAAGCAACTCTTCTTTTAAATATTACATTTATTAAGGTAAGAAAAGCTTTGCACAAAGACCTAGCGTGACTGTGATCGTAGCTGATCGTGCCAACCATGGTAGCAACATTTACCATCAAGTGTTTCTAACGGCATTGCATTGTATATCTAAATTGAGGAACTGTGGTTTTAAGTCATATGGGAGGCTTTCTAACAATTAGAAGCACATCTAATATTATGCCATAGCACTGTAAAGAGATTTGACACCAGACTTTAGCTAGGTGACTCTAAAACCTCCATTTGGAATGTGAATTTAATTGTGTGCTTTTCATTTTTGTTAAGCTGCTTGAATTTAAGGTACAGAAGAAAAACCCAAGTCACGTTTTAAACAACTACATATACACAAAACCCTCCTACTTTTCTCTCATAACCATTTTTAACCTCTTAATATCCACCTCATTTCGGGAAATTGCCGCCTATTTTTCATACCCAAACAGAAAAGCAAATTACTTAGGAACTGTGAGCCCAAATTACATGTATGATACATTATTTGAAAGATAACCCCTTCTAGTTTCTAAATATATACATGACAGTTGTGAGAGTAAAACACCCAAGCAGCATCAGTTAAAACATTACTAAAAGTTGTTTTTTTGTTCTCGAAAATAATAGGTATTTTTTGAACAGCAGTTATAAAGACATGCTTGCTTGTTGTGGCTGCTTTGGTACATTTTGATATGCTGCTATATCTGTGTTAATTGTGCTTTGGTGCTCGCTGTGTCCATAAAATGAACTAGGTTGTTGAATTGTGGAGAATCTAAGCTTTCCAACGATGTCTAACATGTCTATTTTGGTAAACATTTTACCAGGGTAATTTTCATGCATTCTGAGTTATTATCTGTAAATGCTTTAAAATGGTGGGTTTTGAGGTTAAAGTATACAGTGGGAGCAGTTGAGCAGTAGTGTTATGCCTGAAGTGACAGGAATTATGCCTTTCAGAAAGTTCTACTTTTGTCTCTTCAGTCTAAACTCATAAATGTTCTGACTAATGTAAGATGCACAACTCTAAACTTTTGGATCAGGAGTGGCTTCAGATCTGGAGGACTCCCATGATGCTATTTTGTTCACCCTATATTTTTGTTGTTGAATCATGAACTCTGACCTGAGCTGATGCAAGAGAGACCCGAGTTAGATGTTTTGTTTTTCTCTCACGTCCTGGGTGAGTTGTTGATTAGACTTTGGAGTAATTCTGTTGCCCACTTCAGTTCAAAGCTGTTCCATGTTTTCTCTGTCTGTGAATAATGGGTGTTAATACGCTTTGTTGAAATGACAAATCCTTAGAAATGCACTGGGCTTCTGTACAAAAGGTATTTCTTTATACGAGGTTTGATCTAAATTCAAGTTATCACACAAATTCTCTGTAAGTGATTTCATGATGCTACAGGACTAGGAGCAATGAGGCCTGTGGGGGTGGGAGGTCAATAATATATTCTAGTGTTGTAGTCAAGACCACACCAACCAAGACCAAGGAGTAACAAGACTGAGACAAGGCAAAGACCTTTAGAGGTCAAGACAAGACCAAGACATTTAGAAACTGAAACCAAGACCAACACATAGAACTTATATGATCTTAGTTTTGACCTCTAAAAGTCTTGGCTTTGTCTCTGTACTCCTTGGTCTTGGTTGGTGTGGTCTTTACAACAACACAGATATTTTAATATACAGTTAGTTTGAATCTCTCTTATGGTTTGAAAACTACATCAACCCTTCCTTTTAAGACTCCATCTGAGTCACATTGGGGCAGTCTTCCAGCAGTCTATAAGCAAAAGACCAGGTATATTCTGGACAGGTTGACAGTCCACTGCAGGGCAGCATTGAGGGCAGAGACAAACAACCATGCCAATTAACCTAATACTTATGTTTTTGAATTGTGGGAGGAGCTCACAAGGAAGCGATTATCCAATGCACAGGGACGTCATGCAAACTCCATCAAAAGTCATTAGGCTGGAAAAAAGAGGACCTTCTTGCTGTAGGGCAACAATTGGAAAATAGATTTTGGTTTTTACTGATGTTCTCTTTCTCTGATATTTCATTCTTTCTAAAAATGTGCATCATCAGAGCATAGAAGGTAATTTGTATGTTCTGATAAAGGTATTTCTGACCCGAAGGGTCAATTTAAAAGTAAAATCTTGCACAGAAAGAAGTTTATCAAACGGCTGTGTTTTTTATTGGACTATACAGGTTTTTAGCATCTTAAGTAAAGACATATTCAGGTTGAGCAGTAAACCTACAGCAATTATGACAATAAAAGACAATCACCTTAAGCTTCTGTCACAACAATGCGTCACAGAGAAAGGCAGATGGTCTTTAAAACAAGAGATAGGGGATACAAATGTGGAACCCACATCACTTCCATCTTGTCAGTCTAATGCTTCTTTTTTAGAGGAAGCTCAGACATCTGAAAGAGGAAGTGAGTGAAAATGCACTGTGACATGGAGTTACTGTCAGACTAAAGAAAATGTTTGTTCTTTACATGGTTGTCAACAAAACTGCCTTTTTGTCCGTACCTTTCATTAATGTTCTTCAAGCATTAATGAGTCACCCTCTTCAGATAGTATTTGCCAAATAATGCACATCCAAAGTTTGCTGTCTGACTCAGTGGAGAGTTGATAAACTCAGAGATAGACAGTGAGAGCTGCTGTCTAACACCCCAAAGCCCCTGCTAGGACAGAGCCAAAAACACACAAAGAGTGATTTGTGCGTGAGGCTGACTCAACAGTTAGAGGAGAACTGGTGCAAGCGAAAAAGGAAGCAGTCGGAGGTGGAAATTTCAAGAAGCTTAACAACGTTAAAATACCAGAGCAGCAGCTTAAATCGTGGAAAAACGCTGCAAAAGTCCAAAAAAGAGCAAGACTGGTGATCTTTGTCTCCTTCTTTCCTACATGTGCTCAGGTTATGAAAGTAAAAAGAATAAGAGGGCTGTTAAATGCTCTTTGTACAGAAAATTATTTGTGTGGGTTGATGCACCTCAGGAAGAAAACTAAACAGCAGTGTGGGCTTGCATGCATCACACAGATAATCATGTGATTCATGCAGGAAGACAAAATAATTTGAATTAAAGAAGCAGGTAGAGACTTTGACCTGCTGTTATTTGCTACACATCTTTTCTATACACACTACAGCTTTCACCTTAATGCTACCCATCTACCAATAAGCTTTAACATGCATTTGTCTCCTCATAGTTTAGTGTGTATTTACAAAATAGCAATAAAAGTTAAAAGTCAAAGGAGAATTAAGGCATAGGTGCAATTAGGAAAGAAGATCACTGCAGGGTTTTATGGCTGTCGTGCCTGATAAGGCTTTAACCAGCTTAGCTTCCTCTCTGAGATCGCACTTCTCAATCATAGGGGATGTTCTTCTAGTGAAAGGGGATTCTGCTTGAGGACAAGAGGAGAAGTCAGAGAGTGATAAACCCAGCTGTTGGCAAGACCTTAAACTTCCTAGCATATGCAGTTTGCTACAAGATAGAACACTTTAATATTTTTGTGCAGTTGGAAAAATGTTTTTGTGAATAAATGATGTGCTTCCAATGTGACATCTTGTAGTTAAATTCATTCTATTTTATACAACTAAAAGAAAAAAAACTTACCCTCTTCGGTGTCACTTTACTCTTGATCAGACAGGACCTCTCAAGACTCTGATATCCACCAATCACCTCAATTTCTTCTACTGCTGGATACCTCTTTTTTGCAGATTCATCCACAGTGGGGGGCATTGTTTGCTGTGATGGGGTTTTTGCTGACCCTGATGCTGCTGTGGGCCGTGCAGATGATCCCGTCCCTCCTCCTCCGACCGTTTTTTTTGGGTTAATTGTGATGGTAGCACCTCTCTTTACTTGGCCCCCAGATGCACTCCTGATGGAGAAGAGCTTGGGTGATGGACTGGGAGATGGGGAGATGCTAGGGGAATTTGCAGGAGATGGTGAACATGGGGAGGAGGCTGGAGTCGGAGCAGAGTTTGTGGGTTTCAAAGAGTTCTCTGGTGACTGGTTCCGTACAAATGAGGGGTTAATGGTGATAGTTTGCTTCAGCTGAGATGTTGGAGTACAAAGATGCTGTGGAGACTCTTTGGAGGTCCATTCTGGTGTTTCCTCAGCTTCATTTCTCTGCGGCTTTAACTCTCTTTTAGGACTTTGCTGTGATTTTGTTTCTCTTTCTTTTGTAGGAGTATTTGCAGGTGACTTCAGCACATCCTGTTCCTTAAGCTGAAATTGTTCAATCTGTTGCTGTATAGTCTGAGCCCCACAGAGGTCTTCACCTGTTGGCCCTTTGCTGTCCCCCTGCTGAGAGCTTGAAATGAATGGCTTTACTTTAACAAGGTGCACAGAGGATTTGATATCTACTGTCCTATCCCTCAGATACAGGCCTGATCTTGAACCAACGGTGTCTAGGTTGTAGATCCGACTCATGGCTACCAGGGAGCTGGGATGAGGTGGTGAAGGAGATAGAGATCCTAAAGAATCTGTAGACGATGTGTATTTATCCAATTCCTCCTCAGAGAGCTCCCTTTCTTCTTCCTCCTCTTCTTCTTCTGCACTCTCGTATTGGCCCCTGTGGTGATCCGTGTGCAGCTTTACATGTTTCAGGGGGTCCGTTTCATCCTCAGAAAACTGGGAGCTTTCAAAGGGAACTTCGGAGGCAGCAGCCGAACACTCGCCTGACACTTCCTCTCTGTTGCTGTCTTGTGAGCTGGGGACAGAAACAGGAAGCTGAGGGTTGGTTTTCAACATACTGACTTCCTGTTTGACGTCACACGCAACCATGGATGTCTGCTCTGCTGACTTTCCCTCTGTACTCTCTTGTTCGGCGGGCCTGGATTGCACACAAGCCGCAGCTTCCCACTGCTTCTTGATTTCACTTCCCCTCCCATTGTACCTGTCCTCAGCTGCTGGGGCATCACAGATGTTTGCAGCTTCATACCTGTCTACATCCCGGGCCTCTCTTGGTCTTTGCTTATCCAGTTCTCTTTGTCTAATTTTCTCTCGGAGTGACTCAATCCTGCTCAAGGGTTTTCCTGTCCTCCAACTATCCCTCCTTTCCACTCTATTCCTTCCTTCCCAGTCATGCCCTTCACTGCTTCGACATTCACTACCTTTTCTCTCCACCATCTCTTCAGCAACATAAAACACAGTCCTAGGGATTTGGACCTCTAAAGGCCCTGGTGGGATCCCAGTCGATTCAGTACTTTTTGTAGGTCTTGGAATCTCTCTCTCTGATCCAGTACGGCTTCCTCTTTTAGATTCCTCTTTCCGACTTTCCAGTGCAGCTGTGTTAGCTCTCTCTTCCCTCTCATTTATGTAGATAGTCGTTCCCTGTGTTTGTTCTTTTTTGCTTATAAGATCATTAGTTTGTTGGGATAAATTGGAGTGCATGAGGTAAGGTCCTTGTGGTCTGCTACCACTCGACTCAGGCCCTCTGTGGGGGGCCCAGTCTAGGACTGTGGAGGGGAGACTGGAGCACTCTGTGAAAGCTGATTCATGTTTGTGCCGACTTACAGGAGTCTCAGTGGGAGTAAGTGACTCTTCAGATGCTACACCAATGTAGTTTGTTTCAGCTTGACCTTTTCTTCCCAGTGTGTCATCTCTCTGAATGCCGCCAGCCTCACTTGCCTCTGAATCCTGTTCAAAACTTCTCTCTGAAGTCAGTCTTTTAGCATCTTTTTCAGCTCTTGCTCTGCTATCCTGTCTGATTGGTACTCTTCTGGCGAACGATATCCCTTCTGTATTTTTCACTGATGCTATCGTGAATCCTTTGTCTCCATCTGCAATCCCTACCTTCTCTGTAGCTCTCTTATTGACAGGCTCGACTTTCTTAAGCTCACTCCTTTGCTTTTTCCACAATTCTGCATCACTTTTCTCTTGCATAACTTCACTCTTTTCTTCTTCGGTTTTTAAGTCTTTCTGCTTTCCAAAGCGCTCCTTGTAGCTTGATCTAAGTTTTGTTACCCCTGCTACATCTACCCAGGGAGCAATGTTTTTCTCTGGACGAGTCGTCCCTTGACCCCCCACATCCCCTAACCCATTCTCCGCACCACCAATGACTCGATCTGAGAAGCTAAAGGAGCGTTTTGGGATGCTTCTTAGTATTTCGTTCTTTCCATTTGCCTTTCTCTCCTCAGATTGTCTATCATCTTGATCTCCGGAGTATTTTCTTCTCCCTGGTTGGAGGAAATTATCTGAACTTTTGGACCGAGATGGAGGTGTTGGATGTCCTCCGAACTTACTCAATAGCTGGCTGACTCTCCCTCCCCTCTCTATAAAAACATTATCATCACAGCTTTCTCCTCGATCTTCTTTATTAATAACCGTTGCCTGGCCCCAGGGCCTATCCTTCTCCTTTTCTCTAAGCCTGGTCGTTTCTAATTTCATATCTCTGGATAAATCCAAGCAGCTCCTCATTTCTCCTTCTTCTCTAGACTTTCCTCCTCCTGTCCGCCCTTCAGGGCTGATAGATGGCTTGATGATCAGAACTTCAGATGCCCGGATCTCTGTGACACTCCCTCCTCCTGCTAGGATTTCTCTGAGGTCCATCTTCATCCCTCTTTTCCCTTGCTGGTCCTCCTCGGGTGTCTCCCTTTCCACCTCCCTCCATCTTGCCCTCCTTTCATCGCTCCCTTTTCTGTCCTGTTCAATAATGATGATGTTGTCAGCTCGAATAGTTCGAAGACAAGGAAGGACTGATGGAAACTGACCAGATGGTTGAAGAGTATCTTTTTCCTCCTTTTTCATTTTAAAGAAGTCCTGCTCCTTTAGTACATCGCTACCAGATTCTGTCCACTGATTTTTATCTTTTTCGCCTTCTTGGTTGTTCTCCTTTTCTTTTCCCTGAATCTTTTCCCTACTCTTGTCTTTTTCCCACCCTTCAGTCAAATCCCTAAACTTTTCTATTTTCAGCTCGATATCTCGTCCTCTACTCATCTCCAGTTCTTGAGACCTGACATAGAAATATTCCTTCTCCTTTACATCCACTTCATTTGCTGACTCTGGATCCTTGCCTTTCCTCCACACACTTTGGGTGCGAATAAATGGGTTCTCATGAACCGGAACAATGGTTTCTACGGACACTTGACTCTCAGGTTTAGCCTCTGTGTCTAACCACATCCCAGGATCAGGACTGAGTGACATTTCACTTCCCAGATTAACTGTAATGGAGCTGTCAGTGTCACTCAATCCATCAGGAGTTCTGGCGTCCACCTGAAGCAAGCAGACTTCTCTGTCCCTGTCACCCAAACTCTCCTGCTTGGCCTTCCTCCTCTGAATGATTCCTCGCTTCCAAGCTGGCATGCTGGCCAGCTTTTCCTCCTCCTCCTTTTCTCTCCTCTCTCGCTGCTCTTCTTCTCTTCTCTTTCTCTCCAGAAGTAGTTGCTTCCATTCTGGTAGAGAAGACACAGACATAACAAAGAAGATATGGACCCCTTTGGTCAAGGTGGGCGAAACTTCTGTCCAGGGAAACTTCAGAAATGACCTGTAATTAAAAAAAAAAAATTATATATATTTTTATATATGAATCCATTGTTACTACATTAACTCTTAGTAAAAAATAAAGATTTCATAATACCAGTTGTTGAGTCTGGAATATAATTTCTCTAAATAAATGTGTCTAGGCTTTACAGAACTTTGATTTCAGTTTTAGCCAAACAAACAACAACAACAAAGATGAAAAACCTTACCACAACCCAAGTACTTTTAGCGGCCACCACAATTTAAGTCTCCATTTGTGGGTAATGCGCTCCGTTTCCTGGCAAAGAGAAAAATCACACCAAAAGCGAATATAACTAACTAAATAAATAAATCAAAATCTTCCTAAAATGCAGCAACACTTCAAAACTTTACTTTGTATAAAAGGCAAGAACAACAGCCGCTTCCTACGACTTCAGCTCCAGAACTGCAGAGCTGTAATCCGATAATGGCAGTCAATTCCGTCAGGAGAGTTTAGCAGTGCACCATATTGTGGGAAAGAAAAGGAGTTTAAGCGAAGAACCGTCTGCCCGAATCACCCCCCCTCCTCCTGTCTGATCATCTCTCTGTCCCGGAGGGCTGACCTGAGAGGAGGAGGAGGAGGAGGAAGAAGAAGAGGAGGAGGGAAAGGGTGCAACTATAACACACACTCTGGTTTCTGCAAAGCTGCTGCAAGATCGGCTTTGATAGACAGCCCAAAGCTGTAAAGCAGACTAATTTGTTTGTGTGTGTGTGTGTGTGTGTGTGTGTGTGGTTGTGTGGTTGTGGGGGGGTACCTGTCTAGCCATCAGGGAGGACCAGTTTTTCCAATAACACCATCACAATGAGGACCAGTTTTTGTAAAGTGAGGACATTTTGCTGGACCTCACAAGCTATTTTACTAATGCTTGGTTTAGGGCTAAGGTGTCCATTGGGTTATGGTGTGGTATGCATTGATAATGGTTAGGTATAGGACATAGAAAGGGTTGAAAATGAATAAAGATCAATGGAAGTCAATGGGGATCATCCTCACTACATATAGCAGAACAAACGTGTGTGTGTGTGTGTGTGTGTGTATACCTGTCTAGCCCTCAGAGCTAGGACCATTTTTCCTATTTTTTTGCAAAGTGAGGACATTTTGCCGGTCACATGCTATTTTGCTAATGGTTAGGTCTAGGGCTAAGGTGTCAATTGGTCGAGTTAGGGTGAGGTATGCATTGGTAGGGGTTACATTTAGGGCTAAGGTTTCAATTGGTTAAGGTTAGGGTTAAGACTGATTTATACTTCGAAACTGGGTTGTCTGCGTATGTGTCGCAGTGAACAAAGAGACGTATCCCGCCCTCCCCGCAGACACTCTGCTGCACCTCTCCCAAATTGTAACTGACCGCAGACAGTGTCGCAGACAGGAGGCTGGCTTGTTTTGTTTTTATGACGGAAATTGCGGAAAACAACTCGTGAAGTTGGACCAGCTAGAAGAGCGAGGTGCGGGAGAACCCTTTTTCCACCTGGATCTCCACTCTTTTTCACCCTCATGTTCCTCCGTTGTCAGACAAACTCGCCCCCACCTCCTCTCCGCATCGGCCGCATCTAGACCCACAGCGTATAGCACAGACCACGCTTCAATACTGGGCATAAATAAAAAAGGTCTGCGTCAAGCTCACTGCGACACAATGCTGCAGGAGTATAACTAGCCCTTTAGGGTGAGGTATGCATCAGTAGTGGTTAGATTTGGGGCTAAGGTTTCAATTGGTTAGGGTTAGGGTGAGGTATGCATTGGTAATGGTTAGGTTTAGGGTTAGGGCATAGAAAGGGTTGAAAATGACTGAAAATCAATGGAAGTCGATGGGAGTCAACACATGGTCCTCACTACGATGGCAGAACAAGTGTGTGTGTGTGTGTGTGTCAAACATCAAATAAATAGTTTCTATATTTTTTAGAGCACAGACATGCAAATAAAGAAAAGATAACCTTAGTTGGAATGCATAACCATTATTTGAAAGCCTTATTATTGTATGCGAAAGTTATTAAAAGCATGGCTGCTGCCACCTAGCTGCCATAGGAGTAGGCTGTTTTTTGGACAATAAGGTTTTGTTTCTTACAATGCTAAATGTTATATACAAATTTGGATAACTATCTTATCCTTTGCTTTCATTTAATTTTAAAATAAATCAACACGATTAACTAATCAACTACCCAAATTCTGTTTTATGTTGCTGAACGATTATAGACTAGAATACAATATACTGAAGGAATGCTTTAAACCAAGAAAAATGAAGGCAAAAAAAGGTTAATCATTCTCTTTATAAGCAAATAATTTTATGTTTTATTGAGGATCTGTTTTTTTTCTTGCCCTTTAAAGAAATTATTTTGTTGATACATATTTTTCATGTGCTGTATAACTATAGCTGACCTTATTTATGTTGCAGATCTTACATTTTTTACAAATCAAATATATTTACATTAGTTGTACCTGGAATGCCATCAGGTACAGCTACTAATGTCAATATAACGCCTATTCTAATATAGTAACTGTAAGCTTGCGTTTGCCATTGTTATTACAAAGAAACAGACTCTATTAAAAATAAAAAATAGTTTTCCAGCTAATTGTCCAGTAGCACCCACCTTTCATCCATAGACTACCAGCCCCATGACCTTGATGGACAAGCGGTAGATGGATGGATGATGTTACAGTTAAAATGTATCTAGAAGTTTAAATGAACAAAGTAGTTTATGACAAACAACTGTTTAAAAGATGCAGCTCTTTAATAAACACATTTAGTGCAAAATTTGAAATAGGCACATTTCTTTTCTCCTGAGAAAATCCATGTTGATTACCACCCTGTTACCTTTATAATTTATTTATAAAAACAGTGAAGCATAAACTTTTCTATAAAAAGAATGCAACCAAGAAATATTTGAAAAAAGGTAAGAAGAAAGAACATCTTGCATTAAAATATTTATTTCACCTGGTGTTAAAAATACTATATGTAATGGTAGACTAACTATTACCAAAAATGTGCTCATCACCCCTTTAAATGACATAATACTAACTTGCTTGAATTATCTAGACCTATAGTCTTTCCCCAGTTTATTCAAGTTACAAAAAAATTATATATATTTACAGTATCAGAAATGCAACATGATGTCCTTTTCTTACATCCAACAGTAATAAACAGATAATAATCCCAGAGTGAAATCTCATTAAGACAATGCTGTTCAAGGAAAAATTTCACGTAACGGTTTATAAACAAAGTATGCGGTAAACAAAAAAGATGACAGAACCGCTGTGGTCATATCCAGCTTTGAAACAAATCTTGCACACATCAAGTCATCCTTAGATCAAAGCAGTGAGACTGCATTAACCTCCCTTCTCTTTGTGGTTTCTGCCGTTCTGCTCCACACTGCCTTGCTGTGGCTCGGCAAAGAGCTGCACCTTGTCTTTAAGCCGAGCACAGAGGTAGGCTAAATCCTGTTTGTCCAGAGAGTGTGCCAGAGCCAGGTAGGCTGACAGCGTCCCGGCCAGCAGCAGTCTGTCCAGGGATAAGGCCGGCAGCAGCCACAGGATGACGACCAGCTCCAGGCACACAGGGTGGCGGAGGTGGGACAGGAGGCGCTGAGCAGGCAGTGGCTTCTGGGAGAAAGGATCCCCCATACCAAGGCACTTATAGTAAACCTAAGAGGAGAAAGGAGCTTATTCCAAAAATATATCAGGTTTAGAATAAATCTACTTCTGAATGACTGGTCTCAGTATTTTATTTGACTTTTGGAAATATCTGCAGGTAAATAAAATATATATTTTTTTGTCTATGAGCAACCTCAGTCATTGGAACTTATTTTTCATTGTGTTTCTGTTTGTTCTCCTCCTGTTATTTTGCAGAGAGAATTATATTTGTCTGTTCTGGATGGTAAGAAATTCTTAAACTACATATAAGGTAGAACATATATGAGCCTTTCAACCACAGAACTTATTTTAGGACCATTTTATTACTTCTTTTCCCAAACCCTGTCTAGAAACTTTGCTTCTGGTGTGAGACTTAAGTTCATACGTGATCATGCCGAAGCTTTAAACACCTACAGGGAAACATGAGGTTTGCAGCAACATCATATGGGTAACATTTCTTCCTTAAAGGTTCAAAATATCCAAAATCATCAATTGCTAGAAAGCTGAAAACTTGATAGATGATAAATTACTGAGGTTATATTGTCCATAATCCTCTTCCATCTAACACTCAACCCAGCATGTAAACTTCACACCAATAGAAAAAAACATAAACCTCTTTTCTTTTTTGGAATAATGGAAAAAATATTAAACAAAGAACTTTGTTTTGTGATATGATTAGGAAGAAGTCGAAATTAAATTAATGGATTTAATAAACGGTCGTCTTTCACTATACAATGCCAAATAAACTTTTTGCAGTAAAAAAAACAAACACGCAACTTGTTACTTAATTCATTGTTGTTCTTTTAGTGTCTTCTAAGTTTAAGAAATTTGGTTTAATTCAAAACAAAATATATCCCCTCTAATTTTCCTACCTGCTTAATACCCAGTAGTTCTGGATAATCAAAAATGACGAGGATGCTGCAGATAATGGCCCAGCAGAGGAAGTGCAGAGAAAAGCATAGTAGAGGAAACCATATACTCCAGGGTGCATGACGCACTGACCACAGGCAGGGGGCGCCAGTCACTGGTTGCCAGTAACGCATCATAATCTGAAAATGTAAAAAAAAAAAAAAAAAAAGCACAACATTTAAACATGAGGTACATGTCAAGGGAAAATGGCCACCAAGGAATTACTGAAAATAAACAGAACTTGAAAAAGTCCGTCATACGCAGGATAGAAAAAATACAAAGACAAAACAAAGTAAATTACAGTTTAATTAATTAAGCTGATTACAAAACAAACATACGAGGAGCTACAGGAAAAACTTCAGGGTACAAGTGCAATTACAGCCAAGGCAAAGACCAAAAAGTAAAGAGCTTATAAAACATCAAACAACCAAACAGAGCCTATAAATGCTCCAAAGCAGCTAAAAAATTAATTGAAAACAGCAAAATTTCAATTTGAATTTCAAAACTTTTTTTCAATTTTGAATTGAAAAAGCTTCCAGGATGGGAAGCGAAACGTCTTTAAATTTGGAGACAAAGTCCAGGGGATTATTTTTTTTTTTTACTTTTTTCGGATGACTATCATCTGGATGACTGAGAATCTTAACAAGCGTATATTAAAATATATATTTATAAAATATTTGCTCATGAATATGACAGAATCAATCAAATTTGAATCAATTTGACTGTATAATCTGGTTGAACTGTAAAGTGCCTTGAGATGACTTGTGTTGTGAATTGGCACTATATAAATAAACTGAATTAATTTGAATAGTATCTTAACAAATGCTCTTAATAATATAAGACATTCGTGGCTGCAGCTGTGGTCTGCTTGGAACAAAGATCAGGTTTTGCTAACCATGAGGCAATCACTGTACCTGAAGAGCGAGAGCAGTAGTAAAGCAGTATGCTGTCCTGTTCAGGGCCCCCGTTACCGACTGTAGGGCCTGTTTGACCGGGGACCAAGCCAGTAGGCTGTGTTGTGCCGTAAAAAGAGCCAACAGGGACAGATCCACAACAAGAGACCACAGCACCGAGCTGTCCTTTAAGGCCATGGACCATGGGATGGAGTCTTTAACAGATAAAATCAGCAAGAAGTCAAAAAGTTTCCCATTACAAATAGTTACTGACAATAGAAATTTGCAATCTGTAAAAGAAAATAAGTAGCATGTTTTAAAGGCTTTGAAATTCAACAAGACATACAGCTACTGTAACCATTTATACTAAAATTGTTCTTAAAGCTGTTTAATGGAGATACTCTGGTCTGGACGCATTATTTATTTAAGATGATTTGGCATGAGACTAAACAGGGTTTCATCTCCCAAACTGCTCCAATATGTCTTTTAACAGCATGGGATGCAAAGACATTGCTTTAGGAGACCAATAGTAGAGGCAGGTTTAAACTATACATGATGGCTGGCTGTGACATAATTAACGTGTATTATAAGCGTCCGTTTAAAATCAAAGACTTTCCAGCGGAATTTATTTAGTAGTTCTTAGACTATTGTATAAGAAAACTACAAATATCTCAAAATTGCAACAAAAATCTATTTAACAGATCGATTCAAAGGTTATTTATGCCTGATGGTTAAACATTAAAGGTAAACTATGCAACCGGTGTTGATTTTCCAGCGAGGCACCCCCCAGAGGGCGAAAGTAAAAGTGCACTGTCGTAAATATGCTCAGCTGTTCTCCTGGTTTCTCCATCAAGCCAGGCGCGGTTGTTTTGAGCTTAGCAGCGAATGACTAATGCTGCGTTCACACTGGACGTAGCTGGCGCGACAGAAGCAGCGAGTTTACATGCAAAGTCAATGGTTGACGCGCGTCAAGGCGCAGCAAAAGGTCCAGCGGAGCGTTTTGAGCACCAGGCGCAGCACGTCTGAGCAGCTGAAGCAGCGCATCGGGCGCGTTTAACGCAGGGAGAGAGACACAGCGCTGATGATCACTCCTCTTAAACAGTTTAGCGACGCCTAAATTAACTAAAAATGCAGAAATCTGCCGGCAGAATATGCAGTTTGGATTATTTAGATGAAAAACACCTACCAGCTGCCGCGGTGAACCGCTGCTGATGAAGGGATCCATACTGTCGGCACATCCCTGGTATGTGGGGGTCTGAGCGGCTCCGACAGAAAAAATATTGAAGGCAGGATAATAATCTGAATGAACTGACAGCACTGATTACGTTTTCAGGTGTATTTTCTCACTTAAAAACATATTAAAACTACTTTATTCCCACTGATCACAGCAAATATAGCTGCAAGGCAGAGAAAGGTTAGTGAAGCTCCGCCCAATGCGCCTCAGACACACTTTTGCACCGCGCAGCCAGAGCAGCAACTGGTACAAGCAGCAAAAATGAAGCAGCAGACGTGCTTTTGCTGCGTGAACATAGCATTACTGCACAAAGATCGCCACTGTGCTAGCAACGAGCATGCTTTTAACTGGGGGGTGTAGCAGTTCTCGCCGTAAAGCAAGATTGACTCTCACGAGACTTCTGAGCCTGTGGGTGCGGGTCGGTGCTCCTGCAGTTGCAAGTGCAGTATTTCCCCCACAGACCACCAGGGCGGCCGAGAATACCTTTGTTCAACCAGAAATGACTCATTTAATCATCCAAAACGTTATGGAACAAATTAATTAACTGAAAAATGTTGCATAGTGTGCCTTTAAAATATGGACAATTTTTACGCATTTTGATCATTTTAGCCGCCTACGCTTGTGTTCATGCATATAATTGTACCACCATTATACTGTTTACTAGTAATATATATTTAGTAATTTTATGTGATGTCACGTTTTTTGTTTTTTTTTTATTCCTTGTTAATTTGAAAGAAGTGTTTGCTAATGATGTAAAAAATGTGGTTCTAGTAGCATAATTGTGTCTGCTCAAGATCACAAGGTTATTATCAATAATTAAGTAGTAGTAGTAAATAGTGAGCTTTTTTTTTTAAGGTAATTCATTTTGCTAAACTCTGTTATGAAATCTGTGTCTGAGTCTTTTTGTCTGATAAGATCTTAGGTGAAACTTTTTGTAGTAAATTTTCTCAAATACGACAGTAGCAATCTGATCACACTATCAATAAATCTTAAAACCTTATATTCTTGTACCTGTAGCTGAAGTCCCTTTATTTTTGTTATGACTTTTATGGAAAATGTATTTAAAAATATTTCCTCTACTGTTATATGGTGATTGTCTCAGTAATTAATAATCCTACTCTCTAGACAGCAGTTATTCTAAAAGGTTTTCATTTATTTCTTTTAAACTTGATCCAATATTTCTTTGCCCCATAACAGGCATATCCCCATTACTATATCAGTGTTTTTAGGGAAGTCATGAATGTTATCATACTGTTTAAAGAAGAAATCAGTGTTTGTAAAAATGTTTGTCTTCTTAGTGTGTTTTTTTTATTTCTGTAAGGCTCTAACTAAACTCATTTCTGACATGCTGTTCTTTTTGCTCATGTTGTTCTTCTATCAGGCAGTAACTAGACAAGTATCAAGTTGCTGCATTATCCCATTCTTTTTTTTTTTTTCTACCAGGTAAACTCAAAATTACAACTGGGGATCTAAACAGGTCTAGTCGAAGCATTTTTCCCCCCACGTTTATAAGAAACATCTATGTTCTGTATTGATCTAAAATCTAGAATATATGTTAGTTTTTTTTTTTTTATAGAAATATAAGATTTTATTTGTTATAAAATATTTTCTTTTTATTATATGCCTATTTTTTACATATGCATTTGTCCGTTCCTCTAAATTATAACCATTTTATAATTTTTTTAAATTAGAAATATATTAACTAGTTCTATAAATTTCTGTGCTTTTTATCCATTTTTATTCTCTTTTTTAAAACAATAATAATAAATGTGCTTGGTGAAAAGATTTTACCCTCCACATACATCTGCTATAAAGGAGGTTTCTGTGTGTAAGAGTAATTTCTTGAGGTAGAAGCAAATGTATGTTGTTGATTTTTAGTAGTTTCAACATATTGTCATTACTCTAGTTTTTAAGACACACAAAGAAAATCCTATCAGAAATTCAAATCAACAAACATTTTTTTCTGATGTATTTTTAATTATTAAATTATTATTGCATTTTGGTTGTATAATTTAGAGAAAAACCCGATGATATATCCTTTAATCATAGGTCCTGCTATGTTTGCAGTAGGTAGGTAAATGAGTAAAAGTGAGTAGATTTTTTTTTTAAAACTATGTATTATAAATATATTGGAAAAGTTAGGTAAATTAAAATACGTTTCAGCCAAGACCGGATCTCAAACCTACGTTCTGCTTTGCAAGGTGTCAATGAATTACATTTGCACGCAAGTGGTCCCCGTGAATAAATAAATAAATAAATAAGTGGAATTTACAGTAAGTGAGTCATAACAGCGAAGAAACAGAGATGCATCTTGTATTCTGAAGTCCTTTCAATTCTCTTATTACCCTTTATACAACAATTTACACCTCAACAGATGTAATTGATGAAGAAACTAAAATATAACTGGTACACATTAAGCAAGTTGTTGAAACCCACAGCAGGGATCGAACCGGCGCAGTCGGAGTTACTGTATTGCAGGCTCTATAAAAAGTGAAGTACAATTGTCTTCAAAAACAAAAAGGTGATTCGCCCAACGTGGGGCTCGAACCCACGACCCTGAGATTAAGAGTCTCATGCTCTACCGACTGAGCTAGCCGGGCGCTGACTGCCATCGAAAACAAAGCGAAATTATTCCGTCGCACCCCAACATATGTATATTTTCACATTCCACCAGTGTTTCGCAAGTAACGAAAAGCTGTCCTTTTCAGCCTTTTCTCTTATACAGTGTTGTGGCTCGATGCTTCCTCTAGCTACAGAAAATCATACCTTGACAGAGCGTCGTCTCTCCTGTGATGTTATGATAGATAGGTCGAAACGACACAAAGCGAATGAAGTCTGCCCCGGAGATGAACACAAACAGCAGGTTTAACAGAGAAACCGTGCAGAGAGCCCAGTTACGGGCTGTGACTGACGCCATTTCAATCAGCGGTGCTCTTCATTTCATGCTCACACTCATAGTTCCGGGAGAAAACTGGGTGTCAAAACGGATTATTACCACACGATGGCGCTGTTGTATGCATAAAGCTGCTAAGTTCATTTAATTAAATTTATTTGATTTGGACTAGGCTCGTTATAGTAAATCGATGTAGTGATTCATAGAAAATAATATATATAGTATATAATATATATGATAAAAAAACTGCATACTCAATCCGTAGCAGCCAATGCAAGTTTAAATAAATATATCTAACCCTTCATTTCTATCATGAACTGTACATATATATCCCCATGCACCTTTTATTTCTTTGGCACGTTCTTCTTTTTGACCATTTGAGCCAATGTAACAAGGACATTTCTCCACTGTGGGATTTATAAAGTCAATCAATCAATCAATCAATCAATCAATCAATCAATCAATCAATCAATCAATCAATCAATCAATCAATCAATCAATCAATCAATCAATCAACCAATGAGTATATCTGAAAGCCTTTGGATTTTCTATGTGGTTCCAAAAGGAACACCGATATCTATCTAAGCTCAAAATATTTTATGGTTTAGTAATTTACACTATGTAGATTTGTAGTGCAGTTAAAAGGCAGTTTTGTAACTGCAGATCACAACTAAGAGTTACATATACATAACCAAATGAAACATGCAGAACTGTTTGTACATGTTTGAAAATAGACAAACATTTGTGGCCCATTTAGAGCCTATAATTCTAAGATGTTTATATTCTCCAAAGAAAACATTAATGTATCAAGGTCACATCAGTTATCCACTTCTTGCAAAATTGAAAGTATTTTTATTTTATATAGTTTACCTTTTCTACATGGTTTAATCAGGAAATCGAGTGCAAAATACTCTATAATCTGGACAAAACCATATATTGGGGTTTATTAAAATAAAGTTAAAGTCGCTATCAAGAATTTGAAAAGCTTGCTTAAACAAATAAGTCTTTAAATGTGCTTGAATCAAACAAAACAACAAAACAAAACCTTAATTCTGTGTGAGGAAAACATGAAACCCAAAACAACCCTGCTACTGTATAAGTCGTCAAAGCATCACACAGAAAAAAATTTCTGAGCTGAATTTATTGGCTTATAATAAAATTAAAGAAAACCTTAGGAGAGCAATTTACCTGTTACAAAAGGTTGTATGTCTTAAAAAAGGTTTTAGTGAAAATTTAACTTTTTCAAAACAAATAAAATGACATTTTATACATTATTACAACATTTTGAATATACTATTGTATAAGAGTACAAATTAGGTTGATTTGGAATTACGACAATGAAAAATAGGTTGCTGCTATGAAAACTAAAAATGCAGGTGCCTCCAAGCCTGCTGTACAAGTGGGAACTTGTTAAATATCTCTACTTAGCCTTGTGTGCTCATTGTAAATGCCAAAGATTAAATGTTGTCCTCTTCACTTTGCAAAAAGTTGATAGGTATGCAAAACTCATACCTTTTGCATTTTCTTTTCTCCCACCTTTCTTTATAATAACTTTTTATTCTGCAGAGACCTTTGCACTGTACAATCACAGGTTGTTCTTTGAGTACTGCAAGCCATATAACGACCCGGTCATGTAAACATTTAAGTGCAACTAGAGCTTTATGTCAAATGTACAGAACACTCTTTAGGCTTTTTCTGAGATTGCCACTGTGCTCTTATTGCTGTTGTTGCTTCTGCTTTTTTTTGTTGCTCATTTTCTGAATTTGTTCCAAAGTTAGAAAGAAAACCCATCTTGTAATCTGCATTAAATGAGCTGCCGTGACAATGCTTTTGCAGCTCTAAGAGTACTAATATCCGGTAGTCTAGTTGTAAAAAAAAAAAAAAAAAAAGAAGGGGAATGGTGGATATTTATTATTATTTTTGGACGTATACATTGCCTAATTAATGTAGTCTATTAACCTAAAGCAATATGCATGCTATGGTTGTTAAATGTCAGGTACGACGGTAATTGACCTTGACCAAGGCACCCTACAGTAGAACTGCAGTCAGACCCTGGACGTGCATGCCTATCACTGCCCCTTCATAGTTAGGGACTAATGCAGAGGAGATATTTCAGCTTCATATTCATGATAGGCTTCTAAATTTAATTCATTTGGCCCGGCCGCTCGTAAGCCAACAGCCCGCCAAATGTTGAAAGGGCAATATTATTGCCATTACTGTTAATATATGGTAGAGATTTTACACATTCAGTAATAAAATGTTACAGGGGATTGTCACTTTTTTTAAGAAGGGGGATGCCATCCCCCCTCTCCCCCCTCAACTCAAGCAATGCTAATATCCAAAACAGAGGTCCTCCACTGAGTATTTTTATTCCAGATTTACAAGCGCTAGGTCTATCCTGCCTTGGTAATTGCATTTCAATCCGACCAACATCCTTCACACCCATGGCTTGTAGTAAAATAACAGTTAAATTGCAAACAGTACTCTGCAAAAAAAAAAAAAAAAAAATCTAAAAAAGCAATGTGCTTCTTGAAATAAGTGCATTTGTTCTTGAATTGAGAAGGTAAATGAGACACTTTACAGATGGAACAAGACCATTTACATTTAAATGAGGAAAAAACACTCATCCTTGTTCTGAAGCTTAGTATCCATATCTCTCAGACTAGCTCTGGCTAATTTCTATTTGCACAAATGGAGTCACGATAACATTCATAAGTTTGAGGTTTTTTTTTTTTTTTCTTAATTTGTTGCTAACTACAAGGAATCAATGATTGAGACAACTATGAAGTCAGGAAACCAAAGATTTTATTTATGAACAATGTCACAGTAACCTTGTCTGCTGTAAATAAGGTTAACATCACCCCTGTAGCATTCTACATGGTAATATTTGTTACGTGATTCCACTCGAATGGACTCTGAAGAGCCCTAAAAAAAATGTAATAAAGGACATGAATAAAGTGTACGTGCATGATTTAAAATTCTGGTTATAGAAGAATTTGAACCTCACCTGTGTTGGGAGTATCGGCTTTGTGCAGGCATAACAAAGAGGAGACTGGACCCTGAAACCAGGAGGGAGTCTCAGTGAAACTTAAAATCTCATTATTCAGGGATTCGCCTACCTAACCGTGGTTAGAGCCAGGAGGCTCAGCCTGTTCATGCTGTTATTTTACCTGTGATAGTCGGTGATGCAGTAAACCTTGCAGTCTGAGTCCACAGCGAAGGGCTGACCCTGCAGCTCCTGTCTGCAGACCACACAGCGAAAACAGGTTGGGTGGTAAGATTTCCCTCGAGCTTGCAGAACCTGTTTGTGTAGCATTAGTTATTTTACGCAGAACTCGAGATCAAAGATGCCATCAAACAAGGAAATAAGTAAAATGCTTGCCAAATCTGTGATTGAACATCCGCAACTGTTACACATTTCTTCAGATGGGTGAACTCCAGAAAACTGTAAAAAGAGCATCCAGGCGCAGTTAAAAACACTTTTATCTGATAAATTAAGAGCAAATAAAATTGATTCTTACCAAAAAATCATCTTCACAGTATATGTGTCCTGATACTGTGAAAAATGGCTGTCCTTTTAGCTGTTTGCCTGATGAATGTAAAGAAATTATTAGTTTAATAACCTTTTTTTTCAAGTGTTTACAAGTTTTTATGAATTGATTCACTTTAATGCTCTAACATTAGATAGAAAATAATTTGTCTAAACTGTATTTACATCATCATAATCCTAGCAACCTTTCAGTAACCAAAGGACACCAGTCTTAATATATTAATATACTTCACATTTCTCACTGATGTACTTCTGGAAGAAATCATGGACTTTAAAACTAAAATCTCTACAAGTTGTCGTTATTTTATAGTTAATTTATTCAGATGTATTATGAGCATTTTCTACGACCACATTTAGAGGCAGACTGAATCTTCCCTTTGGAAAGACAAGTTTATCACATCTAGGCTGCAGAAAGGAGGACACTCAAAAAGCGTTTACACAAAACATCTCTATGTTTACAGACAATTTGGAGCCGCAGTTTAGATTGCATCCAATGCTGTGTAAATATCTTGAGTCATTCCTCCTGTCTTTATATGCTGTTTCCTGGGCATATTTCCTTGAAATCTTCCATGTGAGAAGGATCTGATGTTCTTAAGGGGTTCTGCAAGGCCTTTAATGTTTTTCTTTAGTTTGGTAGTTTTTTTAGCTGATGTGTTTTAATTTACTCCGACATATGGATAGTTCTGCTAACACAATCTTTAAATATGACAGGCTACATAGTCTTAAGAGATAAATGAACAACTGTCAGAAGAGGACAAACACATTTTATTTTAACTAGTTGCATGTTGAGTGTGATACACAACATGTCACCATCTACTTCTCTGTAAGCTGACTCTGATCTTAACTATTCAGTTATCCCATCAAACCCAGTTTTCACCCAGTCGAAGACCCGCTCCCGAGTTTCCAGTCCCGGATAACCTCTCACAGAAAGCAGTTACACTAATCTGCTTCAGTCGCCGGAGTGTGTTTGACATGTGGGCCAAAAACCTTCCTAAAACCATGTCAAACAGTGGACACACCTTGATTTAACACGTCCCTTTGCTCTATTTTGACATATTTTTTTCCAAGCCTGTTTCATGTGTTTACTTTTTTAATCAAGGCTAATGAAGCATGGTTGATTAGCAATCTCTGAATTGTATTTGGTCATTTTAACAGAATTGTTATTTATTTTTACTTTTGTCATTCAATTTATTTCAGTGAACATTGTGGGGTTTTCTTTTATTAAATGAGGGGTACCAACAATTTCATCCAAGTGTGTATATAGGAAACAAAAATGGTTTAAAACTTTCTGAATAGTTTTACTTTTGCTTAATATTCTAGAGACCCTGTAACAGAGTTAATGTTTCTCAAAGTTACCACAAGATATGAAATCACCTACTTTCTGAGTCTATATGCAGTCATATTCCAGTCCACTACCTGTAATTTTATCAGTTAACGTCTGTAAATCTCATTTATTAAAGGACTAATGAAAATTATATTTTTATTAAAGGCTCTCTGTATACACTCTCTCTCTCTCATCTTTGGTGACTGACTTGCTGTCTGCCAGCTTTAATTCCTCCACAGAATAGAATGAGCAGACAATCAACAGAAATTTAAACCATCCTGATTATCTAGGTTTTGTGACCTCGCTAATTGTTTCCCACCTGATTCCATCTGTAGTCTCCTCTATAGCAGATGCAATCACCAACTTCCTGTCTTCCCCCCTTACCCTTTACTTGTATTTATCTCCATTAGGTCGCATTATCAAACAATGTGTATTCAAAAGTAGCAAATAACACATATTGCCAATGCAGTTTCAAAAACAATATTCAAAAATGAATCACTTTGTATAGCTTCTCCTACAATTCCATCTAATATTTAACCAACCAGTCACCTTCCCCTGTCAGTCCTAATACATTATTCTCTTCTTCTCTCTCTGTGTGGGAGTTTTTTGTAGGGAAGTCCTGGGACGGCTGCAACACTTTTTGCATTTGAGTCAAATTATTTTAATCACAGAGTAAAACAATTTGACTCTGTTACTTGGAAATATGTAGTGTAGAAAAGACACACCAAGTATGAATTACTTTTAAAAAGTGTTCACCCCTTAAATATCCATCCTACTCCCTCTTTTGTTTTCTGTTTGAATCCATGAAAGTTGCCTTTCTGGCTCGTTTTCATTAGCTACCATATTATTCCACTGAAACCACCCACGCCTTCATCACCCACGGTGATCGGTTACGGTGCGCCCCCACCCATGTATTCTGAAAAAATAGAGCTTAGAGTGTGTGTGCCTGTGGCCATGTTTTTATTACCTTGTGGTGACAATTTCAGAGGAATATGCTACATTTTGGGGACTTATAGGTACTTGTGGATACCAACAACTGTTCCCCATGAGGATAGGTTCTCTTCCTGAGTTCTCTTCTCCTTGGGATTAGGTTTGGGACTAAGGTATGAATTAAGTTTAGGTTAGGTTTAGGGTTAGGTATGTGTTGACAATGGCTGAGGTATATTCAGTGACATGTCTCCGTTGTTGATCACATTGCATGCAAAAACAACAGGTATACTGGAATGGATGACTATATATTTTCTGACTGTTACTTTGGTGCTCCTCTTCTCTCTCACTGTGCAATAACACATGCCAACTACTGTGTAGCCTGTGTAATTTTGTACTTATTTATAAGGCCCGGCCATCTCTGCAGTACAAGTGCAATAATCCAAGACAACTACTGTGTAGTATTTCCTTAGCTCTCTACTGTGAAGCTATATTTCTATCTAAAGGAAACATATTCCAGGACATTACAACAGTTTAATGCTTTTTTTTTTTTTTTTACTATATAGACTCTTGTTATATTGTCCGTCGTATTTTTATTTTAAAAGCCATCTTGCCTTAACTCTGCCCTTTGTACTTTATATAAGCTTCTTGAACCAATATTTCCCTGAAGGAGTAATCCCAAGGGATAAATAAAGCTGTGTCTAAGTCTATCACTTTTTTGCACCATTGATTACTATAATATTTATATACCAAGATAACTTACTGCAAATGCTGCAGGTGAAGCATGTGTTGTGGAATAAATGTCCCATCGCTCTGCAGGCTCCTTCTGTGACATACACTGGTTCACCGCATCTAGTGCAGCTTCCTGAATTCACACCATAAACAGAACCCGGGCGTAACATACAGAACCATACAAAAATATGTAGTTAATGTATGTAAAAAAAGTGCAAACCATGAGCCATGTCCATCCTTACCAAAGCAAAGGCTGGGACTGTATCTAGGCTCCATGTCTCCTGTTTGTTCCCAGTTGTCTGTTTCCCACTCTGACAGAGTTCAGAGGCTCTAAATTTACAGACAGCTGTAAGGAGAGCTGATCTCTGGGTTTACTACTGTTGCTTCTTAGAGCGCAACAAGTTTGCAGACGCCCTGACTCCTCGACAGTGGCTACCTTGTGGGTGGCAACAGACAGGGACAACTGGTATAAATTGAGAACATGGGTAATATACCAACAGAGCTTCCTCAGTCAGCTGCTGGGGATCTCAACTGAACTATTCCTGTAGCTACTGTTTTTATAAAGACATAACATAAACAAAAAAAGTGTCTGTTAAAGCCTGTTAGAAAATAACAATAACTCACACTCAGCATGCATGTAGGGGTCTTACAGTAAGACCCCTACAGAAGAATCAAGCCTATAGTAAGTAGCCTTGTGGCAAGGCTGACTGAGGTTCCAGCAGACGTAAAAAAGTAACATAGAAGCACTGATCCATAAATGCTTTCTATGTCAGAAAAGGTAGCGATAAATCAGCTTTTCATGTCAAAGGGGCGAAAGAAGGCACATACAGTTAATCACAGTAAAAGCAGAGCCCATAGCTATGTCTAAGAGATTCAGCACTAAAATCAGGCCCAACTCTATCATCTATAATGGGAGGTTTTGATTGCAGCAGCCCAGCTGATATTTCTCTCCAGGATGCTGTCACCCCAAAGGGAAAAGACCAGATGAGGCTACTATAATGAGAAAAAGCTGAGAAAAATAACGTTAGAGGTTGAACTGACAAATATTTCAGAATGGGAGAACAGAGACAGAATGACCCCAGCTTCCTGACCCCTCTCATGTCCTCCAGCAGTCTAAGCCTCTAGCAGCATAACTATAGAGTTAGCTCAAGATAACCTGAGCCACTCTAGCTAAAAGCTACATGGTGTCGGTGATGGTTGATGTAGGAACTGCTTGCAGAGCTGCATTCATGTCTTCTAGTACCTTTCTGATGGTGGTTCACTTAGTCTCTGTAACTAGCTTCAGGGTTGCCTGGTGGACATTTTTGCCATGATCCTATTTTTTCGGTCAGTTGGTGCCTCGTTCAGCGTGGTTGCACTAATTTGGGCATTGTACCCAATTGTTGGTGGGGCGGTTGGTGTTAATTTCCTCTCTGACCTGGGGTCCTGGTTCCCCCTTACCAGAACAGTGGTTTTGTACCTCGTCAATCTCAAGTTGTGAGAGCAGTTGTCGTTTATGGCTGTTAGAACATTGAGCTACTAGTTGTTTCACCGTGAGTGTGGACTGTGAGTATCGAAATGACCACTTCTCCACACCTTCGCATGTAGCCCCTCTGACTAGGGTTACTGGAGTAGTAGCATTCTAACAAAGCTCTGTTCTTGCATCTCGCCCATTTCTGTCTTGGAAACAGAATAAAACAAGTAAACAAGCCTGATGGAACTCCTGAACTACTGAATTTTGTTGAGCAAAACTGAGTTAATAACTGAAATCAGGTGTTTTCTGTTATGTTCTGAATATGTTCAGTCAGACTTCTGCACCTACTGACAGGTAAGTTGGTTCATTGTTTATGAGTCTGTTTTTTAACAAATATTTTTGAAACAAAAATAAACAAAACAATAACAAAACAAAAACAATATTTTATTTGACCAAATTATAATTTATTACATATTTATTACTATTTTTTCCAGTTTTGTGTTAGCACAACTGCATATAGAAAATGAAGATAGAAATAAACTATATATATACTATCAGTTAAATTATCAGATAGTATATATATCTAATAATTTGACTTTCTTGTAATTTCATGTAATATATTATTGACCAAAATATTTTAATAGATTATAGAGATAATAGAGTTGTAAAAATTATTGCATTTAAAAAACTATGAATTGAACTGTTTAAATTACATTTGGATCAACATTGATTTTTTACACAAGATCAGGGGATCAACCCGGAGGTTCTATAAGGTCTGGCAGCCGTTTCTAAATTATTTTCACTTACAATTCCCTGTTGGAAACACTGGGACATAATTAAGTCATAGACTCTGTAACCCTACTGTAACATGTCGATATTTTTTATTTATTTTTTGACTATGTTATTAGAGTTTATTTTTAATATTGGGGTTATTGTTTGGCTGTTATTTTATGTAAACAATTAAAAAAATCCAATAAAAATATTTGAATAATAACATTGATTTTGTATAAATGGATCTGAACTTTACCTGGTCTCGCCTTTTGTTTATAAGAAGTATTAAGTGCTTCAAACAATAAACTGATCAAGGTTGCTGTATTTAACCAATCTTGTGTGTTCATCTGGAGCTGGTATTTACAGGGGAAATACTGAACGAGGACTCTAGCTGCTCTCTAGTAATGACTTACTGCCTCCATGTGGACTGTTCAAGTTTTCCATCTCAACTGATTTAGCCTTCTCCATTGATTATAATTAGTTCAACATATTTTAATTTCAGAAATATTGTTTCTATGTGTTACTTTGTATTTTACACAGACATTTCTCTGTTTATTTTAGCACTTTGCAACACTTCCTTGTGCTTAACAGTATCTGTCAGTGTTAATAATTCTCCCTCTAAGGGTGATCCAGGAAACAAAATGTGGACCTGAAACCCCTCGGAGCAGCACAAGTGTGGCTCTCTGGGCTCTATAGTTTCATGGGACGGGAGGGGAACTCTGACAGCTGTTGAATCTTCTCTGAGGGCCTCTTGTTAAGGAAAGAGACAGCAGCACAACACCCACATGCATGCTGTCAGACTGGGTTGGGAAAATGACCTCTTTGTATGTTATACCGCAGAAGTGAACTGGTTCACTCCAACTAGAACCATTTGTGAAGACAAAATAAATGGGCCAAAACATTCACTCTTTGTTTGCTTGTATCTTAGTAGTTTTCTTTCTTTAAGATTGGATAATTGGAGATTTTGGTTTGGTGTTGAATTTGCATTTTAATTAAAAGTTATGAGGAAAAAAGTGAGTGTTTGGAGACACCAAAGTTTGTAAATGAATCCAGCCCTCAGGTATGTTTGTGAGCAGGAATGTCTGCATTGGGAGGCATGTGGTGGCAAGAGCAAGCCTCCAGTCCTGGGAGTGTTTCTTGCAATGTTAGGCCTTCAAACCAAAAAAAAAAAAAAAAAAAAGAAAGAAAGAGAAGGAAAACCCACACATTTACTATTGCTATACTGTGGGAAAAAATTCACCTGACTGTTTATAAGGTTTTGCTTGAGAACTTTTTTCCTGCTCATCTGATTGACTGAACTCATGCAATTTCTGTAAATACTATATATGTATTTGTAATATTTTATAATTATATCCTGATGGATATAGATTTAAATGCATTATTATAAAAGTTATTAAAGAAATTTATTTTTAAAATAAATAGCCTGCCATTTATTCCTTATGGTCACAGGCTGTTTCCACACCCATCCCATCCTAATGTTGGGGATCCACAGCCCCATGCCAGCCATCTGTGGCATATTTCGATGCTTATAAATAGGGCGCCCATTGTGCCACACTGCACATGAATTTCACTCCTATCCCGAGCGCCAAAATTGTTTTCTGTTTCACACAGCGACCGGGCAGGATCTTCTCCTCAAGTTTGAACAGGTAAACCACCTGTGGACCACGCCCTCCGCTGCGCGCAGCAATCCCGGAGCAGGAAGTTGCTGTCAGCGCTTTGCTGTGGTTGGAAAATGACGGAAAATGCTGTTGCTTGTCTGAAGACATAGTCTGGATTTAAACCTTTTCTTTTCTTCTGAAAACAAATCTTGTTATTGTTTCCACAAGGATAATCATATTGTGAACATGCGACTTTATGGAACGTGCGCTTTTGTGGCGCTTTTATTTCTCTCATCTTTGGACTCATCAGGTGAGGAAAATGACATGTCAGCTGGAAATGTGTGTAAGCTAAAGACTTATTTTTGTGTTTGTACTAATTCATTAAATTGTCTGTAGGCTGTTCAGGAAACAGCTTTATTTATGACGCTGAAGTCAGTGTGTGAGTTGTAGCTTCAGTTTGACATCTGCTGTGCTGCATTTAACAAACTACATTTAACAAAATACTTAATATCCAAGCTGCAATCAAATAATTATGTAATCTATCTTTTTTGTAGTTTTTTTGTTCTTAATTAAGCATAACCCTATCTAGAATAGATGAATCATTCATTAACAGTTCAACTAAATATAGCATTTAGAACAGATTGTTGTTTGGGAAATATATATATATGTATTTTTTTAACTCAAAATATTATTATATAGCTTTTATTTTCATCCAAGAACATTTTACTTTTAAGTTTGTAAACCAAACCATTTTAACAGGCAAAATGTCACAGTTTCATAATACTGATATATTGTAGATTAGAGTCAAGTAAAAGTAAAAAAACTGAACCACCTGCAGTGATGAGCATTTATATAGACTTCAGTATATGATATTTGAAACTTTATTCACTTTCTGGATACTCAAACACCAAAAACAAAAAGGTTTTTTATGCCTTGATAGCAGGGTCCAGCCTGAAAACTACACCATAGTCACAATTAACTTTTACTGTTTTTTCACAATAATGAAAGATAAAAAACACATTTTGTGATTTGTTTAACATATATTCAGTTTTAAAATGCAATGAATGCAGATTTTTTTTTTTTTTTTGAAAGCTTATTGTAGTAATCTAAATATTAACTAGAGGGGATCAAAGCTTAAATGCAGCAGATTAGCCCTTTATTTATTACAAATCAGGTACTAACTTCACCATTGTGCTTTGTCTCACCTTTATGGGTCACAAACAATGGAGGTCAGCTCAGCTTTAAAGATTCCTTACTTTCTGGCTTGACTTTTAAGACTAGAAAAAGACCCTTTTGCATGATGATTTATGACAGGAATGACGAGAGTGAAATTTGAGTATATTAAGGAGAGCTGATATATCTGATACATCTCTCAGCTCCTACATTTAGCTTTCTGTTTTCAAATGCATTGAGAGCTTCCTTCCTGGAGGCATGAATTCATCGTGGCCTCATTAATGATTGATCAACAATCTGCTCCTCAACTATAAATCTGGTGGGTGTTTTATTACGTTTTGTGTGCGATTTGAATTCTGTGTTGTCTTTCCTGCAAATGCAGTCAGTTATACCCAGGATTTTTATGATAACAATGAATGATAAAAAGAAATCAGATGCGGGT